GACTTTCCACCAATGCAAATCTCAGCCCTGGAACTGCCCAGGACACCACAGTCAGCAGGGCTGGAGAGCCCAGCCAGCCCCAGAAAATGCGGGCCCCTCCCTGCTGTCCATGCTGCTGTCCCACTCCCAGCCCAAGCAGGTGGCCCCAGGCTGTGACCTGGCTGGCAGGCAGCCCCACCTGCACCGCAGCAGTGTGACCCCATCCTGCCGGCCGAGTTTTTCCCTGGTGCTCGGTCACGTCACCACGGAGCCGGTGATGAGCATCAGGACGGGGATTTATGAGCTCATCCAGGCCCCGAGTCCACCCCGGACAGAAGTGTTTCCAGAAGGCCTCCCCTCCTCTCTCCTCACAAGAATGGACTTTCTGTCTTAGCCACTTGCGATTGCTGTAAATTACAACCACTGTGTGTGCCTGTGCGTGTGCGTGTGTGTGTGGCCGTATGGCTGTGAGCATGCATGTGTGTGCCCGTGTGCACTTGCCTACCTGCAGAAAATGGATCCTCTCAGCCTCACGGCTGGACTCAAAGGAGGGGAAAGAAAAGGAGAGCCCCCCACCCGGCCACTGCCACCCCTGGGCGTATGGCAGATGCAGGTTTAGGCTTCGCTCCTCCCCGCATTCGCCAGCTGAAGACAGACACCTGAGTGCCCGCCTCCACGCACCCAGCCACAGGGCTGGTCGTGCGTTAGCCATGAGGGGAGCAGCCCGGCAGAGAGCCGCAGAGCGGGAAGACTCAGACGCTGTGCCGAGCAGACCGGCAGGGCGAAGCGAACCTTCCATCGCTCTGTGCTGTAACTCAGCTTTCCTGATGGGGTGATTCATGAGCCGGGGGCTGATGGGGGACTTGCGGGGCTGGGAATCTAACCGGGGGTTCAGAGCAAACTTTGAAGGGTCTGAGAGTCCTGGGGCTCAGCCTAAGACTCCCGAGCCAGGCTTCCCAGCGAGTAGGCAGCGGATTCCCCATCTGGAGAGAGGCTCAGTTCTGTGGCACCATGGGCTGCCAAAGCGTCACAAGGAGGCCACGGGCCAGGCCACTTCCCCGCTCCACGGCTCCTCCTCAGTCCCCAGACACAAGCCCGTCCTCCCAGCCACCTCTCCTCATCCCCATCAGCCTCCCAGGAGGCCATGGAGTGTCCAGCTGAGTACTTAGGCCACAGCACAGCACAGCCGTGGCTGGATGTGATGTCCACTCTGGTCAGCAGAAGCAGGCTTCTCTGTGAGGGGAGCAGAGTCCCCAGGCACACTAAGGGACCGGGCCTGGGCTGCTGGAGGCTGTAGCCACCTGCTTTCCCCCGAAGTGCTTCCTTCCAGGACACTGCGCCCAGGGAGCTCTGGCCAGGGCCAAGTTGGGCGTCCTGGGGTCTGCGGGTCCCTGTGAGCGTGGAGAACAGGGTAGAGGCTCATGCCTACCAGGTCTGCTTTCTGGGTTCCAGTGCGGGGCACAGGCACCCTCCTTCCTCCTCCTCCTCTGGTGGACTCCGGACTCCAGATGCATAGCCTTGGGACAGGGAGGTCTGGGGGCTGCGTCCTGTGGGTGCTGTCACCTCTCCAATGAGATGGGGGCAGGAACAGGTGAGAGGACGTAGGTCTACATACCATGCTGCCCTCTCTGCAGTTGGAGATGGCCCAGTCCTCCATGACCCAAGCAGGAAGCCAGCCTGAGCCAGGCCTTTGCCCCGTGGCCAGTCTCTTCAGGATGCAGGGCAGAAGAATTACAGCTGTGCCCAGTCAGTGTGCCCAGCGGGGCCCGGCACGATGCCCACAGGTGGACTCTTATGCTGGAAGAGGCAGGAAGATGTGCTGCCTCGCCCTGGTGCCACCCAGGCTCACTCGGAGCCTTTCTGGGGAGGGTCAGCATTTGCCTGCGCTGCTCAGGTCAGCGAATCCTTTCCCCAGCACAGGAAGGGCTGGAGCGGGGGCAAGAGGCCACTGTCAAACATGGCCGTGTGAGGCGCGGGACATTCCTAGGAGGCTCTGTTCATCCTCGAGGACCAAGACACTGTCTGGGGCTGTGGTAGAGAAGGGCTTAGGCAGCTGTGCCCAGGAGGGAAGCGTGGCGCGGGCACAGCATCTGGGCAGTGCCCGCAGGCTGCCTTGGGCCCTTGCCCACTGGGGGTGATCTGTCTTCTCCCAGAACACACTGGCTGCCCTCTGTGGCCACCCTGCTAGTGTACCAGCATCCATGCACACACATATACATGTCTATGTATACACACATTTGCACACACTGGTCCACGTCCACATGAGTGCACACACAAGCACAAACCTATATATACATATACACATGTGTACCCATACTCACATACGTGCACATTCACATGTTCCTGTGCCTATGCACACATGTACATGTGCACAGACCCACATACATACATAGACCAGATGCCAGCAAGTGTGCAAGCACTTAAGATAGCTGTTCTCGAGCTCCTGAGGTAGGTGGCTCTTCAGGGGAGGCCTGGGGGATATAGGCCCATGCCCAGGGTTCAAGGCCAGGCTAGTGCCCCTCCAGTCAACCAGCAGCACTGGGGAATACAGGGCACAGAGCCCTGCACGATGGTGGTGCCAGATGCTGCCCCACACAGATGGGGCTAGGGAGACACAGATGCCCACAGACCAACAAAGACAGCCCAGGAGCCTCCCGCATGCACAAAGCTGTGTGCTCAAGGCCCACAGGGAACTGCAGCGGCCCTGCCACAGAGGGGCAGGGGGACAGAGCCCTGCAGTAGCCTCTCCTCTTCCCTGTGAGCAGGGGGCTGGTGCTCGGTGGTGGAGGCCGTGAACCTCACAGCTATTTCCGGCCACTGGGACAGAGGGGCCCCAGTTCCTGGAGAGGGGCTCCCATGTGGGACTGGGGCCTCAGGACCGCTCCCTGAGGATGGGAGAGCTGCCCAATGACCATTAGCCCCTGTGGCCTCCACCCTGGGCTCCAGCCAGGCTGCTGACAGGTTGTGGTGCTTGGCTAGGGCTGGCCCCGATGTAGGCACTGTGTGTTAGTCCTCCCGAGACAGTATGAGGACCCCAGAAAGGCCCCACTGCATCGGTGAGAAGACATGGGGTGCAGGAGAGGTGTCCTCAGGACTCTACCTGAGCCCCAAACAGACAGCAGGAACAGGCAAGCACCTGCAGGTGTGGGCCCAGCACGAGAACCGGCAGGTATGCTTATGTCCTGGTGTCCGTAGGTCCAGGGTCAGCCTTTCAGGGGCAATGTGGCCCTGTTGCCTGGTCCCTGAGCTCAGAGCAGGATCATATGCTCCTGGCCAGAGGATGCACCCAAACTGGTGCTTCAGGGCAGTGGGAAAGTTGGGGTAGCAGTGAAGCTGGGGGCCCAGCAGAGACTCCCCTGTCCTTGGCGCACAGGAATGGAGCCAGTATGCTGGCACCTGCAAGGCTGTGATGTCTCCCTGGCACATGGCTGCACCTGGGGTACTTCAGAGGTCTCTCATCACCTCTGTACTGGCTGGTCCCTAGCTACTGACCTAGCACTTCGTGGACTGGCCCGTGCCAGTGTGGACAGTTCGTGGGAACACCTGGCCTAAGGACTCAGCTCTAACCAAGCCCGGGATGGAACCACTGCCCAGTGGCGGCTTCCTGCTGCCTCTGTGTCAGTCAGAGGAGCAGGGAGAGAATCCACTTCCACTCTGGAGGGAGCCAGAAAGTCTGGGAGCAGCACCACAGCCCAAGTCCCGGCGTGTCCTCCCCTGCTCCTTGGCCTCCCCTACCAGCGTGCCCTCCTCTGCTCCATGGTCTCCTGCATCATACCCCAAATCTCCCTCACTGCCCACCCTTCACCAGGAACCCAGGTCCTTGGCAGGTGGCAGCTGTGGACAGAGTCTAGTGCAAGCAAGACCAAGATTCCCACATGTGCTCAGGAGACGAGGACAGGGACGCACGGGCCCTTAGGTAGAACCACATGTTCCTTCCTGCTCCAGCTGAGCCAAGCTGGGTGATCCGCACATGTGACAGGGACTCTGGGCACTGGGGACAGGCCAGGGCCTCCTGGGGGCCAGGGACGCAAGCTCCCCGTCCCTGCCTTCCTGCTCTCTCTCCAGCCTTGTCCTGTCCTCAGGAGGCAGAGGCTTGCAAAGCTGGGCCCAGGCATCTCCACTTAGAGCCTCGGTAGCCCCAGCCCTTGCCCAACAACTTGCCTCCCATCCCTGCCCACTCCATGTCCAGGATGCTGCCAGCTTCCCAGGCTCTGGGTTCAGAGCCACAACTGGCACCAAGCATCACAGGGGGAGGCGGGAGGCCAGACCCCAGCTGCAGCTGCCACCCTGGTGTCCAGCAGGCCAGGCCTTCTCAGAGGTGGGGGTGCAGTGCAGATCAGAAAACCAGCCTGAGAAGCTGCCACCCCACCTGTCACTATGGCCTTCAAAAGACAACAGCAAGAACAAAAGAAAGCCAAGCCCCAGCGTGCTCTGAAGGGTGAGGGCGGGCGTGGTGAGAAAAGCTGGCCATTTGCATGTCACCGGGTGTCAAACTGAAACTTTCCAGTTTTAAGGAAACAACACAATTTTCTTCCTTTCCGGGTGATGTGCAAGCTGACGTGAGCGTGCACACACAGGCACAAGTAGCACTCATGGAGATGCACACTCACACACACACACACACAGGCGGACACATGCAGGGACACATAGCCTCCCCGCAGCTGTACACCCCAGTGACACCTTTACCTTCAAAAGCAGTTTTTCTAGCCCCGCACCCGACTGTCCTTAGCAGAGAGCCCTGTGCTTGCACGCTGTGTGGCCTCTGCTTTCTCACGCCTGGGACGGCATCACTGGGAGGGTCTGCAACACCAGAGACTCGTTTGGTGCCTGGTCAGGGCAGTGATCTGCTCGGTGAGGAAGAAGGAGCTGTCCTACGCCTCTGCCTGCTCATAGAGACTCTGAGCTTGGGCATTCAGGTGGCCTGGGCCACGCTGATGGGCTGGCTGAGCCCAGGCGTCCACGCCCACCGTCCCGGGAGCCTACAGGACCCTCTGACCCTTGGTGTACTTCCTCCCCGACAGATCTCAGAGGACCTGGGCCCTGAGAAGTTCTGCGTGGAGGCCGGCCAGGTGGGGGCCGGCAGCTGGCTGAAATACATCCGCGTGGCGTGCTCCTGTGACGACCAAAACCTCACGATGTGTCAGATCAACGAGCAGGTAGGTGCAGCCTGGATGCAGGGCCCCTGCCCCTTGGCATTGGCCCTGGGAACACAGCAGCAAGGTGCAGAGCAGCTGAGCCCCTGCCAGGGTCTTCTACCAAGTCCTGCCAGGGAGTGGGGGACAGTGGCCATTTAAGTTTGGCCTGCACTGGCTTTCGGGGGAGCTCAGCTATCTGGGACCGCTCTGTGGAGCCGTGGGTCAGCAGCCCCGGGGTCTGTAGTGCTTGTTGCTGAAAGATGACGTTTTTGAGAAGCAGCAGCAGAAGCAGGTGGGATCTCAGCCCCCAGGCCAACTTTCCCTGAAGATGCTGCTGCCTGCTACACGCAAGGGTCAGGAACAAACGTGCCAGGCCCCTGCCTGTAGGATCTGATCTGACCAGCCTGCCGGAGAGCTACTCAGGGGCCTCCTCATCCAAGTGAGGCTGACATGTGGCCCCTGCTGCTCCGAAACCCTGAGAGCTGTGATCACATCCTGCCACGGGCTGGGCCTTGTCTTGGCACTAGATTCTGACCACTAGCAGCCAGTTGAAGTCTCCTGCACGTGTCGTTCCAACTCCAACCCAGACCCTGCCGGGGTCAGGGGCCCCTTCCATCCTGTTCCCAGCTCCCAGGGCCGAGGACCCCCAATGGCTCCTCAAACCTCGGGGCTTGTTGAAGCCACCCAGGCCACAGGCTGCCAGGACACTGCAAGCAGTTTCTGCAGTGCCCAAAAGCAGCTGGCTGCCACCTTCTCTCCTGTACTGTGAGTTTGCAGCTGGCCCTGAAGGTGGGCCACGCTCCAGCCATACCCCAATGGTGGTTCTCGCCACGTGACCCCAGAGCTCTGGGTCCCTCTAGCCCCTTCTGGAGAGCTGTTTGCTTTTACCTAGACCCCAGGGTGAGATTTCATTTGCAAGGAAAGGGTTTGCTTGCTTTAAACAATGTTTGTGGAGACGGTGTAACCAAGGCGTGCTCTCCAGGAGCGGGGAAAGCTGTTACAGGCGGCTCAGGCCTTTGGCTTTAGAGAAATGCTTTGTACTCAGAAGCTCAACAGGTGAACCCAGCCGGGGCAGGGAGGCCCAGCAATGCCCCGCTCTTGGCTCAGTCTCCTTCCTGGTCCCTGGGCTCAGCCGGAATCAAGCAGTTGGTTCCATGGGACACCGAACACCTGCTGGCTCCAGACAGGGCACAGATCTGCCCCCAGTGGACTTCAGTTAGACAAAACGTTTGGAAACAAACTAACTTCTGGTTGAAAAAAATAGTACAGCAAAAAAATTAAAGTAAAGAGATAACTTTAAACATTAAAGCAAAACTTAAAAAGAAAGAAAGAAAAAGGAAAAACCTTCCAAATGAAAGTGAAATCCGGCAAAGGAGTCAAGGTGTAAGGCACACAGCACTCCAGAGCACAAGCCTGCAGCAGGGAGTCTGCAGCCTGCAGGGACCAGGGACACAGCAGGTGCAGGCCTGCCCGGCGGGGCTGCATATGAGAGATGCAGGCCAGAGGGGAGGACACGGGTTTCATTTAGAGATAAAGGCCTGTAGGACCCCGAGCTAAGCCAAAGCAAGAAGGTTGGTGTCTGTGAGGCAACGTTTTTAAACAGATGCATTCTTCTCAGAAAAGGCCAATCTTCAGGTGGGCGTGGTGGCACATGCCCAATCCTAGCACTCAGAAGGCAGAGGCAGGAGGATCGCTATGAGTTCAAGGCCTGCCTGGGCTACATACCAGGATCTTAGCTCAGAGAGTTGAGGGGAGGCAGGGAGGGAGGGAGAAGCTTGTCTTCAAGAGTCTTTGTTTTATTATGAATTTTTAGGGAAGCCTTTACTTGAGCTCCACCTGGGCTCCAAATGGGAGCAACTGGTTTGCAAATTGCACGCGCGTCCAGAGGAGAGGGAGGAAGCGCCTTCTGCCAGGAAGGCGGGAGACAGCCCTGCCCTCTATTTCTCTTCTGTGTGACCCGCATGTGTGTCCTCCACAACCCTCGCTGAGCTCCATGCTTACAGAGGAGCGTGGGGCATCTCTCCTGAGCCCCACGGGGTGTCACCAATGGGCCCCTCTCTTCTGCCACGTTACCTCTCAACCAAAAGGCCTAGTGGTGGTGCCACCCCCAAAGGAACTTGGGGTGCACATTTAAGCAAGTGCAATCCCTGAAAGGTCCACAGCAGAGAGGAAGGTCTGAGAAGAGGGAGAAAGGAGCCCCAGTGCTCGGGGACACCCCCGCTTATCACAGTGGGCCACCAGGTGTTATAGCCACCTCAGATTCTCACAACTGTCCCCCCCGAGCTGCGCCCCTGAACTTGGCAAACCACACGGCAGTGGCCTACGAAGCCCAAGAGGAGACTGCTGGCCAGGAAGGAGGGTGCAGAGGGGTGCGGGCCACCCCACTTCCTGCCCGAATCCCAGCTCAGAATTTCAGCTATTTGAGGAAAGCCAGCAATTTGCAGAATATGTTTGCTTTCAAATAACTGCACTTACACTCTGGTGACACAGAAAGCTGCTCTCAGAAGCACATCAGTGCTCAGTACCTATCTGTTGCTTGAACAAAGTGGCTTACAGAAGCCCGTTTTGGAGAGGGATCTGGACGCGGCCTCGGGAAATGTCTCTCGGAGGCCGCCCTGCTGTCTCAGGGCTTCTGTTTCCTGGCCCTGACGGGAGGCACACGAGCTGCTCTGACACTCTGGGGTTGAATACAGACTTTCCTCAAGTATTAATAAAAAATGTTTTTGAAGACAGAATTCTCTTTTGAAGACAGACTTTCCTTGAGAAGGAAATATTACCCAATATTAATGGCGTTTCTCACTTTTCTATGCACCCACGGATTTCTGGGTAGCTATGGACCCCACATACCCATCACGTGCACACATACACCCACACACATACTTGTACCTGCATGCACACACAAACTCACACGTGTAAGTGAACAATCTATCTCACATGCAAAAACGCACTTCAGTGAACAAGCTCTCTTTCTCTCCCTGTAGTGTACATTCACACGCACACACAGACACACAGACACACACACACACACATACCCACACACCCCGCGGCTGCTGCAGCACAAAGGGCACAGGGCTGGCATGAGAACATCCAGGCTCCCAGGGAAGTGTTAACGTTGCCCAGTTCATTCAGCAGAGAAAACCCAGCCAAAAAGTCACAGCCCTGAATTTGCAGTCCAACACACCTGAGCTCAATCCCAACTCCCCGGAGAGGAGCAAAACTGAAGAGAACATTCCGGAAGCCATATGCCCGACCTGCAGAGGAGCCCATCAGTGCATGGCCTGCGGTGGAACCAGGAACCTGCTGTGTGCAGCGAGCTGGTGACAGGGGAGCTCACACCCCTGGCCTGCCAATGCCCGTGTCCTTGGCGAGACCTACACGCTCAGACCCAGGGAGGTCGAGGGCCTGGGCCGTGGAAGCAAGGCCACACACCACTTTGGTCCTGCACCGCTCAAGCAGCCTGGGACCCGCTCACCAGCCATCGCCCACCCTCACCCAGCCTCACCTGCCCCTGCTGACCTGTGACGAGGACCTCTGCCGGAAGCGGGTGGCTTCTTGCTCCTGTGCAGCCATTTGGGGCTGGGGCACCAGAGTGTGAGCAAAGCAAGTGGGCTCGGAGGGGCTCAGCCCTGTCCCCCACGTTTCCTGGACACCTCCCTCCAACACGTGGCTGCCGGGTCCTTGGCCACCTAGGGATGCAGGGCAGGTGGCACAGCAGCCCCCTTACCCCGTACCGTCTTGGGCTCCATCTCCATGACCTCTTCACTCCCACAGCCGTGGGGCTGCAGGAAAGCACTGCCGGCTCTTGTTCCCCCTCCTGCTCTGTGACTCTGAGAATCCCTATCCAAGGGGTCTCCTGAGAAGGACCGGCCCTGTCCCTCACACCCACCTCAGTGCTCCCTGTGGCTCAGGAAGTGGAGCCAGGAGGCAGCAGAGGCCATGCTGGGCCATGACCTCCTCCTGGGGCTGGCCCTGCCACCTGAAAGCTGACTTGTGATTTCTGTACACAAACAGCAGCCACAGATGGCTGTGGCCCCTCTGTGGCCCTTTCATGGCCCTTTCGTGGTCAGTGGCTTCCAAATGCAAAAGCTCTCAGGGCCCCATCTGGTAGGAATGAAACATCCCACAGTCAGAGTGGCCAGGCTCTGTCCCTGGATGCTGGGGCAATCGAATCAGCCTGGAGCCCAGGATGCACTGGGCATCTGGACTGTCCTAGTTCCCTTCTGTCCTGCAGAGCCTGAGGGCAGGAGTCACCCAAGTGCCTGAGTTTGAGACCGCACTGCCTGCCTGGCCACCACCCGTCTTTCCCCTGTGGGGCACTTAGGACATCCAGGTCACCCCTGGATCATTCTTCCTCCTGCAATTATGAGCAAATGAGTGGGTTTGAAATGCTTGTGGGGGCACGGGCAAGACCTATTCCTAAACTTGTTTTCATGTTAAGGAAGAAAACAAGGGCTTGGAAGCCAAATGCCCACAGGGGGAAGCGGGGATGGCCGGGGCCCTTTGCAGCCTGGCTTTTTTTTCTTCCTCACATTGTCTCGGTAGGGCAAGACAGTCAGCGGTGGGATGTCCAACGGCCAGCAGGGCCAGGGAGCAGGGCAGGGCTTCGATCCCACTTCCCACGCACGGCCTCTGCTGGTCCCCGAGGACACCAGTGGCCCTGGGCAGGGCCGGGGCCGGTTGCCACACCGAGCCTACGGCCAGCAGGCTGCAGCCTCCCCAGCCTCTGCTGATGAGACTGAGCCCGAGGGACCCTGGCTCCCCAGCGAGGAGGGGTCCGGGCTGCCTCTCCTGGGAGCTGGAACCGGAAGACCCGCCAGCCCCACGCCGCACCACCTCCCGGAGGAAGCCAGCGAGCGCTTGTTCCTAATGAAAACCTGGTGTTGTGCGGTGGTCGCAGCCTGCCGGCAGACCCGCCCCTTCACTTCCGTTCTCTTGGCCCAGCCTGGACCCCGCTTTGCCGTCAGGGCGTGCGATCTGCCAGCACTGGAATGTCAAGCGGGGCCGCCTGACATCTGTCAGCTCATGCCGACCCCTGACACTTCTTCACTCTTTTTACTTTTATCCTACGTCATTTTAGAATTAAAAAATCACTAATTTTTAATTTCGTCGGCTCAAATGGTAGCCTCCAACAATTACGCACAATTTTCCCTTTGAAAATGAGGAGCGGTTAGGAACTGGTTGTAGCATTTCTCAACCAGTTGACAAAAGACTTTCATAATGTATCAAATTTGTTTTGATTCCAAAAAAGTGTCATGGGCTGCAGGACCCCCTCAGGAGCCAACCAGTCCTTATTTGGGAAACAAATGTTTACGTTCAGTGGCATCTCACGATACAAAAAGCACTTGGCAGAATGTGTGTTAGATGGGACCCTTCATCAGAAGAAACCTGAAGAACTTTTAACAGTTTCACTATGGACTAATGATTCATATTTTTACAGTTCTGACCCAAACTGCACAGCTAAGAAAGGGATAAACCTGTAGAATTTTTAATCCCGAGCCCCCGGGAAAGAGGCAGAATATGTAACAACAGAATAATGAAGCTTTGGGCACAAGTCAAATTGCTTCAGCGGGGCACAGGACAAGAACACAGCCAATCACAGGGTGGCCGATGCACGGGAGCCTGCCCGAGGTGGCCAGCCCGGGCAGGACACGATCCCCTGGCTCCTGCCCGACTCTGAGAAAGCAGGCCCCTGAAGCAGACACGAAGACCCCGACTGGTCCCCCGGAGCCATCCTGCTGTGTCTAGGAGCCTCAGCCCTCTGCCAGCCTTGGAGCTCTGGGTGTCAGCCTTCTGCAGAGGAGCGTGGCTCCCAGTCCGGCGCTGCGAGCCCTCAGTGACACTCCCACGGTCCTTGAAGCCTGCAGGCAGCATGCAGACAAGAGAGAAGCCCTGGATGCCCTTGGAACCGTGTCCTCTCCCATGGGACAGGCGATAGGCGAGCTGGGTCACTGATGGATGTGATCTGCAGGATCGCTGTAGAGAAACTCAAATTCCACTTTGCCACAAGCCGTCTTGGTGTCAGGGCCACGCCAGCCTTTCCCAGTGCAATACTCACAAACCCCCGGTCCGGGTTGGTGAGAGACTGGGCATCGCTTTTTAAGAAAGGCGCAGGGAAAGACATTTCACCTATTTTATTCCAACAGGGCTTTCAAGTTTCTTAGCCAAAGGAGAGAAAGTGAATTCGTGTGCAAGTGTGCTTGATGGACTGAAAAGCATCATTTGCTCCAGGGAGGAGACCATGGTGCCTGCCACCTGTGTCCACCCAGTCCCCCTGAAGCTGCAATCGGTCATCTCGACCTTGGATAATCTCTTGTACTGACACATTAAAATCCTTAGGTTGAGGAGAAGGCGGACTTGACCACTGAGACCCTCAAATCCTATAGGCAAAGGTGGCGCCTTTCCTTGTGAATGGCTCTGATGTTTATAAAACATTACAGGAACCCTAAAGAGGCAGCATCTAAAAGCTGATAGGCAGAAGTGGGGGTGCTGGCCATTTTCAGGACCCAGCTTCCCTCGGGCGGTCCTTCTGTTTGCCTTTTGTAGAGAGGGTGGCAGGTCTCTGTCCTTGGTCACGCTGGCCTTCCAGGACCCCCTCCGCATCTGGAAAGGGATGAAAGAGGAAGCAAATAGGCTGGGTCAGGCTGAGTACTGCTATGGTTCCGAGGCCCTCCGTCCCGTCCCGTGGGGTTCGCCCAAGCTCAACACAGCCGTCGTGGCTTCGGACGAAGCCGGGAGGAGGAGGCAGGGCCCGCGGAGCCCACCTGCCGGCATCATTGCTCTCCCGGCGCTCTGAGCCCAAGTTTGCCGGTGCTGGTAATCTTAGCCTCGCGCTGCGGAGTGTTCCCGCCCTCAGAGCCCAGCGCGGCGAGGGCTTACAGGACTCATCAACCCTGGGTGGCAGAACCACACTCCGGGGTTCTTCTTCCTGGGACACTGTCTCCTTCCCACCGACGTTCAGCCCAGCCTGACCCCGTGAACGCAGGGCAGATAAGCTCCGAGCTTCCCCATTGCAGCCACCACTTTGACGCCTCCACGGGGATGTCCACCTTCGGGGGTCGGGGGCCAAGGCAGCAAGCAGCATAGGGCTCAGTGCTGTGCCACTGAGCGGGGGCCTATGCCCAGCTGGTGGGGGGGTCCCAAGAGCCCCTTTCCCCTCAGCAGGGACACCCATGTTGATGAGGAAGGCGGAAAGGGGCCCAGACCCGGTGGCAGGTCCTCCTGCCTGGGGTGGCTCCCGTGACCCGCTGGACAGGGACATTGATGCTGACTCTCACCTATTTAATTTTGTGCTCTCTCTGTCAATAGCCCAAAACAGGATGGAACAATTAGAAAGGGCTTCGGTCCTCGGAGCGTGCACTGCAGAACTTCCAAGGGGGCCTCTTTAGTGGCAATTAGAAGACAGGTCAAGTGGCCCGCGGCCTGGCCTCCCCGCAAGTGCTCGCCGAGCGCCACTGCAGAGGGCCCAGCGGCAGCCTGACCTGCTCTCTCTGGTCTCTCGTCCCAGATTTATTACAGAGTCATTAAGGACATCGAGCCAGGCGAGGAGCTGCTGGTACATGTGAAGGAAGGCGCCTACTCCCTGCGGGCTGTGCCGCCCGGGCTGGACGGTAAGACCCGGCCCTTCTGCATCTATCACCTGACGCTGTACCTGGTGACAGGCATCCCAGTTGCCCCCTGCAGGCCCAGGCACAGACAGAGGGCCTGCTCGTTCTGCCTCCTTCCTGGAGTCCCCAGAGTGGTGTCCTGAGTGTTAGAAGGGCTTTGCATGGGGGTGAATCGGGGTCGTGGTGAATATCTCTGCAGCCTTGGAGACTCTGGTCAACTTTTTAAACTGTGTCATCATTTGACCAGCTTTTCTCAATTCTGAGAAAAGGAGAGGGAAGGGGAGGGGGGAGGGGGGAAGGGAGGGGGAGGGGAGGGGGAGGGGAAGAGGGGAAGGGGAGGGGGAGGGGGAGGGGAGGGGGGAGGGGAGGGGTGTCGGACAGCACAAAGGAGTGCCTTAGGGGCCTGGCAGCCCCTGCTTCCCAGAGCGCTCTCGGGTGAAGCCCGCCTCCGTAACAGCCAAGGTGCTGTAGCTGTCTCCAGGCGACTCCCATCCCTAGGTTACATCCAAGAGACACACTGGGGGAAATTTTCTTTGGTGGAGGGCCCTGGAGGGGGTTCAGGGTTGGGCCGGGCCTGCAGCGGTCGGGAGTCCTTTCACTCTCCCTGGCCTTGGAAAGCTCTGGAATCTTCTCCTTGCATTGCCAGGTGATGCCTGCCTGTCGGCTGGACCCCGTGGGTCCCCTGTCTGTCCACACCTCTGAGACAAGTGTGGGAAAGCGCCGGCCTTACACACACCAAGGGCCAGGGGAACCCTTTTCCTTTCTTTCTTGTTTGCAGTGCCGGGTGCTGGTTGGACACAGGGCCTTCACTCTGAGCTACATCCCCAGCCAATTTTTTTGAGTTTCAAACAGGGTCCTGCTAAGTCACTGCATTGCCTAGGCCGCGCTCAAACTCCTGATCATCCTGCCTCAGCCTCCCGGAGTGCTGGGAGTCATGTGCCCACAGCTAGACTTGGGGTTCTCAAACACAGGCTCAAGCTGCTTCCTGCATGGCAAAATGCAGGGTCCCAGCCCCGGGGGTTGAAGGGAGGTTCTGTTGGCCCAGAGGGCGGCTCCAGGGCTCTGTGTGATCACCCTTGCTTTGCCGAGACCCCTCGTTGACAGGAAGTCCCCAGAACTGCTAATTCCTGCTCAGGCCAGAGAGGGAGGGACTTGTGGTCTGCTCTGCCTGTGGTGCACAGACTTAATGATTAACGCCACTCAGACCCCTCTGATTCCTCAGGGAGGGGTTGCACAGCTGCCCAGGGGCAGGCAGGAGGCTCTGAGTCCTGACACCCCCAGAATGCTGCCTCAATTTACCCTTCTGGCCCTCGGCGGGCACAGCAGCCAGGCCCCACCTTCACATAGCAGCGGTTCACAGCCCTGAGCTGTCAAAAGCAGATCAGCACAGAAGGCCAGTGTCACCAGCTGGGGCCTGTCTGTCCTCTCTGCTAGAGCTTGGTTTTCATTAGGCTGTTTAAGAAAAGAAAAATAAATTGCCAAAATCTGGGTAGCAAGAGCGAGCTCTCATTTTCCTTAAAATAATTGTTGAAAAGACCTGTGAGTCTTGGAGAACACACAAGACTCCAGAAGATAAATCTGCTTAACTTACAGAGCATGTTCAGCTGGGGGGTTTCATTTGTACAGTGAAATTTCTTTCTTCCAAAAGGTTTTTAAAAACCTCAATTCCTGCGCCCCGCCGGCCCCAGCCCCCAGTACTAAATAACCTGGGTCTACATCTTCCTAATAATCTATCAAACGCTCGTGGGCTAATTGCTTCCCACACATAATAGTCCAACATCAAATCTGTGACTTTCCTTCCCTCGGCTGTCAAGGTCGCTTCTGTGACTCCCCAATGGCCACCCCACCCCCAGCTAAACTCTGAATCGCGCAGAAAGAAAATGCAAAAACGTTCCTCACTAAGATAATTATCATCAAAAAATCTTTTCCACCGACCCCAGCTAAATGCAGCCGGCCCCTTATCCCTGCAGGAATTTGGAGTAGCTCTTGAGCTCTTTTGAGGCTGGAGTTGAAGATTAGCATGTGGATGCCGGATAATTGTGAACCCCTCCGTTCTGAAAGCCATTAGGCACTGATTTATTTTTCTGTTATGTTCCTGCCCGGCCGTGAAAGTTGCTGGTGGAACTTAAACTAGACAAGCAAGGGGCTGCTCTGACAGGCGAGATGCAGGCTCCTGCTTTGGGGCGCGTGGAAGCCCAGATTTCCTCCCTGGCCCTCGACCCCCGCCGCATCTGCATGCAGAGGCTTCCCTTTCCAGCAAATGGCTCTTTGTGTGCCCGTAGCAGAAGGGAGCTGAGGGGCGGCCACGTCCAGGCAGCAAGGAGGAAAAGGAGCCCCGGTTTGCCAGGACACGCGTGGGAGAACAGCCCTGCCCACGGCTGGGAAACCACGTGGCCCTGCAGAGCTGTGGCTCTGTTAAGAGCCACCACCCCACAGCCAGCCCCTCGGGAGGCCGAGGCAGGAGTCCATCCTGGGCAGTTTAGCAAGACCCCTTCTCAAAATAAAAAAGGGTTGGGAAGGTAGCTCGGTGAGAAGGCCAGCAGCAAAAACCCCAGACAAGTTCCAGTGGCCACACAGATGGTAGAGGAAGGGGAGCCCCTCGAGCCCCTCAGTCCGCAGCTGGTTTTGCGGAGGAAACTCAGGATCGTCAGCCTTCAGACTGGCTACCATTTCAAAAGCGGTATAACAGCTCACTTTACTGTAGGAGGTCATGAGCACACCGGGCTGTGTGGCCCAGGGGACGCCGTGTGACGGGATGGGCAGTGAATGTGGTGTCAGGGTGTCGAAGAGCAGCTTCGTGTCCTTCAAAACAGGATCCCTCATGCTGGGAAAAGAAAAGCACCTACCCAGCGGGGCCCGGGCGCAGGCTCACCCTCCCTGCCTGCCGGGGAGCCAGGAGAGCGTCTACACCGAGGCCGGGCAGCAGCTCACTCAGGTCCGGTCCTGCCCTGCCCTGCCCTGCCCTGCCCTGCCCTGCCTGCCCTGTCCTGCCCTGCCCTTCCGCAGAGGCCAAGCTTGTCACTGCGGCCAGCTGCATCCACAGGCTGAATGTTCATTTTAAAGGCCAAAAGTCTTATTTTAAATCTTAATTCCAAAGCAGAAGGGAAAAAAATTAGTTGATGGGTAGAAGCAACATTTCTTCTTGTGTGAGTTTTTTCTGTTGGCTTGTTTTTGAGACAGGGTCTCACTGTGTAGCCCAGGCTGTTCTGGAACTTACAGTGATGCTCCTGCCTCAGCCTCCAGAGTTTGGGGTTCTAGGCATACACCACCATGCCCTGCTCTTATCTCTGTTTTCAAATCTCAACTCTGTGAGTGCTTTTAGTTGGAAGCTAGAAAAGGCCCAACAGGAAGGGGCCTTTCTAATTCACCAGGTGCAGGTGAGCCCTCCTGCCTCAGCCTCTGCAGCCCACAGTAGCAGCTCCGTAGGACCCAGTGGGCCCAGCATGAGAGGGGCACTTTGTGCTCAGATCCCCAAGGCATCCCCTCAAATGCAAGTCGGAGCCTCTGATGACAAGAGGAGGCTGTGGAGGTGGGGGGGTGAGCACCCCAGACTCTCGCAGGGCCATGTTGTACATACGTAACCCTCAGCGGGATGCTGGGGCCCAGCCTCCTCTCCATCCTGGGCCTCAAAAGTGGAGGTGGCTATGACCCAGGGCTTTGCTCCTGTCCTGGGTGAGTCCCTCCATCCTCTGGCCACCACTGACCTGAGACAAAGCCGGGACATGAAGTCCAGCGCATGCCGTGACACTGTTGGGTGGTGCCTGCCTACGGAGGAGGCCCATGGGCCTGGGGGCTGGTGTAACTCCTGAAAGAGGGGCAGGCTGGGGTTGGATTGGAAGGCAGCATCCGGGCATTCTTCCCGCAGCACAAATCCTCCTGCCCACCCTCCAGCCTGCCAGAGTCTCTGGCACTCGAGGATGAGTCCAGGTCTGGCAGGGTGGCCCCTGCTTGGCCCATCTGGGGGATGCCCCCAGGAGGCCTTTGCCGGAGACCTCAGCCCCACTAGGGGGTCACAGCTGGGGCTGATTCCTCGGACTCCGAGCTCCACTGCCTGTTCCTCTACTCTTGGTGCAGGCTCAGGGGAGCCACAGGGCCAGGGTGCCCAAAGCAACCCCACATGCAGGCTCAGGGAGCTTCTGGGTCAGCAGGAGGTGACCCTCCCCCTCTGTGGTCACTGTGCTGATGGGCCCCTCCTTAGGACTCCGAGAGGCCCGTACCCAGGTGGCCGCTTCTCCTGTCCATCCTGTCTCTGCTGCCTGCCTCAGCCAGCCCTTAGCCCTAGTTTGAGGCCTTTGGGCCAATGTTCAGCCCCGGTTTATTAAGGTTCTGCTCCTTGCTGTGTGCAGGCCGGTCCCATGTGTGTGCACACACCCAGACACAGCCATAAGTGTACACACGCACCACACACGTTCACACTCACATCCAGATACACATGAAAACACGAGCACATGCAGCACGCACACCAGTCACACATGCTCACATCACACATGGAACACGTGCATGTATGCACAGAGCCCCCAAATGGACACACGTGCATATGGAGACACACACATAAGCACATGTGCAAAGTATACATCAGTGAGCACACAAACGTGCCCAAATACACACATGCCCAAGCAATCACACATACTTACACATGTGCACACACGTCCATAGGTGTGCTCACATAAACACAAGATGCAGAAACATGAGTGCAAATAGGCTGGAATGTTCACACTTGTGCACACACATTTGTGCACATGCACACATTCAGACAGCTGCACCCTCACGCACACAGCTTCACTGTTCAGCTCGTGTGGGCAAGAGCTGAGAGCAGGTGTCTTCTCTCCAGGCCTGGGGGGGAACGGGGTGCCCTGCAGTGGAGACCCCACCCTAGGTGGAAGCTGCCGGTGTGGGAAGCTGGGGCAGGGGCAGGGGTGGGATCCCCACCCCAAGGGGATTCCAGCTCCTGGCGGCTGTTTGGCTTGGCATTGTGGTCAGGATGCTGCCTCGTAAACTTAATAATAGCTGCCCCCTCTTAATTTGTTTGACCTTGACAACAATAATTTATTATATGCATTGGAGCTCTGTCGTCTTTTTTCCCCTATTCATAAACAAAGCCCTGGGCCTGGCTTCCTTCTCCAGTCCCAGGCAGGGAGGCTGCCTGAGACAGGGAGGGGCCGTGGGGCTCAGCCTTTCCTACGTGCAGAGATCGGGTACCCCCTGGGCAGCCATCCCGGCCCAGAGTGAGGGCTGGAAGGGGGCAGGGCAGGGTGGCCAGGGCGGGCCAGGCCCCACAGGGGAAGGGTGATGGAAGACAAGAGGAGGCTGTGGAGGTGGGGGGGTGAGCACCCCAGACTCTCGCAGGGCCATGTTGTACATACGTAACCCTCAGCGGGATGCTGAGGTCCCACGGCCCGGACAGGTCCCTGCTGCCCTGCCCACCTGCCCGATCTCTGTCTTGCAGAGGAGCCCGCATTTCGCTGTGACGAGTGTGACGAGCTCTTCCAGTGCAAGCTGGACCTTCGACGCCACAAGAAGTACGCGTGCGGCTCGGCTCGGGCCACACTCTACGAGGACCTGGGCGACGGCCTCAAGCCTGAGGGTCTCGGCGGCAGTGGCAGCGATGGGCAGGCCCACGAGTGCAAGGACTGCGAGCGAATGTTCCCCAACAAGTACAGGTGTGCCCCGCCACTGGCACTGGTCCCTCCTCGCAGTCGGGCTTGGTCCCAGGGAGCAGAGGAGATGGGACACAGACCAGCCACTCTTGTGGCGCTGGGGGCAGGGCAGGCATAGAATTGGCATCCAGACGTGCCCTGGACCAGCCTGCAGCGAGACCTGCCTGTCCCCACAGTCAGGCCCCGCCTGATGCAGGGGACACGGGACCTGCTACCCAGGGGCTCTCAGGATAGTGTCGCCTCTAGACACACCAGATTCTGTCTCAGTCAGTGAGCCCAGGGAGGGGTCAGCCAGGAACCCCTTGTCCCCAGGGGACCTGGGCCCAGGCTTCAGGGAGCCAGGAACTGTCAAACCCAGGGTCCTCCTGCTGTGCCAGTTTCCTCCAGGACAGAATCAGAGCAACACGCCAACAGGTCACTAACCACCGTGATGGTCAAGGATTTCCATCCATCCTGTCCCTGGCTCACTGGGGACAGCAGACCTCTGCCCCGAACAGATGACTGAGAAAATAAGCATGTGGGCAAAGTCCCACTGAGGCCCGGCGCAGTGAGCACCTCGAAAGAGGGTCCCTGTTTTCCTTACATAAACACATAAATCACAATTAACAACAGGGAAAAGATACAATCTCCCAAGGCCGGAGAAGCAGGCGTTTCTGATCTAAATGGATGGCTGGGCCCCGTAATTAACGGGCCATGATATATTACTGCTTCACTCATGAAGATTAACGGTCATCCTGGGGCCGGGCGGGGGGAGCAGCAGGGGTCCCCCGAGAGGAGGGGATTAGAAGCTGCTCATTCAGCCAAGAGAGCCCCCAGGAGCTGTGCGCCCCAACACGTACATTGGAGACCCTGTTCTCTGGCCCGGCCAGCCTCCTCCATGTCCCTGCTCACCTCACAGGCACCCCCAGTCACTCAGAGAGCTGGGTTTCCTGGACTCCTTTGTTTCTAGGTCCAAGCTTGGCCTCAAAGTTGGAATGACCCAGAAGGGGGCCGGGGCTTGGGGGCCCTTGCCTAGTGCCGAAAGACCGCACAGAACTGATGGGGCTGATGGGGTCAGGGGCCCCTGGTCCTGGGCAGAGGCTGAGCAGGGAGGCTCTAAGTGACCCCCGCCCCTGCACACAGCCTGGAGCAGCACATGATCGTCCACACGGAGGAGCGAGAGTATAAGTGTGATCAGTGTCCCAAGGCCTTCAACTGGAAGTCCAACCTCATCCGCCACCAGATGTCCCACGACAGCGGCAAGCGCTTCGAATGTGAAAACTGCGTGAAGGTACCTGGCGTGGGTGTGCGCTTGGCCCTTGGTCACAGGTGTGGAGGACAGGGCATCTCACAGATGACATCACACAGCTCGGAAGGGACCAGGTCCAGACCAGAGCCCCGGTCCTCTCAGGGCGGCTCTGTCCCCGAGCCAGGCTCTCATGGGTCATGGGTCTTCAGCTAAGCCCGTCTCCACTTCGGTCCAGTCAGCCTCCTGGGCCGTTTTCTCAGGAGTCACTCCATTGAGGAAACTGAGGCCAGGGAGGCGTGGCCACCTGCCAAGGCCCTCAGCAATTCAGTGCCGCGGTGGACACCTGTGCTGGCCAGTTAGGGCGAGCAGGGCCGAGAGGGAGGGAGGCAGGGCCCTGCCCCAGGGCCCGACGTGGGGCGTCCAGGAAGGGCACAGGCCAATAGCGTCTGCCCCCCAGGTGTTCACGGACCCCAGCAACCTGCAGCGGCACATCCGCTCCCAGCACGTGGGCGCCCGGGCCCACGCCTGCCCAGACTGCGGCAAGACCTTCGCCACGTCCTCCGGCCTCAAGCAACACAAGCACATCCACAGCACCGTCAAACCGTTCATATGTGAGTGGCCGGGATCCCCCGCCTGCAAAGGGCTCAGAAGCTCCTCGGGCCGTCCCGATATCTGGGGACCCTGGGTCCCTGCAGCTCCATGGGCACCCCCAGGGCCCGTGTCCTCTGAGCCTGTCGCTCATGCTGCCCTCGTTGCCATCCTCCGCCAGCTCCCTGCCCTCTGCCTCGTCTATACAGTGGCCAGGTAGGCAGTGAGTGGTGGTGAGGGCCGTTCTAGTAACCCAACGACCTGCAGGAGGGGCCGGTGGCCTCCTAGGTGCCCTGTCCACTCTGTCCACGCCCGCCCCTGCTGAAGTCCTCTAGGGAATCCCCGTGTGTGCCAAGCACAGGTCCAGGTAGCCAGGGAAAGCACCTGTCCTCATGGTGCTCACACACTAGCAGGAGGGAACAGGCAAGCACCGAGCAAGGGGACAGCATGTGAGCCTGGGGACAGTGGTGCAGGGCTGCTGCCGGGATGGGCACCGTCCTTGCATGTGTGAGGAGAGACACTGGCAGAGTAAGCCCAAAGGGCCTGCAGAGGAGACTGTGGGGGTGGGGGTAAAAGGGAGGGGTCAGAGGTCAGCAGGATCAGTCCAGGGTGACCGATCCCCAGCGAGCTCAGGAGCGGTGAGCCAGCCCTCCCCATGCCGCCCAGCATCCTGTCCTCACCCGGCCAAGGTCCCTTTGCTCCACTCAGGTGGAAAGAAAGGACCAAGTGCAGGCTTTCTGTCGCTCCCAGGTCCAGCGCTGGGCGTCACCAGCTCAGCCTTGGCCCCTTGCGCAGCTTGCGGTAGAGACCGCAGAGTCGAGCAGCACCGTGGGCACCAGGCTCTACCTAGTACAGAGGAGGCTGGGCCCGCTAGGGCTTCAGACGGGGCCCCTGCAGGACAGGGAACAAGGCTAGAGCAGACAGGAGAGCTGGGCTTGGGCACACCCTGGCAACTATCGCACGAGATAGTGTCTGACATGCACAAGCTCCATCGGGCACGTCTGGGGGTTTTCTTTTTAGCTCAGACCCCTGACCCAAAGGCACAGGTTCTGTGATTTCTGCACACACTAGGTCAGGGCTTTGCTCTTGCACTGGCTGCTGGGATGTGCAGCCAGCCCAGCAACCTGCGCACTTGCACGGGGTTCATCTGCTGTGGGCTCACCCAGGATGGCCCGCGTTGTCCCAGCAGCGTCCCGTGCTGCGGGGCTCATGGGGGGGGTTGGGGGAGGATTCAGCAGTTCTGAGCCTGGTCACTGGTGGAAATGAATTGCTGAAAGCAGCTTTTGATCCACGGAAAATCAAGGCTTTCTCTGCTCTGTCTCACACACACACATCCACCCGCCACATGGAGTCATGACACATGTGTCACGCTGAGTCATCACGTGCAGCGCCAGGTGTCCAGCACGGAGCCAAGTCAGCATTCCCTGAGCTCTGTCACACTGGAGCTCACAAGGTCCTGCACATCAGGGCATCACTCACTACAGCTGCTGGAGAAGGGAACCAAAGCTGCTGAACATTTAAGGGCCAGGTGTTGTGGCCACACTGCAGGGCCCAGAGTCCAGGGCCTTGCCCCCGTGCTCCAGTCCCTAGCCAAAGTAGCCATCTGCCCATTGGCCAGTCCACAAGTGCTGCTTTGCCACCAGGGCCACCTTCCTACTGCAGAAGGGGCATCTGGCCACCGGGGGACCAACCCCTCATGCTGCCTGGAGAAGCACCGTTTCCCTCTGGAGGGGGACAGGGAGGCCTAGCTAGGTAGTTCGAGGGGCAGGGGCATCGAGGAGGCTGCCCCGGAAGGGTGGGCGTGTGCCTACAAAAACTGAGGCTCAGAAAACTGTGGCCCTAGACACCCGCCTCTCTGCACATACAAGTGAGATTGCTCAAGTCCCCTGGTCGATGTCCATAACGTGAGTCCCAGGAACTACAGCTCCTGGGTGGCTGAGTCCACCGTCTCCACAAGCTCCTTGCCAGATAGACAGAGGCCAGGGCCAGCCAGCCAGCATGGCAGGGGCAGACTCTGGGGCACCTGTGCCTTTGGGTCAGGGGTCTGAGCTAAAAAGAAAACCCCCAGACGTGCCCCCAGACGATGGAGCTTGTGCATGTCAGACAGTGAGGGAGCCCCGAGTCCTGCCCTACAAGGAGCAGAGCTCCACACGGCCATGTGCAGGGCCCCAGACACCCTCTACACACAGACTCTGTGCCCACCTGTCTGGTTGCACCTGCATGCATGGCCAGTGTCCAGAAGCCCCAAATTGACTGCAGTCCTGGACAATGCTCCTCCTCCTAGGGAGCTCAGGGGTGCACTGGAGATATGTGTGCATGCACGTGTGTGTGGGCACTCGGGAAACAAGTGGGGGAGAAGGAGGGGAAAGAGTGTCTCGTGCACAGACACAGGTAGGCCCCTGTTCACGGGGACTTCTCAGCAAGGCTTCTAGGTACAGGTGTGCAGTGTGAGATTTGGTCAGTGTGTGCATACCCCTCAGCCAGACAGCCAGGGCCAGGCCCCTCCCTGTCCTGCAGGTCTGTCAGGCAGGTCCCCAGACCCAAGTCACTGTGACCACCTGGCCTGCCTCTGCTCCTACACAGCCACCTCCCTTGCCAGCTCTCAGATCCCTTATCATCTGTCCCTAGCATCCAGAACCTGTCCCCTTGAGGCCTCAGTGTCTCCAGGCCTCCCTGAAGCCCTCCCCACTGCTGGCCTCACGGAGCAGTGAGTGGGACCAAGTGTCCCTCTGTGGGCACAGTGCTGGCCCAGCAGGTCCTCCTCCGCTGTCCTGGGCAGCTCAGAGCCGCTTCCCAAGCTCAGGATCACAGCAGTGATGCCCACCACTGCCAGAGCCCCGAGGGATCCAGCACAGCAAGGGTGTGCAGGCCGGTGGGGGCGAAGGGTATTTATAGTCCCTCCACAGCAATTTTCTCCCTGCGCAGTCTCCAGAAAGGGCAGATTTGATTAAATGAGGCAAAACTCGTGTCCCTTCAGCCAGAAAACACCCACCAAGCCAAACAGCCGGAAGGCAGTGGGGTTCACATAAATAGATACCCAGATGAGGCTGTGCAGTAATCTCAGAGCAGAGGCGCCCACCTGGGTCCAGGAGATCAGGCAGCCAAGGACCGTGGAGGGCAAGAGGCAGGCTGAACTCACACCTCCCCAGGGCTCTCTGAGGAGCGAGAGGGACACGGGGCACTTGTGTGCAGGAACACACTCGCCTGCCCCTCTCAGAAAACAGAGAGGACAGTGGGCTCTTCACTGGCTCAAAGGTCCCCAAAGATGGGGGTTCTCTGAGCCCCTGGGGCTGGGCTGGGCCCTGGCTGGAGAACGTACCTACACTTTCATACACATACATACGGGTATGTGGGTGCATGTGTGCACGTGAGGGGTGCACACGTTTTGTGCATCACGCACACACATACACAGTATGTGTGCATACACAGACATGCACACACATGCATACATGCACAGTGTATCCACACATCCGCACACTCCACAGGACATAGACACGCACACGTGCATGGTATGTGTGTGTACACCCTTGCACGCACCCCACAGAGATGTGCACGCACCCCACAGCCTGCTCCCAGCCTTGGGACCCCCCACCCCGCCAGTGCAGGCGTCCCGGGTCGTCTCAGGCCTGTCCCTCTCCCCTTGTGCCACCGTTCCAGGTGAGGTCTGCCACAAATCCTACACACAGTTCTCCAACCTGTGCCGGCACAAGCGCATGCACGCCGACTGCCGCACGCAGATCAAGTGCCGGGACTGCGGGCAGATGTTCAGCACTACCTCGTCCCTCAACAAGCACCGGCGCTTCTGCGAGGGCAAGAACCATTACACAGCGGGCGGCCTCCTGCCCCCCGGCCTGCCCCTGACCCCCAGCCCCATGCTGGACAAGACCAAGCCCTCCCCCGGCCTCAGCCACGCGGGGCTGGGCTTCAACGAGTACTTCCCCTCCCGGCCCCAGCCCGGAGCCCTGCCCTTCCCCGCCGCCCCGCCGGCCTTCCCCGCGCTCACTCCCAGCTTCCCGGGCATCTTCCCTCCGTCCCTGTACCCCCGGCCGCCTCTGCTACCTCCCACGCCCTTGCTCAAGAGCCCCCTGAACCACACCCAGGACGCCAAGCTGCCCAGCCCCCTGGGCAACCCGGCCCTGCCCCTCGTGTCTGCGGTCAGCAACAGCAGCCAGGGCACCTCGGCAGCCACAGGGCCGGAGGAGAAGTTCGAGAGCCGCCTGGAAGACGCGTACACGGACAAGGTCAAGGCCCGGAGCCCCGACATGTCCGACGGCAGCGACTTCGAGGACATCAACACCACCACGGGCACTGACCTGGACACCACCACGGGGACGGGCTCAGACCTGGACAGCGACGTGGACAGCGACCGTGACAAGATCAAGGACAAGGGCAAGCTGGCCGAGGGCAAGCCCGAGTTCGGGGGCAGCTCGGCACACCCGGGCGCCGCCAGCAGTGTGGCGGAGGTGCCCGTCTTCTCCTCCCAGCACCCCTTCTTCCCTCCGCCCGAGGAGCAGCTGCTGACCGCCGCGGGCGCCCCTGGCGACTCCATCAAAGCCATCGCTTCCATCGCCGAGAAGTACTTTGGGCCCGGCTTCATGGGCATGCAGGAGAAGAAGCTGGGCTCCCTGCCCTACCACTCCGTCTTCCCCTTCCAGCTCCTGCCCAACTTCCCTCACTCCCTCTACCCCTTCACGGACCGCGCCCTCGCCCACAACCTGCTGGTCAAGGCAGAGCCAAAGTCACCCCGGGACACCCTCAAGGTGGGCGGCCCCAGCGCCGAGTGCCCATTCGACCTCACCACCAAGCCAAAAGAGGCCAAGCCCATCCTGCCCCCGCCCAAGGCACCCTCAGCCCCCATGTCTGGCGAGGAGCAGCCCCTGGACCTGAGCATCGGCAGTCGGGCCCGAGCCAGTCAGAACGGGGGCAGCCGGGAGCCCCGCAAGAACCATGTGTATGGCGAGCGGAAGCCGGGGCCTGGCGAGGGGCTGCCCAAGGCGTGCCCAGCGCAGCTGCCGCAGCAGCCGACCCTCCACTACGCCAAGCCTTCGTCCTTCTTCATGGATCCCATCTACAGGTATCCGCACGCCCCGCCCTCACTGCCCTCCACAGGGCCCCACCTCCAATGTCCCCCTCTCAGCTCTGCCTCTGCTGGTTTCCAGGAGACGACACCCCTGGGTGCACACCCTTGGGAGGGGCAGCAGCCTGGCTTGGGAAGGGGCAGGGTCTCCAGACACTTGGGGATCCCTCACTCAGCTGGCCTGGAGCCCCACTAAGTCCCATCCTGGATCCCTAGCCGGAGCCCTGCTCCAGGGCACAGGGCATCTTCTCCACCTCCTGGCATCCATTCCCACTTCGGGAGCCCAGCGTGCCAGAGGGCTGCTGGCCTCAGGGTGCAGGAGGAAGAAAAAGAATGGGGGAGTCTGGAAGCCCAATCAGGCCCTACCCCTGTCCAGGCAGACAGGGAGAGCAAGGCCCCACATCAGCACCCCGTGGCACTGTGAGCAGGGCTCTATGCACATGTGTGTGCATGCTGGGACCGGTGTGCAGGGAACAGGCACAGCCTGGACCGTGTGTGTCTGCGTCCCTCCACCCTCGACTCTAAGAGGCCCGGGGGAGGCGTCTCAGGACACTGAGGGTAAAGATGACAGCCGGCGAGGTCAGAGTGAGGCTGGCCAAGGGCTGCCACCTGCACTCGCCCGCAGCACCCCAAGCCAGGCTCCAACACCCAGCACGGGCAGCCTGTCTTCAGCTGGCTTCCGGAAAGGCACCGCCACTGCTCATGCGCATGGGGAGCTGGCAGCCCAGGGAGCCCTTCTCCCAGTGAGGTGCCCCGCTGACATGTGACCTGGGAACCCCTTGGGGTACAGCATAGGTGCCAGCTGACAATCATGCTCGCTATGCAGCCAAGGACACAGGAAACGGTCCCCAGACACCTTGACGTGGCCCAGGTCCAGAGGCTCTGCAACGTCAGAAATAAATGAGCTGAACTGAGATCAGGATCCCGGGACACAGCCAGGGGACAGCGGCATGGGAGGGGGGAGGGGCCCGCTGCCCGCTGACAGCACAGGACTCAGGCGGTGACTGACTCAGCGGGCGGCCGGGGGTGACCCTCTGCTGGGCCCCAGGCTGCAGCTGTGGGTGCGGCTGCTTGCTCCACTCTGCCTGGACCCCAGACGCCTCTCACGTTGAGGGTCAGAAACCTTCCCCGAGGGGCTACCGTGGTCCTTTCACGCACACTGGTGCGCACACACACGCACACTCGTGCACACAGGCACATCCCAGTGTAATTCACATTCACGCATGTTCACACTCACTCGTGAACTCACACTCATTCTTACCCAGTTGTACATGCACACGTGAGCAACACTCACTCCGTACACACATTCACAGAGCCACATGCTCATAAACACTGCCACACTCGTACCCTTATTCACACTTCACTGTGGGTATACTCATATTTACAGGCTCTCAGACACAAACACACACTCATACTCACGTGCACACACACACACTGCGGCACACCCGGGCCTGCCAAGCGCTCTGGGGCTGGGGGCCTGGAGGGGTCCACCGGCCCGGGAATAGGAGCACCACCTCTGCTCCTCACCGGCTGCCTTCATCACCCCAGCCACCCGCTGCGGGAACCCAGCCCTGCCGGCTGGACATGGAGCCCATTAGGGCACCTGCTAGGGCCCAAGGCAGATCCCTCCCTGCCAGTGGGACCCACACCGCTGGCACCGCTCCCAGGCCCAGTGCCTGATGCCTGTCCCACCCTGGCCAGGCCCTCAGCCTCCCCTGCTGGCCGGGCACCCTGGGGCACCCTGGGGTTGGCGTGCTGTCTTCCTTGTCACCTCTCCCTGCAGCTACCTGTCTGCCTGCTCCGGCCCAGGACAGGACTAAGACTGCAAAGGCAGAGCCAGGCATAGTGGCTCACACCTGTAATCCCAGCATTCAGGAAGCTGAGGTGGGAGGATCGTTGGGAGTTAGAGACCAGCCTGGGCTACAAAGTGAGCTCAAGGCCAGCCTGAACTGCATAGCGAGACCCTGTCTCAAAAAAGACAAAATAAATAAATAAAAGACTGCAAGAGCAGAGTTGGAGGGTACAGGGACCAGGATGGACCTGTCCCGGCCCTGTGTCCAGGGACCAGCCCAGTGGGAGCAGGCTGGGGCATAGAAGGAGGCTCCCACCACACTGCAATCCTCGGGGGATCTGTGGGGCAAAGTTGGGGTTGGGCCATTGCTGAGCCTCCAGCGCTGTGCTCAGGGAGTCCAGGACCATGAGGCAGCCCCACTGTGCAGACCTGACTGCCGGGGACCCCAGAGAAGGCCCGAGGCCCCCAGTCTGTGCACACCTGGCCAGACACGCTCGGGAGCTGGGAGATGAGCATTTGGAGGACAGCAGGGGCCTGATGGTGACGGAAAACTGGGGCCTTGGAGAGGAGAGTGAGGGAAAGAGGATCTGGGTTCCCAGGCAGGTGACAGAGGGGTCAGGTGAAAGGCACAGGCAGCCGTGGCATTGCCCTGTGTGGCTAGTGCCCACGTGGCACGGCAGTGGCTCCATGAGGTACGTAACCCTCTGTGTTGCTGTCCAGCAGGGTAGAAAAGCGGAAGGTGATGGACCCCGTGGGCGTCCTGAAGGAGAAGTACCTGCGGCCATCCCCGCTGCTCTTCCACCCCCAGGTAAAACCCACGTGGGTGGCAGGAAGGGTCCCTGGAACCCCACAGGGAGGTGCGGGGCCACGCCTCCTGGACCTGCTTGGGTGACCCGTGGAGTGGTCCTCCAGAGGCACAGGGGATCCTCTCCCTGCAGACCCCACAGCCACTGCAGGGTGGGGAGGTGGAGGAAGGGGGTCCTCGAAGAGCAGTTCTCCGGCCCCTCTGTGGCCTGTTGCTTGTAGCTCACCACCTTCAGCTCAGGACTCCCAGGGACATGAACTCGGCAGCCTGGGAACAGAGCTGAGATGGCCCAGAGCTTCGGGCAAAAGGAGCAGAACCCCCCACAGCAGCCTGGCTGAGACCCGGATGCCCGAGCTTGCCCTTGTATAGAAGGACAGCGGTGACAGGAGGAGCACCCTCCTCAGGGGTGGGGGAGGCAAGGCCAGATCCTCAGAGGTCTGAACTCCAGGCCCCATCCTCCAGGGCGGCACAGTGCCGTCGCCCTGGTGTCCTGCACCCTGGGCTGCCTGTCCTCACCATGTGGGGCCGGCACCCAACTCTGACTGCAAGTCACTGTCCCTCCCCCACCTCCCTAGAGGGGCCTGGGGACACTCAAACCACCCTCACAGTCCTGTGCCCCTGGAGCATTGTTCCCTGGCTCCCCTGCGCTTCCCGCCATGGACAAACCCACAGTTTGTGAAACCTGGACCTCGGCTGAATTCACAGCTAAACTTAGTGCCCCCCATTGTGTCTCGGAGCCTGCAGTTTGGTTAATAACTTCCCCCGATTTTCCTCGGACGGGCTGGCAAGAGCCGACAAGCCAGCCAGGCGCATCCTGTGTTTGTGTTTGCTCCGGGAGCTCAGCCGGGAATATCTGATGGGGCCGAGCAGCCACGCAGGCAGGACCCACCCAGGCCCGAGGAAGAGAGGCCCGCAGGGGGCTGGCTGCCCATTGTCTGTCCTGCCGGTGCCCCCTCGACCCACCACCTTCTGCCTGCCCTGTGCCCAAGGGCAGGAGAAGAATGACTAATAAACCACTGTGCTCCGCAGGCTGAGGCTGGGCCATCAAGCCAGAGGTTGCTGTTCCGCAGCGACCTTACCTGGCACTTGCAGGTGGCCAGCTCACACCCATGCCAGTATGCAGCCCTGCGCTGCAGCCTGAGGTGTCCCTCTGGGCACAGGTGTATGCAGTGCCGCCAGGACCCAGTGACTCCAGGGTCCTTGGCATTTCCTCCTGGGTTCCGCTCCAAACCCAAAAGTGCTGGGCGGCTTTCCCGTGGGCCCCTAGCCAGCCTCCCCCTCCTGCAGCACACATAGCAGAACTGGGGGAGCATAGCTGAGACCTGAGGGGCTCCCCTGTCCCCTCTCCTCCTCTGTCAAGAATGCTGAGGCCTCAGCAGGTCACCCAGTCCTGGGCTTTGATCAGAACTGTGTCCACCAGATGGAAAAGACCAGTACCTCTCGACCCTCCTCCTCGACCAAGCCCAAGGCGTCCCCAAGGAGCAAAGGCAGCTTCCTTGTCCGTATCAGCTGTCCTGTGCAGCGGGACCCTTGGCACTGCGATCCGGGTGTGCGGTGGCTGCTATTCGCCTGCAATTATGCCTTCTGCCACCAGGTGGAGGTGGCTCCCTGCAGGGTAGTTCCCTAAATTTTAAAGAGATTCCAAAACAGTCCTGTTACGTGAAACCCAAACTGCAGAAGAGCTAGTCAGGGTCAGCCAGCTGCACTGATGACCTGGGAAGAGCAAGGCGACCCGCCCCAGAGACCCCTGGACCCACTAAGCACCTGCAGATGTGCTCAGCTGTAAAGCACTCAGGTGCCAGGAGGGGCCACCGAGCCCAAGCATCCCTGACTCCCTCTCTCACGCCGGCAGATGTCAGCCATCGAGACCATGACGGAGAAGCTAGAAAGCTTCGCAGCCATGAAAGCTGACTCGGGCGGCTCCCTGCAGCCCCTGGCCCACCACCCCTTCAGCTTCCGGTCCCCACCCTCGACACTCTCAGACCCCATCCTCAGGAAGGGCAAGGAGCGGTACACGTGCAGGTGAGGCCCTGGGCTGGCGGGAGGCAGCCTCGAGGTCTTGCTGTGCCACCTGAGAGCCGGGTTTCCGTGGCCCACTGTCAGCTTCCATCCTCCCAGCTGAATCTAGAGGCCAGAGGTGGGCGAGTGGTCAGTGCGCACCCCCAGCTCTTAGGGACAAGCTGGCTACAGTGTCAGGAGTACATGCTCCCTGGCTGGCTCACAGCTGGTACAGGCGGTCCAGGCCGCTCTGAGCCTGCACTGCCCACAATTGGGCTGGGTGGCATTGACCGATCCATGCCATGGCCCAGCTGGCTACTCTGTAAGACTAAAGCTGGGCTCCAGGCCAAAGAGGAGGCTGGGATTCGGGATTTAGATGGCACCTGCATCTCGGTGTGAGGTCAGGGATTCTGGCGCTGGTTGGAGAGGTCAGAGAAAGTAGGCTGTAGGTCACCCTAACTCCTCCCTCCCCACGCCTGCCTCCACCAGGTACTGTGGCAAGATCTTCCCCCGATCAGCAAACCTCACCAGACACCTGAGAACGCACACCGGGGAGCAGCCGTACAGGTAGGAGTGCCCCAGGGCTGGGGAACCATAGGTTGAGATTCTGCACTGTTCAGCTGTCCACTCTGAGCAATGTGGCCACAGCAAGGCTGCGCTCACCGGCACCTGGGGTCTGGTGCTTCAGGCCCCTCGCCTTCCGCTCTCTCAGATGTTGGGGTGAGGCAGGAGGCGCCCAGGGGGCTGCTGGCAGGGTCCTTTGCCACTCACAGAAAAGACAAGTGTGGCGGCCCTCCAGCTGTACTGGCCACTGCCCAGGCTAGGGCTAAGCATCAGAGCAGGTCCAGGCCCCTCTGCTCTTCTGCTGATGGCCATAGCTGCCCTCCCAAGTGGTGGACCAGGGAGGGACCTCCAGGCAAAGGTGGGGCCCCATCTGGGCCCGGGAGCCTGGGGAGCATGAAAGACCCTATGGCAGCTCCAGCTGGAAGCCACACGTCTCCCCCACCCCACTCCTGTCTCCCGGGCCGTGATGTAGCTGCTCTCTAGAGGCAGCCATAGAATTTGGGGTTCAGAGCAGCTCCCCAGCGAGTCTGGCCATCCTGGTTCCAATGATAACGAGCCAAGGCTCAGATATGCCACCGCCTCAGCCTCCTACCCTGTTCCACTTTGTCCCTGGGGCTTTGTCAGGTGGCAGCCTGCCCAGTGCTCCCAGAGGGAACCCCATCGCCCCAGCCTGGGCGACTGTCACCCTGAGACACACGGGGACCGCCCATCCCCTGACAGTACCAGTTTAGTAACGCACCGGGCGTGTCTGCAGGGGAAGAAGAAAAGACTTGGCTGGGTTCGAGCTGACGGCATTTGATTCCCATATTGTGCCCACACCGAGCTTGAGGTCACCAGGAAGTGACTGCAGGATGATCCAGGCCCTGGGGACTTGGTCTGTGTGCCGTTCCTGGGGAGGGAGGCCGCATGCACTGCACACAGGATTGTCCGAGAGCCCCGCTCAGGGCATCCCTGGAGGCCGCAGCCCAGGGTCAGTGACAGCTTAACCAGCTGCGACCAGCAACACCCTCCCGCACACGTCCCCTCGGCTGCCAGGGGTATGATGACTTAACAAAGGCTGCCACAGAAAGATTTATTTGGTCCAGTCCCCTCCCGGAAAACCAGCAGTGTGCTTTCTCTGTAATGAGAGCCGACTTTTGGACAGTTTTGCGTGCTAAGAGCCCCCAGAGGGTCCAGGCTGAATTTATAGAAGAATTTAATTATCATTGATTTCTTCTGCTGTCTTCAATCTGAGAGGTTCGACTTTGGTAACAATAATTGCTTTGCAAGTTTGTGTGCAAATCCTGACTTTATCTGGCTCAAGGCAGGCAGTGTGGGGCTTTGATGCTGCATGGCTCTTGGGACTGCTGTGCTCCTAGGAAGGATTTTAGGTTAGAAGAGGGAACAGTGGTCCATCCTGGAAGCCCTCAGCGCTGCTCAGTCCCAGGGAGGATCAGGACCCCTCCTCACCGCCCACCAGGAGTCAGCCTGGCTCAGTGGCAGCACCACGCACAGGCACCTTCCTGGGTACCCACATGTATGCATGAGTGGCCCAATGTGTCCCAGCGCCCTTCATGGGGTGATTCTGCTCTCCTCGGAGGAAAGGCCACCCCACCTCACCTCTCCCCAACCCACCCCACGGCCCAGCCAGCGAGCTCGGCTTCTCCGGGCTCGAGATCTTTGGATGAAAGTGAGACCAGGGCACAGTGAATGGTGCCCCGAGTCTTTCTCTTTTTTTTTTGGTATCGAGGATCGAACTCAGGACCTCGCACTTGCCAGGCAGGCACTTATGCCGCTGAGCTAACTCCCCAGCCACCTGAGTCTTTTGACTCCGGCACACAGTCTTCGCAGGACTTGGTTAGAAAGGACTCAAGGTGGGACTGGGTGAGGAGGCTGCACCCCACTGTCCGGGATGCTGGGGCATCTCCTGGCGGCTGGCAGCACCTGTGCCACACCTAGGGGAGTTCTGGAGCCTGGCCTGGGGCCCCTCCCCGCCAGCTCTCCTCTAGGCCCACACCACTGATGGCGCTGTGTGTCCAGCCCTGTCCGCGTCTGTTCAGAGACATGCCACGTGTCTGTGGGGCTGCGGGGCCCTTTGCATGTCGTCTATCTCGTTAACTTTTATTTTGGGGCTGGGGCCAAAGTCTCTTCTTTCCCTGCCCTTCTGTTAGCAATGCCTGTGGTGGCTGGTCCCAGGGAGGACGCTGCCGCCCAGGGAGCTAAGTTTTACACGGACATTGCTGCCCTGGCTATTCATTTAGATTAAAACTAGGAGAGGCCTTGGTCGAGGCACTGTGACCAGAGGGAGGCACAGCCCCTCCCAGCCCCAGGGACGTGCCCGGGCCCTGCACCCTTACACCAACAGTGTAGCCCATGCTCCAGGGACACCCCCGTGCCTGGAGGCCATCCTGTGGACCCCTGGGAGATGCAGCACATGGGTGCCGCCCAGGCCCCCAGAACCAGAATCAATGAGAGAGCCCCAGGAGGCCTCATGGTGCCTCACGGGAGAAGGGCTGCTCCCTCCTGGGGGCCATCATCAGACTCCTTAGGCTGTAACCGGGCAGCTCAGAGGTTAGCGACTCTCAAGCTCGGGGGGCCAGCTGTGACATAGGCGGGCCTGTGGCTCTGCCCAGGTCTCTGTGTTGTGCCAGGCCCAGTGCTGGCCACTCTTAACCAACCTTCCCTCCCCATGTCATCGGGCAAGTCCCATCCAAATGGATGCTGCCCTCGACCAGCACCAACATCAAGTGGGAGGCTTCTGAAGGCCTGGCCCTCCTGCTGGGATGAAAGACCCTGGGGAAGGCACGAGCCCCACCCTGGTCCCACGGAGGCTGTGTATGTCCTGCCTCTGAGAGCCCGCAGCTGAGCATCACTCCAGGGATGTGGCAGAGGCCTATTCTCCTCCAAACAGGAAAACACGATCACAGAAACAAAGTCCCCAGGTGTGGGTCGTTCTGTTCTGATAAGCAGCTCCGGGGGTGCTAACAGCCAGGGGCACGTGAACACGCTCACACACACAAGCGCACACACACTGCACAGGTACACACCTGTGTGCGCACCAGAGTCAGGCTCTCCTTTGTCAACATCAGGCCAGGCGCACGGAGCTCGGGGAGAATCTCTGTCCTAGCCGCGGCTTCCCAGGCAGCTCAGGTGGGAGCCATGCGATGGACCCTGCGTCACCTGGTTCCCTTTCCCTCGGCCTAGCCTGCTGCTCGCCTCACATCCGCTCCTCAGGCTGCTATGACCAGGGGGGATGCCCTTCGGGCTCTGGCCCAGCTGTGAGCGACACCCCACACAAGGGCACCATGTAGTGCCCCTCCCAGGGGAGAGCACAGTGTTCCTGAGGGCACTTGGCGGGTCGGAAAGCATTGGGCTGGTCGGTGAAGCAGGGGCATCGTCTTCTGGTTCTCCAAGTGTGTGGTGCAAGCTGGTGAAGCCCAGCCACCTGGAGAGGGCCTACAAGGAGCCAGCAGTGCCTCAAGGGTCTGAATGGCAGGGCGCTCTCCACAGCTGGGGGCAGCAAGGCCAGAGCCCCGCCCCACCCCAGAGCAGCTAAAGGCATTCACAGATGCCGCACAGAGGCCTGAGCCAAAAGGGGCCAGGCCCTGCAGGGCTGCAGGGGAAGTGGCCAGAGCCAGGCGCACTGCCCTCCCCCTGGGAAACAGAGGGCGGCTCCAGGCAGCTTTCCACAGTGCAAGGTTGCCCTCTTGCGGCTGCCAGAGGCATGCGGGCCCAGGCAGCAGGGTGGAGGCGGTGCTGGGGTCCCCACTGCAGGCCCAGGGCCAGCAGCTTCCGGGAAGGCCTGGGCCGACTGCACCCCTTTCCACGCGCCCGACGCCTGTCTTCCAGGTGCAAATACTGCGACCGCTCCTTCAGCATCTCCTCCAACCTGCAGCGGCACGTGCGCAACATCCACAACAAGGAGAAGCCCTTCAAGTGCCACCTGTGCAACCGCTGCTTCGGCCAGCAGACCAACCTGGACCGGCACCTCAAGAAGCACGAGCACGAGGGCGCGCCAGGTGGGGCTCGGGGGCACTGCTGCCCCGTGGCCGGGGAGGGAGGGCCTGCGGGTGCGGCCTGACGCCACCTGTCCGTCCCCTGTCCACAGTGGGCCAGCACACCGGAGTCCTCACCAACCACCTGGGTACCAGTGCCTCCTCCCCCACCTCCGAGTCAGACAACCACGCACTTTTAGATGAGAAGGAGGACTCCTACTTCTCTGAGATCAGAAACTTCATCGCCAACAGCGAGATGAACCCGGCGTCCACGAGAACAGACAAAAGGTAAGAGACCTGTGGGTGCCCCCCGCCCCCGTGCAAGGCTCTCGTCCACCTGCCTCAGCCTCCCCCGCCTGCCCCAAGCGCCCCGCCTGCGGGGCTGTGAGTGTGAGCACACCGTGTTGCCAGGAAAACCGTGAGGCGGGGTGCCCTTGATGAGCAGCCACACACACCACAGAGAGCCAGAGCCCTGGTCAGATGTGTGAGGCACGCGCTCACCACAGGCCCGCTGCGTCCTCCACAGCCAGCTCGTATTTACCCAGTCTGGGGTGCCCTGCTGGCCACAGGTGGACACCTGGACACATACAGGTATGCAGAGTCTTTTCAATTTACAATAAGGCCACGTCCTGCAGACCCATCAGGAAGTGAAAATGTGCGAGCCTCGCATGTGGCCAGTGCTGCTCACCCGCGCCCATCACATGGCCAGCCTGCTCTGCAGGGGCATGGAGTCTGCAGCTGGGTGCCCCAATCTCCCCAAGTCTGCTCATGAGAGCTCGGGGTGTCCTGTTATTCACTGCTCACCTTTCCCCTCCTGCCGCCCAGCGTCCCCAGTGTGTATCGTTCTGAGCACAGCCCGCTGGAGCGAAGATCCGATGGGAACTGTGGCCCCTGCTAAGGGTATTTCCCTTTCTCAGCATCCTACAGTCCGAAACTCAGTGAGATCTTTAAGTCAGAGACTATCTGTTACAGACATGTGGATACACACATACCACACATGGAGTCACTCACACACGCATGTGTACCATATACATGTGCACACACATATACGGTACACCCATGCACATGTACACCTGCCATACACATGCATGTGTGTGCACATAGGCGTGTGTGCACATGTGTATACACACCCAGGCACACACCTGCACACCTCCAGAGGGAAGCAGAGCATAGTAGGATCCAGTGTCAGTGATGCCAGGCATTGTGGCCTCCATGCCCCCGGGCTTCAGCATCCAGAAGCACTGGACCCCACGAAGGGGCTGTTCTGCGGCCAAAGCTGATTCCAGGGCAGCTGCAAGGAGCAGGGGTACTGCAGCCCCCGAGAGGCCCCAGGAAGAGACCCCTGGCTCCACAGCAGGAAGCCCTACGCCTGCAGCAGGGGGTGCCTTGCTCCTGTCCAGGCCAGCTCAGAGCCTGTGCCTGGGCCCCGACCTTACCTCACTGTCTATGGCACCAGGTCCAGCCCCCCACCTCTAGCAAGCAAGAACCCCGCCCCGGCTGATCTTCTCCAGAGCAGGGTGGTGTCTCCCTTGTTGCTGGCATCCCAGGGCAGGGGTGGGGACCCAAGAGACACACCAGGCAGTCAGCAGCAGAAGCTGCACTGTAAGGTCTTATGGCCTCCTGCAGAACCTGGAGTACAGGGCCCTGTGTCTCCATCCTCGGCACCTGGTGGGGCTTAGAGATCCACGGGGGACTGCTGAAGGACGAGGGGTAGCTAGGTCCCCCAGTGCCGGTCCCTGGCCACCCCGACCCTCTCCTCTGTCGGAGCATTTTGACAGGGCTATCCCCACAGCCCCCTGCTCATCACAGCCCTGGGACAACAGAGAGTGAGGCTCGGCCTCCAGATAGCCTGTCCTGCTGAGGCGAGGTCAGCCGGGCCCAGCAGCTCTTGCCTTGAGAGCCAAGGGGTCTCTCGTTACTGTCCCAAGTGAGCACATGTCGCCTTCCTTCAGCCGACCTGGCGGGGCACTGGTGGTCCCATTTGTGGCCAGGACTAAAATCACCTGGTCCTTGTTCAGAGCCTATCTCTGCCCTTGGTGGTCAGCGAACCCAAGGCCTCCGGGGTCCTGGGCCTACAGTCTGCTCTACAAGCTGTCAGGTCGCACTATCCCCGAGCTCCCTGTTCAGTGTTCACCCCAGAAACTCCATGTTTCTGTGCAGGGACTGGGCCCTCCGGAGGTGGCCACCATGGGATAGGGCATTCCCGATAGAGGGGGGCTGCTGGTCCAGCAGGACAGGGGTCTCCCACATGGGAGATCAGCATGGCACATCTGCCAGTCAGGGGCACCAAGGGCCACTGGGAACACCGGGAGCTGGGTGGGGCCTGGACAAGTCCCCTGGAAGCCCAGCAGGAAGAAGGCCCCTGTGCTGTGAGCAGCACTCGTGGGGCAGATACAGCACAGGCCGAGGTGCCAGCTTATCCCTCGCCAGGGCCTGTGCTGTTGCTGTGGACACCACAATCCACAAGTGAGGAAGAGCTGCAGGCCTGCACCCACCCTGTCCCCTGCTGTCCCCGAGGGCTGCACGCTGCCTTCAAACAGGCCCAGGCCCCAGATCACCCTGCTGTGAGCCAGGGCAGAAGGGGGCCCAGGCCCCACTCACTGGGCTCCAGGGTGCTCACTTCTGAGGAGAGGGGCTGTGTGCAGGACGGGCCTCAGTGCAGGCCACCAGGGCCACCTCCCAGAGCCTGCCGAGGTCCTGCCCATCCAAGAAGGCAGGGGAGGCACAGCTCCTGCAAACCTGCAAGGCCCCAGCAGAGCCTCTGTCCACCAGGCCCCGCTTGGCTCTGCACCCCATGTTGAGCCTGCAGAGATGCTGTCCTTGGCAAAAGGCACTCCGCGTCTCCTCCAGATCACAAGAGCCACCTCCGAGGCCCCAGGGCCAGGAGCAGAGACAGAGCTCTGTGTGTAGCCATCCAAAGTCACCGGCATTTGCAGTGCCACTCTGCCAGGTGACACCTGCCCAGGTGACTGCAGGTCCTGGCTCATCTGGGCCTGGCTGTGGCTGAGGCCAGGGCGGAACCCAGACTCGGGCGCTGCTTCTGGCCTTGTGCCTTCACCTGCCTTTTTTTTTTTAATGTTACTGGGAGCTGAACCCAGGGTCTTTGCACTGAGCTACATCCCAGGGCTTCTTTGATTTTTGTTGAGACAGGGTCTCCCCATGTGGCCCAAAGTGCCGAGTTTACAGGTGCGCACACCAGGCCCAGCCTCTGGCTCCTCGTACCAGTGAGGAGCAGAGCGGAGGAGATGAGGCTGGTGACAGCGCCCTGGCCATGAGGTGGGGTCTGGGCTGCAGGCTGGCCTGGCACACTCTGAAGCAAGGGCAGCCTTGCGGGTGTGGACGTCCCCACCCAGCCCTCACTGTCCAGGACCTGGTCCCTGACGCTCCTCAGGGTTCCCGGCCCTGTCTCACGGTGGGAGAGGGCAGGCGATGGGCACACCTCAGCCTCACCTGAGGGTGCCCCTTGGGCAGTGCCCAATGCCAGCACCAGCATGAGACAACTTCCCATCTAGCCCAGCTGAGCCCTGACTTTGCTTGAACCCCTGAACGGCCTACTGTCCGCTGCTAGGGGCCCTGTTCTGTCCCCACCACCCCTAGGGGACTCCCTTCCTCTTGAGCGTTCCTACCTCCTGCTGGGGGGACGAGGGAGAGCCGAGGGGACCAGCTTCCCCAGGACGGGGAGCTCTGAGCAGTGGTGGGCAGCCAGGAGCATCACCTCCCTGGGGGAGGGCAGGGAGGACGGAAGGACCAAGGACAGTGGAGACTGGCTGAGCAGCACCACATTGCTGGCCTGAGGGGGTCTGAACCAAGCCAACCTCCCCGCATGGTTCTAGGCCAGAGATCCAGGAGCTGGACAGCGACCCCCAGTGTCCAGGCCTGGCCAACGAAAAGCCAGAGGATGTAGAGGAGGAGGAAGAGGACCTGGAGGAGGAGGACGAGGACAGCCTGGCTGGGAAGTCCCAGGATGACATGGTGTCCCCCGCGCCCGAGCCCCAGGGTGTCTATGAGGACGAGGAGGATGAGGAGCCGCCTGCTGCCCTGGCTGTGGGCTTCGACCACACCCGAAGGTGGGGGCTGGGGGCACATACAGGAACTCAGCTGGGGAGGGGACCTGAGGGGCCATTGGGGGGCCAACCTGACCCTCAGCCTCCTCCGACCCAGGCTTTTGAGGACGCCAGGTCCACCCTACATGGCCATGGCCTGGGAGGGGCTGGAGGGAGTGGACGCAGGAGACAGGCTGTACTCCGCTGGGCTGGGCACAGGCTCCAGCACCTGGGATCTGGGTGCAGGCCAGAGCCACAGCCCCCTGTCCCAGCTGCTCCCTGCTGCCCTCCCATGGGCCCCTATGAGAGGCCCGCCAAGGTGCTACTTCTTGCCCGAGGGTCCTGGAAGCGGAGCCCAGCCCCTCCAAAGTGGCTGTGGCCTCTGAGAATTAGGCTCCTCCCAGCCCCCCCACCTCTGAGGCCAGGGCCCCTGCCTGCCCCTGGGACCTGCACGCATGCACCCCGCCCTCTGTGTCGCTTTCTGCATCCATATGGTTCCCCCAGGTGTCCTTGTGTCCATGTGTCTGTCCCCTTGTGCATGTGACTTGGAGACCCGTGGCGCGCACGTGGGCACAGCCAGAGCAGTAACCCCAGGCCCCTCTCCCGGTCCTCGGTGCAGGTGTGTTGAGGAGCAAGAAGGCGGCCTGTTAGCCTTGGAGCCCACGCCGCCCTTTGGGAAGGGGCTGGACCTCCGCAGAGCAGCTGAGGAAGCCTTTGAAGTTAAAGATGTGCTTAATTCCACCTTAGATTCTGAGGCTTTAAAACAGACTCTGTACAGGCAGGCTAAGAACCAGGTAGGTACTGCAGAGCCCCGCCCTCTCTCTGCCGGGCTCCAGTGGCAATGGCCACCCCGGCTCCTGGCCAGGGGACGCTCAGGACCCCTGTGCCCATGGCCCCCACAGCAGCTAGTGAGGTGCCCAAGGACCACCACCCTCCTGGAAGCCAGGGCCAAGCGAGGCTGAGAGCAGACAGATGTGAGCCGGTCCCAGATGCTAAATGGGGGTCACTTTCCCCTTGTCTCCTCCCCAGCAGGAAATGTCCACACACAGGCTCCTGCCACTCAGTCACCTGGGTCTCCCACTGTCTGACCCCCACCACAGATAGCCTGGCTGCCCCTGCTTCTGCCAGGGAGCTGCCTGTGCTGTCCATGAGGCCCTCACGATCAGGATGCCCTGGGGCTTGTCCATGCCCCAAAGCCCCCCACTCCACGTGTCTCAGCCAGAGCCGTCTGCGTGTCTGTCTGCGTCTCTTACTAATTCTGTCCAAAGTGTTCGCCTGCGGGACCAGCGCCGGCTTCTCCCGTACCCTCCCTTAACCGGCACCCCACGCTCAGAGGGTCCCCAGGTCCCCTCACCTCCTGCTGGGGCTCGGGGCTGCCTAAGGCTGGGAAGGGAACCCACAGCTCCTGAGCCGTGAGCTCCACCCTGTTCTGGAAGTAGCCCCAGCAGGCAGGAAGGGCTCTTGTTGGTATAAGGCCTGGTTGGTAACTGTCCCCACGCTCCCGGGCCTCCCCGCCATCAATCATTTGCTGATTACCAGACAAGGACACTGCTGGGAAATGACCAGTCAGCAGGCTCTGCTGAGGACACGGGCACTGTGGGCCTGGAAGCCCAGGCCAGCACCAGCGGGTCCTGGTGCCCCCTGTGCTCCCTGCTCTCACACCCACGCAAGCCCCTTCTCCAGGGCAGGGGCAGCATGGGCCTCTCTGGCCCCCTGTGCCCCTCCCTGTCCAGGGCAGGGGTCAGCGAGCAGGGGGCAGCCAGCAGGAGGTGGCCCTGTGGTCTCGGCCCCCTCACCCATCCTGTGTCCCCCCTCCAGGCATACGCTATGATGCTGTCGCTCTCTGAGGACACGCCCCTCCACGCCACCGCGCAGAGCTCACTGGGCGCCTGGCTGAACATCACGGGGGCCCCCTCCGAGTCCGGAGCCTTCAACCCCAGCAACCACCTCTAAAGGGCCGGGCCCGGACCAGAGTCCAGAGCCAGAGCACCTGCTGCAGGGATGCAGGGGGCCGGGGAAGCCCCGCTGCCCGTGGCGACACTGCTCGGCCCAGTGCTAACGGCTCCCGTGAAAACTCAGCACCCAAGAGTCCCCGAAGCAGCAGCTGGGCTGCCCTGCCTCCTCCTAGAACTGGCCCCAGCAAGACCCCGTCCCGGAGCTGCCTGGAGGACCAACACCGGGCGAGCGTGGCATCTTGATCCCAGCAGCCACCGCCAGGTGCCCATGGGGCACAGAGCGGGGCAGAAGGCAGGTGTGCGCCTAGGACAGACGTCTCTCTCGCCAGCAGTTTTCATAATGAAAGCGACGAGAATAGCCCTTTTGGTAATCGTATTGACTACAGAGTCTATTTAAGCATGTGGGTTTTAAAAATAGACAGTATTTTTTAAAAATCAAAAAAATGACTTGCAAATTGTTTTTTAAAAGTAATTTTGCATTGCTCTGAAATTTCAGCTTACTTGCAAAGACAGCCCTGCCTGGGCAACCAAGCCGGGCTCGGGTGTGTCCTTTATACTGTAGATAATGGAGAATTTTCTATCTCTGATCCTATTTGTACAAGCCAAGGTGATTCTGGGCGCCCCGGAAGCAGAATGAGGGGCATGGATCCACTCTTTCCGGCAGTGTGGACTCTGCTGGAACCCAGAGGCGCCCCCGTGTGGTCTGCGCGGGAATCCACAGGCCCCACCAAGAGCCCCCAATTGTATGGAGACTCTGGGGGACGCGGGTCCTCCCTGCAGAGGTGTGGCCAGGTGCCCTGTGGTCCTTCCAGCCCCATCTGTACCCTGGCCTCCCCCAGGCTGGCCCTGGCTTCTGTTCTCCCGAAGGCAGAGCTGAAGGTCTGCTTTCCGCCTCCCCAAGGCCACCGGCTGGGGCCCCTGCAGCTGCCCTGCTCCAGGACGCTAAGCGCTACTGTGCCTAAAACTCTGGATCAACCCCGCGGCCACCATCTCCACTCTTTGTGCAGGTTCTTGGCAGGCCAAAGTTGAGGACCGAAGGGTCCAGGGGACCCAGCACAAAAGGTGAAGAGGACACAGCCCTAGGGACCTGCAGCTCCTTCCTCTGGATATGTCCGCTTCTCCCTTTCCATGGGCTTTAAATTATTCCCATAGGGGCCAATTTCAAATAATCCTTTCTTTTCCCTGATGGAATTTACCTTAATCTGTATATAACTTGTAATTTTTTCTAATTCATTTCTTTTCTTATTTTATTTCTTCCTTAACAGTATTTTTGGCATTAGACATTCTTATTGTGAAGAAATAATGTTAATATAAGTATCTAGTGAAGGACCAAAACCGTGTAATAAGGTGTGTTGTGTGATCAATAACCAGGGAGTGGGGCGGTTTTAAATGTGCCAAATACCCCGCGTCCCCCCACGAATCCTGCTGTCGCCGCTGCCCACTTAGCAGACAATCATATGTTTTTGTTAAATTTGAGTTTCAGTCGCATTTGCATTTAAGACAAGTGTTCTATTTATTTTATGGTTTGGAAAAGAAAAGTAAGGAGTGTCCCCAAAAGAAGAGAAAAAGAGAAATTGCCCAGGTTGCCCTTGAACAAAGAAGACAGAAATGCAGGCTATCGTGACACAAGCCGCGCGTGTGTGGATTTGTTCACACTGCGGATGTCTATCAGTGTTTGTCCCCAGGGGCAACAGGGCATGTGCGGGAGGACGTGTCCCGGGCACTCTGGACCACGGGCAGTCGCCTACATCAGTGCCTGGCCAAGCAGGCCTGTCCCGGAGCTTGAGACAGGGAAGTGGACCAGGCAGACCGTGGACCACGCAGACCCACAGACCGTGGGGAGAGGGGTCTCCTTTTGCTAAACCCAAGGAGCATGGCAAGATGAGAGCCTCCCGTGCGCGCACAGACTGGAGAGGCCGGCGGACGAGCTGGCTGCGGCCACACCGTGAATGTTCTCCAACGCAAACCCCGTGTCATCCAGGCCTCCCGCCAGGTACCGCCATGGGAGTGTCCCGTCTCCTCCTGAACTAGATGGGATCCCTGTAAAAATCCAACCTCACGTACAAATGCCCCATTTCTGTAAACCCAAAATTATATGATTTCTTCTGTGAAAGATGATGTGTGTGCTTTCTTTTGCGAAGTGATTCTCCAAAGTGGGAGGGGTGGATGGAGCCGCACTGCCACCTGCTGGCGGAGGCAAAGAGAGAAGGCTCCCCTCTAACCGCTCTCCGGAACCCCCTGCCCGGTTCTGTCCTTCTGGGCTGGCCTCCCAAGCACTGTCTCCTCTTGCCAACCTCCTATCCCTTTCCCAGGACCCTGGTCAGATCTTTAAGTCCTATATTTTTGTTCCCTGAAAATGGTGATAGCAAACCTAGCTTCTCCAGAACACTCAGACCCAGCACTTAGCCATTTTGGAGGACTCTGACCTTGAACCCCTGACCAAGAAAGCACTTATCTCCTGCCCTGGGACAGTCCTGAAAGATGGCCTCCACACTTAGCCACCTCCAGGAGCCGGCCAGCTCCACCCCTACTTTTCTTTGTCCAGATGTGCCCGCCTCCTTCAGGCCCAGTGTCCTCAGGACCAGGAGACCAACCGGGGGCCAGTGGCCAGGCCCGGCAGGAGCTTTCCCAGACCCTGGCCTCTGAGCAACAATCTGCCACAGGTGGCTACATCCACTGGTAGCATGAGCAGAGGTGAGACCACAGACAGCTGGCCTGAGGATGGTGGTCCCAGCAAGGATCCTATGAGGCCAGGGTCCCTAGACTGCCACCCCAACCCTAACTCCTCCAATGGTTGACCCTCAGCCCCAGATGGAAATTCAGACAGAGGCCTCTGGCATCTTCCATCTGCCACCCTCCAGACCTGGCCTCGGGGCTCTGTTGTCGCTGTCATTCTCAGACAATTGGGTGGGATATGTGGCACCAGCGGGTGCCCGTGCACACCCCAGGGGTGTGTGGCAGCGCACAGGTGGGCTGGCGGGGCCTCCCTCCCAAGGCCCAAGTGCAGCTGGCCCGGCAGGCACTGACGGGCCCAAGCCCAGCGCCCCGAGTGCAGCCCCATAGACTCAGGGCCGTGGCTTCCTCTGCCTCCGCAGCCTCCCAGGAGTGACCAGAAGCCCTCGTAAGCACAGAGCACGTGTTCTAGATGTGAAGCCATGAAGCACTGGATTGTGGCCCTGACCCTGGCCCCTGCCCAAGCGACTGAAATCTACTGAGCTGTATTCACTGTGCTGTTCCAGGGTGGGGAGCGGAGGCCCGGGCCTGCGCTGCCGCCGCGTGGGGGCCGGGGAGCCGGGGCTCTGGGACACAGCCACCCTGGGTCACGGAGCCAGCCGGGGATTAGAAGCCATGGAACTGTGTCTGTAGCACTGAGTGATACTGTGACAAAGACGCTCTTGCATTATCCGAGTTCCTTTCTCCATTCCATTTTGTTTGTTTGTTTGTTGTTTTATCCTTTTTCTGTCATGGATCCACATTACCACTTTTTGGGGGAAAAATACAATAAACCCAAGCAGCTCGAGTCTCTGCGTGTGCAGGTCAGCTGCGGGCAGCGGAGCCCGGGCCAGCACGCGTGTGGCTGAGAGTCGGTGTGCACACACACACCCTGGGTGTGTGTGCGTGTGGTGCGCGTGTGTGCGTGTGTGAACGTGTGTGCAGGGTCCTGAGCCTGTCCGCCCACCGCCGTCACATTCAGATTTGGTTTAGTGTTGTTCTTGTTTTTCGTTTCGTTTTGTTTCTTTTAGAACTGTATAGCGTTGAACAAGAAATCAAATGTAAATGTCTGGTTTTCACATATTGTTTAAGAAACAAAAGAAAAAATCTAGCAGGAGGCCGGTGCTCACCCCACACTGTAAATTGCTTCTGTTGTGTTTATAGTGAACTGTGCATGGCTCGTGTTTCGCGGTCACTATGGTGTCTGTTTGTGAAGTTTTATGACCAGGAAAACCCGTAGATTCACTTACTGAATATGTGATTAGGGTCGACAGCAAGACCAGCGTCCCGAGCGGAAGCCCGCACCCGGGCCGCTCCCGACAGAAATCACTGTGGGAGAGGAAGGAGAGAGGCGCGTAGAAAATAATCAAAAGAGCGATTCCGCAGAACTCCTGATGCTTGTGACGAAGACAAACGTACTGTGTAGAGGAATCCTCAGCGGGAGAGCCTAGGAGATGCCGATTCTGAGGTTAATGCTGTAGAATAGGACTGTACACCAAATGTAATCTTTCCGATGCTACGGTGAGTTTATACATGAGATTGATATGCAATAAATCTGTGTGCTTTTCTAAGATTGGGGCCTGCGAGCTTCATTACGGAGGGGCCGAGGCCTCTGGGTGGGAGAGCAGCGGGGAGACTGGGCCAGGCCCCGCCCCAGCCCCCCAGCCTTGACTGAGGAGCCAGGATGCACGCGAAGCCCTCCTCCCCAGCTCAGGGCTGCCCAAGCTCCAGAGGAAAGCAAACTGCAGAGGGCACAGCTGCCCTGGCCCTGCTGTGAGAGGCGGCCTGAGAGGGCCTGAGGCGGGTGTGGAGGTGAGCAAAGGCCCTGAGGCCACAGGGTGCAGAGTGGCCTCCTTCAGGGGCCTCTCTGGCCTCAAGCAGGGAGCACCCCAGGACTCCTTCCTCCAGGGCCCGATCCCCAACCTCGCCCTGCTCTGACCAAGAGATCTCCTAAGGCCAGGTCTGAAGCCACACTCCTCCCCGTGGTGCTTCCCCGACACTTCCTGCCATACACAAGTTCTCACACCTCACTTGGGGGCCCCTGCACCTGCACCCCAGGGCCAGCCTGGCTTCCACACCCCACCCCATTCAGGAACTCTGCCTGTCTCCTCAGCCCTGGCTGCCGCCACCTCCAGGAAGACCTCTGAGCTGAAACTGCCCCTTCCCAGCACTTAAGAAGCTGCAGGCAGTGATTTCACAGGCACAGAACCCTAGCTTGGGGGGGGGGGGCAGGCCCCAGGACAGCACAGGAGAGGAGTCGCCCATCCCCACGCTCGGCCTCCAACACAGCACTGCCCGCTGCAGACAGAGCTCCCAAGAAGCCTGGGAGTCGCTGCAGGCGGGAGGGCTGGAGGTGCAGGTGTCCAAGGGTGACGTCCCTCAGCACAGATCCAGGGACACCACACCGAGGCTGCGAGGAGCCAGGATGTGCCCTGATGAAAGCCAACGCGAGTGGGGACCTGGGGCCCCCAAACAGAGGCTCCAGCTACTGCCAGAAAGGAAGACATGGAAGTTGGTCTTGGCACCGGATCCCAGAGCCCGAATCTGGGGCTCTGGCCTTTTATCCTCTCAGCGCCCAGAGCGTTCCACAGGGCAGGCGGGGGAGCAGTTTAGTGCTGCAGGGCCCTTCGCCTCCCAAGGTGACTGACCAAGTGTCACTGAGGACTTAAGCCTGGTGGCAGTCACCACGGGGTTCACCAGCAGCTCAGGTCCTGAGAGGCTGAAAGGCCCCTTTCTGGAAATCAGGACTGCGTTCTCCGGGACAAATGGCGTGAATCACAAGACTGATGAATGGCTGGCTCCCCAAAGTCACTGCAATCCAATGACAGTCTCTGACACCCCCATAAAGGCCCCGCCTGGGGCTCCCCACTCTGGGGCTCCAGTCAAGTGAAAACCGCCCCACTTTGTTCAGCCTGGCAGCCGCCCTGCTCATTAGCCCTGCAGGGCACAGGAAAACTCCCGGACGCCCAGCAGCTGACAATGGCCCCATTGTGGGGCGCAGGAAAGGAGAGAGCAGCCTTGGGGTACTGCTGACAAGCACACTTTGTCCCCCAGCGTTCCTCACATAAAAGACCGAGGAAAAAGGACCCATTTTGGAAACGGAAAAAAACCTACAGGAGAAAGGAAAAAAATCGTGTCAATGAAGAATCTGTTTTCTGGGAAAAGAAGTGCTTTCTCATCCCCCGCGTCCCCGGCCCAGTGAGAACTCGCTGGGTACGCGGGCCGCTGGGAGAACCCTCGCTTTCCTTTCTCACGCAGCCAAGTTCCCCAAACCCAGATGTGTCCCCATCTAGGTAGGCACCAGGGCCAGGGAGGGGACCGGGAGGGGGCGCCCTGCAGCACAGGGTGTTCAGGGTGTCGGGAGCCGGCATCTCTGCTCCCCCACCCTCCACCCTGCAGCTGGGCCTGATTCAGGAAGGGCATGCAGAGGGGTCTCAGGGAGGAGGAGCCAGCAACCTTGCAGAGTTGACTGGGTCCCCACCCAAGACCCAGGGGAGGGAGCTGGCTCTTCCTCTGCCCTGGGATGGGGGGGGGGGTGCAGCTCTGAGATCGAACTCACAACCCCGCACTTACCAGGCAGGTGCTTATGCTGCTGAGCTAAATCCCCACCCTGCTCCTCATTCCTGAGCCCTGAGAACTCCAGAAAGACCCAGGAAGCCGTCGAGACAGGACAGAGCTTTTACAATGCAGGCAACACAAAGGTGTGACACAGGGTCCCGGAGCCAGAAGGCAGGGTAGCACCCATCCACAGGGGAGCAGGCCACCCAGGAAGGGTGGGCAGAGACCATTGGCGGCACGGTGAGGCTGGGGGGGATGGTGTCAGCTCAGGAGCAGCAGCATCCCGTGGGACCGGGCAGGGGTCAGTGAGCAGTGCGGCTTTCTCTGGCTGGCCCTGAGTCGGAAACAGAAGCACAAATTCAGCAGCCTTGGTTGGGGCCGCCTGGAGCCCTGGACACCTTTGTGTGGGGCCAGTCACAGCAAAGTACTCGAGTGGTCCTACCAGCTGGGCAGGCTGTGGGTCACAGGGCTCTTCATGGAAGAGATTTAGCTTTCTAGAGACATTTTAGGGTCACAACAAAATTGGTCAGAAGTCACGAGATGAGCCCCATTCACCACATGCTCTCCCACCATGGGCACTGCCCGAGGAGCAGCTGGTCTGCTGTAATCCGCAGCCCACCCGATGGACAGGTCGCCCCTTGTGGTCGCTAGGCCTTGCCCTCGTGGACGGCCCAGGGGCTGCGATGCGTGTACGATGCACACGCTGACATCTCGTAAATGAGCAAAGCCTCGCTGCCCTCGAGTCCTGCCCCTCCCACGCGTCCCTCTCTGTCCCTCCCACCCCTGCGCCCCCGTCTGTGTGCAGGTCCCCAGAGCACCAGGGGCTGGAGTCCCTGCAGGAGCATTTTCATCCTGGCTTCTTTCACGTGCCACATGTGTGTAGTGACGCCCACACCCAAGTTCTCTGTTTCTTCCCAGAAGCTCAGTCCCTGCCAGCACCGCCCGGCTCCCCACTGCTGGGACAGGCTGCGTACTCACTGCCGACGAAGGCCGCCTGGGCTGCTGCTGTGAATTCTGTTTTACTGTGGATGGCACGGACGTCATGGTAGGCTTCATTCTGGAAGAAGCTACCACGTGGTTCCCCTGGTGGCTGCCCCAACATGTGGTACCCGGGAGCTCCACTGCCTCCCCGGGGCACTGGGCACAGGGTCTGCTCTCTAGACTACGAATCCCAGTGCCTTCCGTGAATTCAGCCTTTGGAAACAAGCAAGGCCCCCGCTGCAAGCCCGCTGGGCATGGACAGACCAACTACTGGTGCTTGCAACCCCTACACAACTACATGTCACCTGCAGGCTGAGTTCAGGAGCCAGTTCAGGGTCTGAGCGTGAGGTCCAGGGTCTTGGGGTGGTTTCCAGGGCGACATGGTGACTGTGGCCACAGAGCTGAGTCTGCACAGCGCACCTAACTGTGCCCCAAAGGATGACCACTTTGGTCAGCGCAAAGTGGACCCCAGTTAACCTGATTTTTCAAATGCAGCATGGTCCAGGCCACCCAGCCCTGCTTCAAGGCAGGAGCCCCCCTCAGATACCATCATTCCTGCCCTGGAGGGGGCTGGCAGTACCCACAGCCCTGCCGCCTGGCCCTGAGCTAAGCCTGGACCAGCCAGGCTGCCGCCAGCCTGGGAGGAATCCTGTGCTCAGTGGAGCCTAGGTTGGTGCCAGTGACAAGCCCTCTGAGCCTCAGAGGCGGAGGGGTGGGAAGGGTGGGTCCTTGTACCCTCCCGATCCCCTTGAGACTGGGCGTGGAGCTTGTGTGAGCAGACTCTGCTTGGATCATGTGCAGAGTTAGAAGACACAGAGGCACTGAGGCACACGCCTGTCCTCCCAGGGTTCGGGAGGCAGAGGCAGGAGGGCTGCAGATTGGAGATCAGCCTGGGCAACTTGGTGAGACTCTTTCTCAAAATAAAAGAAAAAGAGCTGGGGATGTAGCTCAGTGATAGAAAGAACCCTTGTCTCGCATGTGTGGTGAGACTCTGGGTTCTACCCAAGACCAGGAAAAGAAAGCACAGAACACAGAGCAGCACTGCAGACCCCATGCTGTCTACGCAACAGCAAAAACCAGAAAGACCCCTGAGATGGATGAATACCGATTTCAGCGTGGCGGTTTCCTCTGGGAAGGGAAAAGAGAAAGGGGAGAGACCGGAGGGGCCGGAAGAGGTTCCGGCTCATCGGCAGAGTTCCACAGGTGTTTGGGGTCCTCTGACCCACACCTCGTCACCCGCAGAGGAGAGTCTGTGCGCTTTTCCCCGCCTTTGGCTCTGGCTAGGACACAGAGCAGACGAGGCGGGGAGCCCGCTCCTCCTGGCCTGGAGCCCAACCAAAGCCGCCAGCTGTCCTGCTGGCTCAGCCAAGGCCCCTGCGGGTGCCATCCTGCTGAGCGCAGCTCTCCCTCTGAGATCTTAGCTACCCACTGGCGGTGCAGGTTGAGCTCGAACAATCTCCCTCCATCCGAGGAAGAGATCTGACGATGCTTCTCCTCCATGCTGCGGTGCTGTGAACCGTGCCCGGGGGGCTGCAAATACTAGGCTAAACGCGCCTCGATTCCAGTGTCACCCGCCACACGCACAGCTGGGTGTGACCTGCTGTAGTGTGTGAGGACGTCGGTCCCCAGCTTGGGACCTGCTTGGGATTGGGATTAGGGTACCACCGGCCCCAGGAAATGAGCAAGGAGCCCACTTCGGGGTTTCCGAAAGACCAAGCCGGGGTTGTTTCTCCTCTCCACCGCCTGCCTCCGTCCGGCATCGTGCCGTCAGGGCTGGAGCATCCTTTGCAGAAAGGTGCCGTGTGTTTATTGGTATAAATGCAGTTTATGGTTTAAATGGAAGGCTGGAAGAATTCCACTCTCCTTCCTGTCTGTCTTCGAGGCAGCCATGAGAGCTCACCCTTGCAAGGCCGCTCGGTTCATCTCACACCCCACGTGTCTCTGCCATGCTCCCCGCCCATGTGGCCCAGCAGCGGCTCTCCACCTCCTTATGGGCCCCTGAGTCTTCTGTCCTCCTTGAACAACCTCAGATTATCGATCATGTTGATCTTGTCAGATAATCGCCATATTGTTTTATTGATTTTTCTCTGGCGTGGATTTATTTCCCACTATACTAATTTCTGTTGATTTATTACCTTATCATTTCTACGTCTTTGTCTTTAATTTGTACTAAATTTTGTAACATTTATGCTTTTTTTTTTTTTTTTGCTTTTGTTTTGAGACAGGATCTTATATATATTCCAGGCTGGCTTTGACCTTACTGCATAGCTTAGGCTGGCCTTAAATTCACAAGGATCCTCCTGCCTCAGCCTCCTAAGGGCTGGGATTATGGGCCTGTGCCACCACACTGGGAGCTCACGTTTAAAGATGGAATATGGACAGCTGGGTCCTAACAGCTTCTTAATATAAGCAGCAGAAGTATTTCCCTTGACCCACGCCTGCAGGCACAACCCACAAATTTTGTTTTTTCATTATGAATCAGAAGTATTTTGTAATGTCTCCTGGGTTTCTCTTTTGACCTGATTTAATTGCATTATTTAATTTCAAATGCTTAGGAAATTCACAGATATCATAGTGCTGTCCTGCTGTGCACACAGATCTTGTGCATGATTTGCATGATCTGCATCATCTTGATTGTGTCGACATTCCAGGCTCTGCTCTCCAGCCTGGCCTGGGAAGCTCTGTTCTCTGAACATCTCGTGCCTGTCTGAGAAGGAGCTGAAATCTGCAGTCACCGGGCTCACTGGGCTCAGTAAACACTGGTCAGTGGAGCTGGGCAAGGCTTAACCTGCTTGGTGCTTTTTCTGCCTTCTTGTTCCATCATTTGCTGAAAGAGGTACGGAAATCTCCAAGATTTGGTGTGGGCCTCTTTTTTTCCTGGCTTTCTCTCTCTCTCTCTCTCTCTCTCTCTCTATATATATATATATATATATATATATATATAGTCTCACTCTATAATTCAGGCTGGTCTTAAACTCACAGCGATGCTCCTGTCTCAGCCTCCTGAGTGCTGGGCTATGTCATCTCTTTTTTCGTACATTTTGAAAATCTGTCACCGTGTGGAAATGGGCAGGACTCAGTGCCACAAGAGCTGAAGAGGTTGTCTTCCTGATCCTCCAAATCCTTTGTCACCGTGACCTGCCTCTCTTTCCCCAGGCAACATTCTTTTCCAAAGTCTATATCTGACACTAACACAGCCACTCCTGCTGTCTGATGACCAAGGTTTGCATAAAACCTTCGCCTCCTGGACTTCTCCCCTGTGTCTTTCTGTTTGAATCTTATTTAATGAGCACAAATAATTTTGCTTTGCTTTTATTTAGTCTGACAGCCTTTATCTTTTCCTTATCATTTTTTTCCTTTGGTACCGGGGATGGCACTTTTGTGCTTGCAGGGCAGGTACTTAGCCGCTGAGCTAAACCCCGGGCTTTCTTTTTTTTCTCTTTCTTACTGTGATTTACTTTTGAGTGACACTCCATCATTGTATGTAAAATATATGAATTTTACAATGACATTTCTATTGTCTCTGCCCGCATTTTGTGCTTTTATTGTAATACATGTTCCTTTAAACAATATCTTTCGAAGAAAAAGTTACAGCCCAGGAAAGCACCTCGCCTAGACACCCACATACTTGGGATTCCCGGGGCCCTGCCCTTGCTCTTGTAGAGCGAAGTTGGCACCTGCTATGATTTCCTTTTAGCCAGGACGTTTCTGCCCTGGATGTTTCTTGTAGTCTGGGTTTGTTGATGATCAAACTTCAACCGTAGTCCTGGAACATCTTTATTCCACCGTTTCTGGGTATTTCCACTAGCAGTGTACACCTTGGCTGACAAGCCCGATTTCTGCAGTGGGTTAGAGATGCACCAGTCCTCTTGTCGGGCAGCCAAGATCAGAGTCACCAGTGTCCCCACCGCCTGGCCTCGGACAAGGGCCTCCAGGCTCCCCGGGGACCACACACCTGGGTGCAGTACCCACCATGGCCTCTGGGGGCAGCAGCCACTCGCCTCTCCCAGGAGCTGGCACCTCATTTCCAAGTGGTTCCGTTCAGTCCCAGTTCAGCCACGGGAGTCAACTCCGAGCTCCACCCCTTCCCTCCCCTCAACGACGACCACAGGGCCTGCGTCCTGCCCAGATGGCACTCAGCTAGGGTGAGGGCCAAGCAGGCTGCCCAGTGGGCCATGTCGGGAAGAACACCAGCCGTGCCCATGGGACGTGGGGTCTCCTTACCCGGGAGCTCCGCACTCCCCTCCTGTCCTCACTCTGTCTTATGACAGCCATGCACTGAGGAGGACCTGGAAGCATCTCAGGAACTGTGGACACAGTGTCACAAGGGCTGAAGAGGGTGTGACAGGGCACGGCTGGCAGTGGGATCTGGGGTGTGGAGCTGCAGATTGAAGCAGACAGCAGACAGGATGGTCTCCAAGTCCTCAGCTGGCGGGCAGGGCATCTGCCTTGGGCCCCCACCCCACTCTGACAGACTTGGACCTCGATGCTGCTCTAAGGATGAAGACTGGGAAGCCTGCAGGGCCACTGGCTGCCGCCCACAGCCTGCTTCCCAGGTCCACCTGGGCCTAGTGCTCCCCTCTGGCCCCACCTCCTCAGCCTCCACCCATTCCTGCCACCCTAAGGCCCGGGCTGGGGCCTTTAGGGACCAGCCGCTCTCACAACCTGGGGAGTGCAGTCCCCTAACCCACCCCAGCCTGGCTCTCCTGAGGCCCCTCCACACACCACAAGGCACCTTGACACCAGACCTGGGGCTCAACAGCCAGGAAGGCCCTGCTTGCTGGGCCTTGGTCCCCTGTGACATGGGGATGGCTGTGACTCTGCCCCCTGGAAGGGGCTGGCTGCTGTGTGCTCCTGGCTGCCAGAGGCTGCCTGACAGGTGGTCAGGCCTGAAAGAACCCAGAGGTGGGATCTTCCTACAGCAAAGAGGCTCCCGCAGGCCCGGATCCTTCAGGGAAGGCTTCCTGGAGGAGCTGGCGTGGAGCAAAGAGAGTAACCGCGGGAACAAGGCCAGAGCAGGAGCAGGAGGTCCAAGTGACTGGATCTGGAGAGGCCAGAGGAGGTACATGGTCACATGGGCGCAGGCCAGTCCAGGTGCGCAGGGTGACCCAGCAGGCAACGCCAGATAAGGTGCACAGCGGGTGCCTTGAGCGAGCCCCGCCCGATCCACCCCTCCCCCTGATGCCCAGGCTGAGCCTTCCGGCTAGAACACACCTGGCCCCGCCTACCTGGACCTACCTGCACCGTAGCCCCGCCCACCAGGCGCGCCTGGCCCCGCCCCCGCCCCGCCCAGGAAGTGGGGAGGGCACCGCGGGCCAGCGGAGCTGGGCTGCAGGTTGGACGGCGCTGCTCCTGGGCCGCGCAGGTGAGCCGGGCGCACAGGTGGGTCCGGAGGGGAAGCCGCCGCGAGGACACTCAGGGACACGCGGCGACTCTGGTGCCGCCCGCTCGCTCCTCCCGCGAGCCCCCCACTCCAGAGTCCGCTCAAGCCAGCTGCCCGCCTTTGCCGGCCGCGGGGGCGGGGCCTGCGGGCCGGGGTTGGGCTGCGCACAGGGAGGGGACCTGACCCGGTCAGCTGGGCCTCAGCGTCCTACTCCCCGTGTCTCCCTACCACCGCCTCTCAGCCCTGAGCCCCACGCGGCGCCTTCCCACTACAAGGAGCTGCAGGAGCGGGACTCTTGGGAAGGAGGCCGAGGGCAGGACAGGGCCTCCCAGGGGTTCACACACAGCCTCCCACACACCCCAAGTCAGCCCGTCCTCCTCTGAGGAGGGGCAGGAAAGGCCCCAAAGCTGTGCGGATACTGCACACCGTCTTGCCTGCCCTGCCTCAGTTTCCCCGTCTGGAGCAGGGATTCTCTGCATTTGGTACTGGAACTCGAACTCTGGACCTCCTGCTTGCCAGGCAGGCACTTATACTGCTGAACTAAATCCCGAGCTCCCTTTGCATTTGGGCAATAGACCTGAGCCCAGCTCCTGGACTCGTTCCTGGGGCCTCTGTACCCCACCTGGAGCACAGGCAAGGCCAAGGCGTTCCTGAGCCCTTGAGTCGTGGTCTGTGCACCAGCCAGAGTGGAGCTGGAGACCTGTGCTCCCCGAGGCCACCTGTGGGGCCTGAGGATGCCAGAGGCAGGGTCCCAACCATCCCAAGTCCTAGCTGTCTCTCCTGATGCCTCTGTCAGCTCCAGGCTCAGGTGCAGCTCAGATTGAGCTGGGCAAGTTCCTTGTGCCTCGGGTCCTCCTCTGTAAAGTGATTGTCCCCTTGGGGGCGTTGGCACTGCTAAGGTTGAGGGCATGCTGCAGCCCTGTTCTCATGGAGTCCATGCCAGAGGAGGAGCCCTGCTTCAGTGCACCAGGGAGTCCTGGCTCCACCCCGCCTGGGGAGCTGAGGCCCGGAGGTGCCACAGCTGGCAGGGGTCCCCGAATCTCTCTGCCGATTGGAGGCCAGGCTCTGCCACCTGGGACAGCAGACTGGCCCTGCTGGCTCCAGGTTGGCTGCTCAGCCAGTGTTTTGGTTTCGGTTTCTGGGTCAGTGCTGGCTGCCTTGTGCATGGCCTGCGTTAGCTGGGTGCTCAGGTGACCGCTGTCAGCAACCTCTGAGGACAGGTCCACCAACTCTATCCTCTCTCTTCCCGGGTAGGGAATGACCACCCAGGTCAGGACCAGCCTGGCTCCTCACCTGGCTCTTGCTGGTCAACAGCCAGACGGAGGTGGGTCACATTCTGCTGCTGCCTCTGCCCCTGGCAGAGAGGAAGGCCTGACCCCCAGCTTGCCAGAGGTGGGAGACACCGAGGGTGCGCATGGGCACGGTGGTGGGAGTGCTGTGCCCTGCCCTGTCATGGCTCTGCTTCCCTATCCGGTGCTCCTTTGGGGATCCCTACATAGCTGAGCCTGGGGTGGGACCTGGGTTTAGGGGTGTCTGGACTGAGGCAGGCTGCATCTAAGGCTGGCACACCGGAGGCTCCCCTCCCCACCTTAGGGTACAGGGTGACCCTAACAGCTGTGCTGGGCTTCCTGCCTTGGTCAGCGGGTCCATGTGCCAATGCATTCCTTGTCACGGTACCTTCCTGTTTGGGTTAACAGTCTGGAGCCACATAATGCCAGGATTCATGACATGGACGTCTCCAGGCTACCCCCAATGACAGTCACTGCACTGGACCCCTACCTTGCAAATCAGGCTGGTTAGCACGTGACTTAAAAGCCACATTCTGTCCCCAAATTATGCGTGACTTCAAGCCCCATACACGGCTGGGCAACATTACCTGCGTACAAAGGCGTCATTGTGGGTTGTGGGAGGTTGAGTGGACAGTGCTGGAGGAGCTGAACTCTGCCAGGAGGGAGGGGACGGTGGGATGCAGAGGCTCAAGGCTGGGCCACGTCAGAGCTGCTCGCGCCCCTCTGGCAGAAGGCTGGCAAGTCACACATGCAGGGTCATATGTCCTGGTGGTAGCCGTGCGCGCAGGCCAGGAAATCAGGCTCTGTGGGGCCCCCTGAAGCTCATCTGTGGGGAAGGACTGTAGCAAGGCAGCCGCTACCCCCACAGGATCCTAAACCCCAGGAGCCACGGCGAGCCCCTTCCCCCTCTGCCTCCCACTGGTGCAAAGAGAAGCAAATGCTGTGAGCTCTGAGGACCCCGTGTGGGGGACCTTTCCAGGCTGCCTGAGCAGGGGTCTCCCCAAAACATCAGCTGAGGCCGGGTGGCCCTCGTGGGTTCTGCCCGTCATGAGCAGAGGCCTCATGTGTGGCCTGCAGACTCCTGGAGGACGACAGAGTTAGGGTGAGGGCAGGGCAGAGCCCACACGATGCAGGGCTCAGCTGTCGGCTGAGAATGGGAGCGCCAGTTTGTGGGGACATGGACGGGAAGTGTCCCCATGCCTCCATGGCTTGCAGAGTTGCAGGGAGACGGGTAACTGCAGCCAGCCAGCCCAAAGTTCTCTCCTCTGTGTGCATCTTCCAAGGAGTCCCCGCTCAGAGGCCTGTGTGGCTGCAGAGGCCGCACTCGGATACAGTCACATGCAGTGTGGCCAGCTCTGCCTGGAGGGCAGCTGCAGGGCAGTCGGCACTTGGCCTTGCCCCTCCCGTAGCCCAGTGACAAACCAGGCATCAGCTCTGCAGAAGCCAGCGGCCTAGAGGAGGGGCTGTAGACGCAGGTGTGTGATGTGTGTGTCCAGGACAGAAGTGTGTGTCCTCAAGTGTGTGGGGACCCAGGGTCACCCGCCAGCACGATGCCTCCTCCTTAGACAGAAGTAGACACCGGGGAACTGAGGCAGAGGGGGAGCGGTGTGGGCACCCATCCAGTGACCCACAGAAGGAAGCTCGTTCCCAGGAAAATAGCATCATTGAGCCCTGAGTGAAGGAAGCTGTGGCACCCATAAAACAAGAACAGAGTGCTGTGAACCAGGAGTAACAGCAGGGCGGGCAGGAGAGCGCTTGGCAGACATGGAAATGACAAGGACAGGCTGTGGGGGGAGTGGGAGGGGAGGAACCGTCCCAGGACGGCAGAGGGGGGAGAGAGTGGGCAGGAGGAGGGAGGCCTCGCCCTCGCCCGGCATACTGCCCTGCAAGTGAACGCGGAAGACCCGACCCCACTCAGGGCTGGCACAGCCCAAGAGAGGACTTGGAGGAGTCAGGTGCCTCCCGGCCACATGGAAGAAGGGACTGTGGCTTCAGGAGTCTGGGGGTCACCAGCCGGCAGTCTGCACTCGGACTGGGGACCAGGCGACCAGGCAACGGGGAGGAGGAAGCACCTTCAGGCTGCTTCCGGGACAGCACTGAGGAGTAGGAGGCTGGGCTGGCTGAGCACCCAGCCCTGGAAGTCTGCGAAGTGACCCTCTGGACAGGAGAGCAGGAAGGAGGCGAGGGGCTCCCCCCAGGCCCTCTTGGAAGCTCACGCTGTACTCTGGAACCAAGCACAGGCAGAGGCACTGGATGCGGGGGAACATTAACAGGGCGGCAATCATTAACAGGAGGCAGCCTGGCCTCCGCCGTAGTACAGTGTGGGCCTACTGCTTTTGGGGAGCAGTGGGGGATCCGTGATAGGCAGTCTAGGCCTCTCTCCGGTGCTGTTTGTGGTCTGCAACCCCTCGTGTGCATGTAGGTCTCTAATTGAGCTAAAAACGTGGACTCCTAGTGTGGGGTGGCCACCACTCCCTGGAGCCCAGCAGCTGGGCCCACACCCCTGGGGCACTGCTCCTCCTGAGGCCCTGGCCCCAGGCCTGTGGGTGTGGCGGGCGAGGAGGTCACACCTAGCGATGACTTGCCTGCTAGGGCTCAACCAGACAGGTTCTGCTTTGGGCACCTTCAGGACTTTGCCCCCTGCCGGAGACGTGGCTGCCCACTGTGGGGTGGGCCACAGCACCTGGGCCAGCCAGGCCTGGGACAGTGACTCAGAGCAAGCTAGCAGACCTGGCTGGGTGGGAGGTGGAGTGCAGGCCTCTGTGGGCCCCGAGGGTCCCCAGGGGCTGCTGCTGCCCAGAACCGTGCAGAATGCCCCAAGGTAGACAGCTGCTGAGAGGGGTGGTCCTGCCCCACCCTGGGGTGTTGGCCTCTGGTTGTGCTTACAGCCTGAACACCTAAATGCATGGCTTTCTCTCCAGGCCTGGGTAAGCAGCAGATAAGGTGACCAGGGTGTGTGATCTAGCACAGCCCAGGCCTGGTGAACATCATCGTCACAGGCCAACAGGGCCTAGGGGAGGCCTGGGGAGGCAGAGTCCTCAGGAATGTGTCCTCAGGAATGCACCTCCCCTGCAGGGTGTCAGGCTGGGCCATCCCTCCCCCTCCCCTCTCCCCAGGCTGGGAATCTTCCTTCCCTTCCTGGGGTGGTTTTAGCTGGGATCTCATCAGCTGGGTGGAGCCTGGGGGCCAGCCCTGCCCCTCCCCAGGGAGAGTTCCTGGATGGACTTGGAGGCCTGGGTGAGCCCTGCTGGTGGCTCTACAGTAAGTGGGGGTCTCCTGGGCCCAGGCAGCCCTCCACCCCAGAAGCCTGGTCACCTCTGGCTGTGGGATCCTGGGAGCTTCTTGAAGACAATGGAGTCATGTTAGATTTGAAACCGATGGCTGTGGAGTTAACTGAGTTTTCCAGTTTGAACCTGATCCGTTTGAATTCTTTTTTTTTTTTTTTTTTTTTTTTTGTCTTTTTCCTTTTTATCGGTTCCGGGGATCGAACTCATGACTGCCTGCTTGCAAGGCAGGCGCTTATGCCGCTGAGCTAAATCCCCAGCCCCCCGTTTGAATTCTTGAAACACTCCATTATGCCTTGATCTTTGTCCCAGATCAGTGGATTTGTAGGCTGATTGGATTTTACTGGGCGGAACCGGCGGTCGTTTCTCCCGTTTTGGTGAAGCAGTCTGAAGAGAACTCCATGTTCCAGTCGTAGTGGAACGCCGCTGTCAGCACAGCGATGATCGTGGCCAGCCTGACAGCTTGAGGTCAGGCTTGTCCCCATATGGTGCATGTGTGTGGGCCTGGTGACTCAGACCGGAGGGTCCTATTTGGTCTCAGTCACATGCATCTCCCTTTCGTGACATCATCAGCTGTTGTCTGTTTGGGTTTGCAGCTTAATTTAGAATCGTGTTAAATGGACATGTTGCATTTGACTCCTTCTCCCATTAGTCTGAAGTTAATTGTTTAATTTTTAAACTCTAGAATCCTTAGGGGAGGTGTGCGCCAATTCCCTCTCAAATCCGCAGGGAAAATGACAAGGGACATCCTGTCCAGACCGAGCCGTGGCACAGAGCCTCACCGGGCCACCACAGGAGCCAGTACCTGGGTTCCCACCCGAGAGGCGTCCCTGCTCCGGGGCCATCGGTTCATCACATTCGAGGTCTGGGCAGCATGAGGTGCCGGGGAAGGGGAAGGGCATCTCCTTGCTCTCAAATTAAGAAGTCCCTTTTCTGGGTGGCACCGTTGGAGCCCCTGCAGTCCCCTCAGTGCAGCACAAAGGACGGGCTGCTCTGCGACTCAGCAGGGCCTCTGTCACTGCCCACGTGCACCCTGTCCAGCTGCTTTCCCTGTGGGACTTCGTCACAGCGCCCCCTGGAGGTGGGTGGTGCTCTCTTGTGCTCAGCTTACCGGTCTGGTAATTGGAATGGGTGGTGTGTCCCTGACATTTGTGGGGGACTCTGAGCATCAGAGGGCCTCAGAATGGCCTGAAGCTCGTGTTTAGGAGCTTGGAAGTGGCCCCGGCTGTGTGCACTATCCGGTCCCCCGCTGTCTGGGCCTCTGTCCCCATGTGCACTGCCACAGTCACACAGCAAAGCAGGCGCCATTGTGCACTGCATGCCAAGCCCACAGGGTCTGCCCTAGGGACACGTGTTCCCTCTGTTCTCCTGGCCAAAGCCAATCTCAGGGCTGCACTGACCCCAGGGGACAGAAGGGGCAATGCCGCCTTTTGCCAGAAGAGGGAAGTTGGCTATGCTAGGGACCAGCAATGTCACTGCAGGGTCACAGGGCAGCGGGCAGGAGACACCAGCTGCCAGGGGGCAGGGACCACACCATGCAGGGGCATGAGTGATGGTGACAGGGGTGGAGCTCTGGCCCTGTACCAGGGAAGGCATCTGGGGCTGCAGCTTAGGTTTGGAGCTCAGCCAACACCTGTGTCCCCAGCCACCTTCACAGCTGCTCAGCACCTGGGGTCCAGGCTATGGCTGGTGCCCTCTGAGCCCCTGACACAGAGTCAGTAGCCCCATAAATACGGAAGGTGAAAAGCATGCTCCCTGCCCACGGGGAGGTTTCCTGGGCAACCAGCGTGGCCATGGGAGAAGGGGGAGTTAGACAGGCCTGGGCACAAGTCCTGCTAGGCACCATCCTCTTCTGTGTCCCTGGCCCCTGACCACCTGTGCCTCTGGGAGGGAGTGGTTGGGCATGCCCAGTGAGACAGGGCTGTGGTCACTACCATGTCCTCTGATGCCAGCCTCTGGAAAGGTTCCCAGGACAGCACCATTGTCCCCATAGGGGCCACAAGGAAGTGATTCCAGAGGCCCCAGGGCCACCAGGCATCCAGGCAGCAGTGAGGGCCTGAGCCAGGATTCCAGACCAGGGCCTGTTCCAGGTTGAGATTTGCTGAGCACTGCTTCAGAGGAAGCCAAATGACCTCTGAAGTGCAGCCCAATCCCTGGCCGCACCCATCTAGCCCCCCTGAGCTCAGAAACCAGTGCCTGCCCTTCCTTGGCCCACCAGGGCCAAGCCTTCCTTAGATCGGCCGCAAGCAGGCACCGGACCAGCCCTGGCAGTCCCCTGGGGTCTCCTGGTGACCAGGGCTGTGTGCGCCATACTCCCAGGGTCTGTACCAGGACTCTGTCTGAGCCATGGCAGATGCTCAGGCACAGGAGGGCTGGGGGGCTGGGACGAGGCCCCTGTGCGCCCCTCTTCCTCACCTCTGTCTTTCCCTCGCCCCAGGAGCTTGCGGCCACCCAGCAGCATGTCCCAGCGGCACTCGGACAGCTCCTTGGAGGAGAGGCTGCTAGAATACCGCTTCCACTCGGAGCTGCAACTGGACGCCAATGGCAACCCCCGGGCCAAGCTTCCCATTGTCCGGGGCACCCTACATCCCAAGACCAATGATGCCTTTGAGCCAGAGTCCTCAGTGCCCCCACTGTCACCGGCAGAGAACAAGGAGCCACGGGCCATCGTCCTGAGCACACAGAGCCCTGCAGCCCTCAAGATGGGCACTCAGCAGCTCATCCCCAGGAGCCTTGCTGTGGCCAGCAAGGCCAAGACCCCAACCCGCCACCAGAGCTTCGGGGCAGCCATGCTCAGCAAGGAGGCCGCACGGCGGGACCCCCAGCTCCTCTCAGCCCCCAGCTTCTCCCTGGACGACATGGACATGGACGTGGGCCCTGGGGGGGCACTGAGTCGAAACCGGCGGAACCAGTCTTACCGGGAAGCCATGCGGGGGCTGGGGTCCCTGAGCAGCCAGGGGGGCTCCAACGCACTCAGCCCCAAGCTCCAGACTCTGGCTGAGGAGCCCAGCCAGCCAGCTACCCAGTGCCCAGCCAAAAACAAGGTAGGGGCCTCGTGGGGACAGTGGGCCCAGGCCGGGCCTCAGGTCCCCCACTCACAGGCGGCGAGGGGAGGGGTCTGGTCCGCTCCTCTACCTCATCTTCTGCTGCTGTGTGCAAGTCTGGCTGCGTGCAGGGTGCTGGTGGTTTATTCTAGTGCAGCCCAAAGGCCAGGCGGGGCTGTGGACCTCCCCTTCCCACCTTACAGGCAGGCCACTGAGGTGTGACAGGTTAGCACAGATACCGCTCAGCCCCAGGGGAATGGCCCTCTGGAGCCTAGCAGCAGCCGGTCTCTCCAATAACAGAGACTAGGTGCCTGCTGTGGGCACCCTGGTGAAGTCTGAGGCATGCCCTTTCCCTGCCTGCCTCAGTGGCTCTTGTCTTTCTCTACTCAGGTCACTGCAGCCCACAGGGACGGTGGCCCTCAGGGTCTGAATCACCCTCGCCCTGCACTGGGCAGGGTTTTGTCCTGGTCACCAGGCTGGCCTCAGAGCTCCACTCTCTTTGCTCTGCTTCCTGGTCCCCTGCAGTCCCATCCAGTCCTGTCTGGTTCCCTGCAGTCCCCTCTGTCCTGTCTGGCTGGACTTTCTCTGCTGTCAAGCATTGGAGGACGGCAGTGGTGGTGACCCTATGCCACATGCCTGAAGCTGTTTGTATCACTGACGGCTGGTGCCCGTGGGGGAGGGCGGGGCCTTCAGCTGTGTGGCCCCGGCAGGTTTCTGCGCCTCCCCAATCTGTTTCCTGGTGCCAATGGAGACAGCAGCTGCCAAGCCACCATGGTGCACTCAGATCAGAGCACAGCCGCAGGGCGAGGCTGGGCATGGGGTGCGGGAAGGGCGCGCTGGCCCCGGCATCTGCCTCCAGGAGCCTCTGGTTTTCCTGGCTTCCTGGCATGGAGAGGCCCAGCCCCTGACAGGGTGACAGCCGTCAGCTTGCAGGGGTTGATGGTGGAGGCAGGTCCCTTTGTCCCCACAGACAGCCCTGTTCTTGACCCCAGCTCCCCTGCCAGGGCTGCTGAATTGTCTGTCTCTAACCCAGAGCCCTTTCCTGAGGGCCCCCCCGAGGACCCAGAGCTGGGTACCAAGCTGAGCGCAGGACAGAAGGTGCAGAGTGGGTAGGATGAAAGCAGAGTCAGGGAGGTGCAGGGCAGAGGAGAGAGGGGCAAGTGTTGGGGTCAGTGCCTAGATCTCCAATCTCCCAAATGGCAAGACCCAAAGGAATGTGACAGCAGCATGGTCTTTAGGGCTGCAGGAAGACTAAAGTCCTCGCCAGAGCCTGTAATTGCTAGCTGCCGGCCAACTGATGCTGGGCAGCTTGAATTTAATCAAAACAAGCAAGGAGCTGAGTGGACAATGGAGGAAACCTGAGCAGGACCTTGGGAGGGGTTCAGGGACTCCACAGAGGAACAGATCATGCTAACTTAGGAGAACTACCCCGAAAGTCTCCAGGGGGCCTCAGCTGTGGCCTATCTTGCCCCAGTTCAGCCACACCTGGACCATGCCACAGCTCTGCATGTGTATTCAGTTTCCTCGATCTCTGACAAGGCAGGTCTGGGAGGCCACACCTCTCGGCCAGTGGGGAGTTTTCAGGCCCCAGCTGGTCCTGAGAAATTGGCCCTGCCTTCCCGGAACCGTGCCCGGGTACACCTGCGAAGCTCCTGTGTCCCAGCAGGAAGCATGGCTCCCCAAGAGCTCTGAACCCAGTTGCCACCACCCATCCTTTGCTTCAGCTTCTGGGGGCCCTGACCGGTGCCAGATGGTAACCACCCCAAGAGCCCTTGGGGACACTGCAGGTCCCACCCTGCCCCCATGGCCCTCTGCCCCCAGCACCCACTTCAGCACCCCTCCTGAGCCCACTTACAACCCCTGGAGCCCCAGGTCCACTCTCCAGACCATGACCACACCCTGCTGGCCCAGGCAGTGCCCTGGACCTGCCCACCTCAGCGTTGCACTCCATCCCACCTGGCCTGGCCTCCTTGGCAGCTCTGGGACCCTCGTGAGGGCTATTGAGCGCCCGTGTGTGTGGGTGAAGCCCATTGGGCACGGCCTTGCACATCTGCAGTGAGGCGTGGGGACCCCCAAGTGACCCACTGGCTGCAGACTCACGCCCTGCCAGCCCCGAAGGCTGATGTTTATGTCTGCTTTGCACAGAGGACGCTGGGCCGGAACCGTTTGCACAAGGGCTCCTTCAAGGACGGTGAGTGGCTGGGGCAGCAAGGGCAGGGGTCTGGTTGGTGGCTGGAAGAACAGAGGGAGGTGGCTCCATGGGTCCTCCAGGGGCTGATCTGACCGTGCAACTCTGATGGATCCAAAGTTCGGGTGGCTTCCTGGGCTCCCATGCAACCCCAAGGGCAGGGGACATACAGAGCTCCTGGACGGGTTGAGGCCAGGGCAGGGCACTGCCCAGGAGGTGCACACAACACCACCTCCTCTGCACAGAGGCTTCCAGGCCTGGGAGCCGGCATTGGCTTTCTCTGTGATAATCTTGGGGAAACTGTCCCCGGAGAGGGACAGAGGCACCCAGGGTGAGGTTGGAGTAGCAGCAGCTGGTATGTGGGCAGGACCCTGGGGGTGACATGCTGCATCCACAGCCCGGCCCAGGACACCCACGGCCCAGCCTCCCTCCCCTGCAGGCACTGCTGGCTCACAGAGCTCTGGTTGGTTGGTCGGCCCTTCCTGGAGATGCCACATTCTGCACTGCATTGCCACTGCTGGCCCCGCATGGCCACAGGAGCTGCCAGCTAGTGGGCAGCCTGCCAGGGCCCCACACAGCCTGATGCTTCCGAGGGTCCTGGGGCACCCTAGGGAGGGTTCCACCTCCCCAGAGCCCACTGGCAGACAGGTCACTCTGCTTTTCTTCCCAGACCCCCAATTCTACCAGGAGATCCTGGAGCGGGGCCTGAACACCAGCCACGAGTACGATGACGAGGGGACCCAGGGGGCAGATAGCACCATTGTGGTCCAGAGCTACCGGCCCGCCCAGGTCACCTGGAGCCAGCTCCCTGAGGTAGGCCAGGAGGGCCGAAGGTCTCCCCTTCCCGCCTCCCCCTCCCAGCCCATAGTGACCCAATGCTCGCAGTAAGGCACAGCTGCTTTCCAGACGTCCTGGTTTGTGCCCTGGGCTGCCCTATCCCTGGGTGTGGGGCTGGGTAAGCACTGCGGGCTGGTGCAGGTAGGGACGCTTGTGATGGGCACCCCTGCCCAGACGGGCCTGCCAGGTGCTGTGGAATTGAGGGAGCCCTGCCTATGGCACCTGCATCCCTGGGAGCGCCTGGGGACCCCAGTGGGGAGGCTGCAGGGGTAAGCTGAGCTGGGCCTTGGCTTCTGCACAAGCCAGGTGCCAGGGTGAAGTCCCATTGCCCACACCTGACGGCAGGCACCCTGCCCAACGGGAGGAATGGAGAGGGGTCAGGGCAGTGGCCCCAGAATGTGGGCCTCAGCTGCTGGGGCAAACTTGTGACCCTGCTCCTGAAGGTCGTGGGTGTGGCGGGCTGCTGACAGGGTAGGCCTGGTGTGTCCGTTCCATCTCCCTACAATGGGGCCCCTTGTTTCCCTCCCTGGGGCACACGAGCGACCCTCTATGTTAGATGGCCACCGTGGGAAGCCCAGTGAGGGCCGCCGCTCCTCCAGAGGAAGTGGCCAGAACAGAGCAGTTTATCCCCTGCTCTGGGGCGGGGCTGGCACACTATCCTCCAGCAAGGCTACCCAGGGCTCCAAGCCAGCTGCCCCACCCTGGGAAGCAGGTAGGCCTGAGGCCCAACACGGAGGAGGGCATAGGGCACCCCAGGCACTGCCACTGTGCAGCCTGCCCAGCCTGTCTGGGGACGAGGCGTGCCCCAATCGGGAAGCCCTGCTCCAGCCAGGCGGCCACTGGCTATGGCCCCGGGGAGTGGGGAGCAGGTGTCACCACCTTGCTCACTGTGCTGAGTCACCCTATCCCCTGTACCGTCACTGCCAAGAGCCCCCCAGCCTGGTCTGACTCTCAGATGTCCCCACTCTTCATGGGCCACCCAGAGAGGAAGGTGGAGCGAGGAGCCCGGCCAGCTCACACCCAACCTTACTGAGCTGTGCACGGGTGGCCACAGAGCTCTGCCCAAGCCCTCCTCGGGCCACACTGTCCCCCCCCTTGGCTCTGCTCCAGGGAGGACAGGGGTGGGGACTTGGGCTACACGCCTGAGAGTGGGGCAGCTCCTGCCTGTGCCTTCTCAGGTGGTGGAGTCGGGCATCCTGGACAAACTGAGCACTGAGGAGCGCAAGAGGCAGGAGGTGAGGCCACCCAGTGCCCCAGGCAGAGATGAGTGCCACGCGATGCCACCCCCACCCCCACCCCCTGCCACAGCTGCCTCCCCTTGCGGTCCTTCCCTGGGCCAGACACTAAGCCCTCCTGTCCCCTCGTGGACCCCAGGCAGACTAGGGAAGACCCCACCACCTTCCCAGCTGCATTTCCTGCAGGTTTAAGTGGCAGAGCCACAGTGTAAACCTAGGGATGTGGGCTCGCACCCTGGGCACCTGTCCCAGCCTCTGCCCTAGCCGTGCCCCACCTGCCCCTGCCTCCTAGACCATCCCCGCTGTCCGAGTACCAGCCCAGCACGGGCACAGCTGGCCCCGCACAGACTCACCGGCTGCCCCCACAGGCCATCTTCGAGATCATCACATCCGAGTTCTCCTACCTGCACAGCCTGAACATTCTGGTGGCCCAGTTCCTGCGGTCCCCGGAGCTGCGGGCCACCATGACGCAGATGGACCACCACCATCTCTTCTCCAACATCCTGGACGTGCTGGCCGCCAGTCAGAAGTGAGGGTCTCTGGGCCTGCGTTTCTGGGGCGGCCTGCCCAGCAGGGAGGCCCCTTATCCTGGCTGGTGCTGTGACAGTGCTGGCAGAGCCCCTGTCTATGTCCATGCTGGGCCAGGAGGGAGGGAACATGACAGCCTCTAAGGGCCCTGGAGGCCACCAGGAGTGGCCCTGGGGACAGGTTCAGCACTGGGGCAGCAGGCATCCTGGACTTTGATGGGCACCGTGGTATTGGGCATAGAGGGCTGTATAACGCAGGGTGGGGAGGGCTGTAGGGCACAGGCTGTGGTGCCCACGTGCAGCCGGTTCTGGTTCTGCAGTGCCTGGTGGCCAGCTGGGCTCTGGTTACAGAGCCTGAAGGAGCAGGAGGTGCTGGGCATTCAGGCATGGCTCTGTGGTCATGTGCATATCTGAGCCTGTGATGTTACATCCCCAAGAGGGCACAGTCCAGGTGGCTTCTGTACCCCAGGAGACCCCAGGGCTTCCTGTGGCCCCAGAGCCTCAGCCTCATTGCTGATGACAGGGCTGGTGTGGGACACCCGATGGTCTACTGGAGTCAGTGAGAGAATCAGGCCTTGGCAGGGAGGCTGCTGGCTCCCTCCTGTCAGAATCGGCTGGCCTGGCCAACCCCACCCCAAGTGTTCTGCCCCTGGGCTTCCCAGAATTCCAGGGCCTTGGGGGAGGGACAAGGGACTGCCCTGTCCTCAGAGCCAGGGGCTTCCCTCGGGGTCTCAGCAGGTCTGGGATGCAAGGGAGGGGAGGAGAGCAGATGCCTGGATGGCAGCCCCCTGCTCAGCACTAACCTTGCCCCGGGCACTCATGTCCACCCAGAGTGTCCCTCTGCACCGAGCAGCCGGTTTGCTTCTGGCTTCTGCCGGGCTTTAGCCTTGGCTGTGACTCTGGCCTCTTCCTTGGGACCATTCACGGTGGCCTCACTAGGGCCCAGTGCTTTCTGTGGTCAGAGGCTGGAGGTGGCTCTCCCAGACCACTCTGTGGTCCCCTCTGACTGGGCTGGCTGCTTGTGTGGAGGGCCTATGTCCACAGTGTCGCTTGCTCTCTGGCTATGGCTGCCTGTGCTGACCTGCTGTCCTGTCTGCCAGGCCAGGCCAGGGGGCTCTCAGAAGCAAGGTCTGATGAGTGGAGCATCTGGCTGACCACTGCCCACGCTGAAGCTGGGCAAGGGCTTCTCAGATGGCCTGAGGTCTAGCAAGAGGTTCTAGGTCCCTTGGCCAGGGCCTAGAGGGCGGGAAGCCTCAGGGACTGGCTCTGGAGTCTTTGAGATGGACCAGAGGCTCAGTTACTGGCCTCACACACGCACAGGCCACATTATGGGCCCAGGGTGGCACCTGGGGTTGGCTCTGCTGTCCTCACCACCTTAGGCCAGGGCCTGGCTATGGAGGAGGGCAGGAGCTAACATCCTCTGGGAGTCTCCCGGGGCCCAGTTCACCTCTCTAGGTTCCTCCTCCAGGTGGGGTCAGTGAGGGTTCCAGAGCCTGTCGGGGAGCTTGGCTGCCAGAGCCAGCAGGGCCGGACCGTGCCTGGAGGCGGGCCTGGCTCCCTCACGGCTCCGGGCCCCACATGCAGCCTTGCTGCCCAGGAGGCAGGAGCTGATACCTCCACCCTCGAGCTTGTTCCTGGGGCGGGCACAGGGCTGGTGCTGCCTCGCAGGGAGCAGAAGGAGCCACTGCAGCTCAGCTCCTGCAGCGCGTGTTGGCACAGACACCTGTGTGCCGCCTGTGTGCGTGTGCATGTGCAGCACGCTGCCAGGCTGAGCCCTCACCTGCTCTCCACACCAGGTTCTTCAAGGCCCTGGAGCAGCGGCACCAGGCGCAGCTGTGCGTGGAGGACATCAGCGACATCCTGGAGGAGCACGCAGAGAGGCGCTTCTCCCCCTACGTGGTCTACTGCTCCAACGAGGTCTACCAGCAGCGCACACTGCAGAGGCTGACGTGAGTGGCCCGCTCGCCCCGCTCACCGGCCGGCTGCCTGCAGCCCGCACAGCCGGGCCCAGCCTCGTCCTCTCCCGCAGGGACAGCAGCGCCACCTTCCGTGAGGCCCTGCGGGACATCGAGAAGCGGCCAGTGTGTGGGGGCCTGCCCATGATCTCCTTCTTGATCCTGCCCATGCAGCGGGTGACCAGGCTGCCCCTCCTGACCGACGTGAGCACTGCCCATGGGATGGACGGCCACGCGTGCCCCACCCTTGAGTCACGTGACCCCCTCAGGCCCTCTCTGTCCTGTGAATAACTGCAGTGACCACTTTGAGCTGGTGTGAATAAGGGGTTACTGCGGGGTTGGTGTCAGTGGCCCTGCCCAGTAGAGTACACACACACGTGCACACCTGCACACGTTCATGTGACAGGAGCTCAGCTGAGGCTCAAAGAGGAGCAGCCCAGCTGCACACAGCCTCGAACCCACAGGCCCAGAACTCCAGGGGGAGCCACTGGCCACGCCCCAGCTGGAAAGAGGCGGCCACGGCCCCTGGTCCTGTCCCAGGACCGAATGCTCAGTGGCTAGGCAGGAGCTGTGTGGGGACCCCGGCCACCCTCTCAAGGTGTAGATAGTGGGGAGCCCTGCTGCACGCAGGCCTCCAACAGAGCACTTGGCCCCTCACACTGACTGGCGTTTCCTTCAGACCCTCTGCCTGAAGTCGCAGGGCCACCCTGAAAGGTTCAAGGCTGCCAGCCAAGCCCTGAAGGCCATCAGCAAGGTGAGATGGGGTCCAGTGGGGGGCGGGGTGGGGGCAGGGTCAAGGCGGGGGAGGGATGCCCAGCCCCAGTCCTGCCCCTGGTTTGCTGTTACCATTTCTTCCCCAGCACTGTCCCTGCTTCTGCCCCCACTGCCCCGAGGCACAGACAGTAGGATAGGGATAGTACTGCTGGGGAAACTGAGGCTTGGAGCAGTGGAATCCTCACCGGCTGCACCCACAGCAAGGCTGGGACCTGGAGGGCAGGCAATCGAGGTAGCCGGACAAGGTGGAAGGCTCGGGGGCAGGGCCACCTCACACCTCACCCCTTGCTTCCTGCCCATGCCGCTGTCACGGGGTCCTGCAGCTGGTGAGGCGGTGCAATGAGGGGGCACACACCATGGAGCGCACGGAGCAGTTGTACACACTGCACACGCAGCTGGACTTCAGCAAGGTCAAGGTGGGTGCCCGCCCGCCCAGCGCCCCCTGCTGTCCTGGAGGTCAGACCCAGCCTCAGTTGCCTCTGTGGGAGCATCACCCCCTCCCATGCCACATCCCCCTAGGCTGGCCAAGGAAGGCCAGGGTGTGGGGAGGGCCCACGGGTCCAGGTGGGGACGGTGCAGCAGAGGAAGTGGCTGAGTGCGCAGACCCGGCAGCGGTGTCCTAGAGCACACTCAGGGTGCAGGTGGGCACAGCTTGACTGCCAACCCAGCAGTGGGGCTCTCCTGTGCCTGACCCTTGTCCACCCAGCTCGGTGCCCGGCACTGGGTCAGGGTGCTCGGCGGTCCAGCCGGGGCCCAGGGCTGTGGCCAGGTGACTCGCCCTTCCCTGCCCCCTGTCTGGCCCTGACGGCAGCTGGCCGGTCACCCAGCTAGTCCTGGCCGCCTGCCTGGCCCGGGCTCCTGTCCACCTGGCTGCTCTGTTCCCAGTCCTTCCCGCTGATCTCTGCCTCCCGCTGGCTGCTGAAGCGAGGTGAGCTCTTCCTGATGGAGGAAGCCGGGCTCTTTAGGAAAATCACCAGCCGGCCCACCTGTTACCTGTTCCTGTTCAATGACGTCCTGATCATCACCAAGAAGAAGAGGTGGGACACAGCTGGCAGCCTTGGGCGGGGGTGCCGGGAGCTGGCAGGGACGGGGCAGCCCTGAGCCCTGCACGTCAGCCGTGTCACATGCAGCTCAGGGTGCCTGCAGGCTCCTGCTGCCAACCCGAGCTCCCTCAGACCTCGGGGTCCCGAGAGCAGGAAGCCTCTGTCCCCAGGTGCAGGTCAGGTGGGCACTCTCAGGAGCGTCGGGGTGGAGCCTCTCTGATACCTCTGTCCCCACAGCGAGGACAGCTATGTGGTCCAGGACTACGCTCAGTTGGACCACGTCCAGGTCCAGAAGCTGGAGCCCTCGGAGGTCTCCACACCGGGAGGCGGCAACCGCAGCTCCACCGTGCCCCACCCCTTCCACGTGACCCTGCTGCGGAACAGCGAGGGCCGGCGGGAACAGGTCCTGTTGTGCTCGGACTCTGCGTAAGGCACAGGGACCCAGAGGGTGCAGGCCGGGGTGGGGGGTGGGATCTGCTGCCTCTCAAGCTGCCACACCCTGAACAGAGCAGTCTGTCCTGTGGTGCTTACGTTCCAGAGGGGACAGCAGACTTCCAGTGACCAGAGGGAGAGCAGAAAGAAAGCAGGCAGGGGCAGGTGTGGGTGGAGTTGGTCAGGAAGTATCATTATTGACCAAGTGACATTAGGACAGGGCAGGGGTAGGAGTGTTCTGCAGGGGCACGGCCATGCAAAGGCCCTGGGGCAGGGGCCATGGAGCAGCAGGATAAACAGCAAGGACTGGAGTACAGGGGGCCAGGGACAGCGAGCAGGTCGAAGCAATGGGGGTGCAGTATATGGAAAGATGCTGGCCCAGGTTGGAAGGCCTGGACCTTCTCTCCCGCTCTCCCTGGCCCTCAGGAGTGACCGAGCCCGGTGGATCACAGGGCTCACCTACAAGGAGAGGCAGTGGCAGGACCCCATCAACAAAGGAGGTCAGTGTGGGTGCGGGCGGGGTGCCTGTCCTATGAGGCCCAGCCACAGGGCAGACGGGGCTGCACGACCCGTCCCCTGTGCTGCCCAGAGGGCCTAGCCTGCGCCCCTCACCACACTGCCGCCCCTCAGAGCTGGCCCAGGTGGAGATCACCAAGGCCTACTTCGCCAAGCAGGCGGACGAGATCACGCTGCAGCAGGCCGATGTGATGCTGCTCATGGGCTGGGAAGACGGTGAGTGCCGGTGGGCAGTGGGGAGGGCCGGTGACCCCAGGCCAGCCTGCCTCTCACGGCCCTGGGCCCACGCTCAGGGTGGATGTATGGGGAGCGCCTCCGCGACGGCGAGGAGGGCTGGTTTCCCGAGGACCTCGTCCGCCACATCACCAGCCCCGTGGCCATGGAGAGCAACGTGCGCAGGATGGAGCGGCTGCGGGTGGAGACCAACGTGTAGCCACAGCCACTCCAGGGCAGCCTGCGGCAGGCACAGCATCTACCCCGACCACAGGCGGCCTGCCTGGCTCCGGGCCGCAGACGGAGGAGTGTGTCCGTGCTCCGGAAGGAGCCCTGGGACAAGATCACGGGGCCACCAGTGAGCATCCACCATGGGCCATGTGTGGCAGGAGCCCAGCTCCTGGCCACGGTACCCCCGCCAAGCTGGGCCCCAAGGTCCTCACCCAAGGCTGACGGGGATTAAGGACCATTGTGGCCGTCCCCTGGGACACTTCAGGGACCATCTCCCCACTGGTCTTCCTGCCCGCAAGTGGACAAGGGACCTTGGGTACCCAGTGGTGCCCGAGTTCTCATCTGGGTCACAGGAGGGGAAGAGACCTCAGCTTTGAGCTTTTAAACCACATAATTAAAGTGTTTCTTTAAAGCATGGATTTCCACAGCGAGTCTGAGCCCAGACGAGGGATACAGCCACGAGTGTTCCCACGAAGTCCCCAAGGTGCCTTGAGCTGGGACTGGTCCCTGGCTCTGGCCCATCTGTCCACTGGCCAGAGTATTGTGGGCAAAGCACTGCCCAAGTAACAAGGGGCCAAGGTGGCCACAGCTAGGCCTCACAGGGCTGGGCATGGCCATGGGGCTTGAAAACTTGGACCCTTTGGACGGCCCTGGAGCTGGAAGCGGCCTCCCTCCCAGCCAGGATGAGGGAGAACAGGTCTCACCTGTCCCCAAGCCCCTGCTGGCCTTCCCTCAGCTGAGGGCCCTGGCCCTTCTCACCTTGGGTAGTGTTATTGGGGTGGGGATCCCCAACACGTGCTGGAGAATCTTCCCTGATCCAGCTGGGCCCGGCTTTTCTCTGGGAATTGGGGCCTTATGCCATCTCCCTAGGCATAAGCCACCGCAGGAGGCGGTGCGGTGGTCAGGGACCAGGTCACGTAGGTGCTCTGCACCAGGAGGGCCACTCCCCCCCAGGGCCACTATGGCCTTGGGCAGCATGAGGGCTGGGGCTGGTGCAGCCTCAGCGGGGATCTGATCGGCAGCTATCTTTGGGGGGCGAGGGCAGGGTCAGCACTCGGAGAGGCATGCTCCGGAAGGGGGTCGCTGGAGACAGACCCAGCACCCAAACTCCACACAGATGGACACTTGGGGCCCTGATGCCCCTGTGAGCTACACCAATCCCTGCCCTTCCCAGGACAGGTTGGCAGGGCTCTGTGTGAGATGTGTGTGTGGTGTGGACCACCCATCCTGTTGCCACCTGCTTCCCAGCCCTGTGTGGAAGGCCAGCATCTGGGGCAGTCGGGACTGACCCCAGCAGGGGCTGAGCCCCCACTTCACACTCAGCAGTGAATGCCGCACAGTGGGCTCGGGGCATTGGGAACCCCACGACCTGACCCAGCTCCTCACTCGGGGCTCGATTTGGTTTACAAGCAGTGAAGGGAGCCATAGCCTTAACCTCAGCTAGGGCCACGGACACGCAGTATGGAGCGGGGACAGCCCAGGGCCCATCCAGCAGACCCCTGGAGGACACTGGGGAGACCACGGGGTGCTGGGTCACCGCCATGGTCCAAGACGGGAAATGTCCCCAGCTGGGCCCTCTTGGACCCTCCCACCGCCCCAGCGGGGGTGGGCTATGGTGTCTTCTCCCAGAGATGCCTACGACCACAATCTGTCTGCTGTGGCCCGTGTCTGGGGGCACTGCCCCTGTGGCCAGGACAGATCTCAGCAGGGACTGTCCGCCACCCCTCCTCCTGTCCAGCTATGTTCCCTGGGGCAGATTCTTGGTGGTAAGGACCTTCCTCTTACAGATGGGGAAACTGAGGCCCAAAGGCACTCACTATACTTGCAGCCAGGGTCAGTGGCTTGCAGTGTCCTGTGGAGGCTTCTAATGGCACTGACCAAAGCCAGCAAGGCCATGCCCCGGGGTGGAGCTGAGTGGGAGCAGACCCTGAGGTGCCCGGGGGGGGGGTGTAGGGCACAGGGGCTGCAGGGAGCCCTTCCCACCGCCACCCTGGGAGGGACCCACAGCCAGGGCAGTGCGGCCTTCATCTCTGTGAGCCAAGCCAAGCCCCTGAGTGTGTGGCTGTGGGGGCAGGGACACAGGGCCAGGGCTGCAGGACGCAGGCCACTCCACTAGGGGCAGCACAGAGAACGCACAACCACAGCATCCGTGACCCCGGCCTCAGCCCGCTGCCCCCACCCCTGCAAACCCACTGAACAACGTGTCCCTGGAGGTGGGGGCCACACGAAGGAGGGGAGACTGCTGGCCGAGCTTGGGGTGCCAATGCCCTAAGAGCCATGGGCTCCAGCTGCACCGGGTCCTGGCGCACCCGTGCCTCTCCTAGGCGACATGGGACCAAAGCTCCACACCACAGCTTCCTCTTGCAGATCTCCGATCCCAGCAAGGCTCTGCCCTGCCCTTGGCCATTTGGGATCTGTGATTTCTGCTCCCATCCTCGAGCGACTCTGCTCCTGATCTTGACACCAACACGTTTCAGACGCCAGGAACCCTCCCCCTGCCCCACCACCTGTGGCCTCAGATCCAACAGGCCACAAATGCACCATATGGAAGGAGGAGGAGATGACATCCGTCCCCTGCCGTCTGAATTTGTTTAGGCCTCCTTTGGTGGGGCATGGTAGCATGTTCCTGTAACCCCAGGGAAGCTGAGGCAGGAGGATCATGGCAAGTTCAAGGCCAGCCTGGGCTACAAAGTGAGTTCAGGGCCAGAATGAACTACATAGTAAAGCCTGCCTCAGAAAAATAAGTAAATATAAATAAAAACTCTTCAGGAGAGTGGAAAGACAGGAATCCCTTTGCCTGACTATTTCTGGGTGGGTGTGGCCTCCTGGCCAGGGAGAGGCCTCTTGAAAGGCTGTCTAGCTGGTTAGGGCTTCGGGGGAGAGAGTGGTTTTATGATATGTGTGATTTATACGGTTTTACCACCAGCCTGGCTGAGTGCGTCCTGCAGCACCCTGTTGGCCTTTGTGAGATTTCCAGAAATAGTGGCGTCCATCCCCCCACACAGCCGGCTCCACTGCAGGCCAGCTTGTTCCTCCCAACTGTGTGGCCAGCACCACCAAACTCCTCCTCGGGGTGGGGAGGTGACCTGATGGTGCGGATGGCTTCCAGTCCTCGAGCCACGTCCAGTCCCAGGGTGTCCCATGCAGTGCCCACATCCTGAGGGGGAAGGGCAAGAGGCACAGTACAAGACATGGGGCCCCCAAAACAGCAGCGTCGGCAGGAGCCACAGCGGTCACTCCGAGAGGCCACTCCAGTGGCAGGGCTGGGACAGACCTCCACCGGGTCGCCGGAGCACCCAGCCAGGCAGGTGCTGAACTGCAGCAAATGCTTCCTGTTTCCTGACATGGTCACCCACGCGCACAGATACCCTCCAGGGCACGCTGTCCAGCTCAGGCACGCTGTCCAGACGCCTGTCCAGGTCAGGCAGATGCAGTGTCCCAGCGTCTCCTCTCCCGGCAGCTCCTGTTTCATCCCGGATTCCTGCACGCTTGCAAGGGGTCCGTGTGGCTTTTCTGTTGCAGCAGGTCTGAGAGCTGCTTCAAGAGGCCCCGCGAGCTGCTCCTCTCGTTTGGTCTGTGGACAAGTCGTGCCAGGAAGTGCCTGGTGCCGGGGCAGGTCCGGATTTGTCCCTCCGGCTGTGGCTGCGTAACCCAAGTTCCTGCAGCACCTCTGGCATGTTTTCCTTTATCTGCTTACACCACTGCTGGCATCTTGTCCTCCCCACAGCTCATCCATTTTCCTCTTTCCAAAGTCACTGTAGTCGCTTATAGCGTCTGTTTTGAATAGTGCACTGCAGCTGATTCTCCGTTTTTTCTCACTTCACGTTTGAAGTATCGTCAGTCTGCAAAGCTTCTTAGTCTTTAAGGAAGGAAATTCTGGTTTCCTCAAATGCCCCAGGACCTGGGTATAGCTTGCCTCCTACATACGAGGCATCCCAGTGCCACAAAAAAAAAAAAAAAAAAAAAATGTAGTTCACATTTCAACATTTGCTGAGTCTATATACATGAGTACACGTGTGCGTAGAGCATGTAAATAGTATAAACAGATACACACACACGTGTATTTAAGTTTACTCAGATCATTGCTATTGCTTACTGAACCTGCGGGTTTTCGTGACAAGCATGTGAACCCCCGGGCTGTCGGGCTTATTTCCACCCGTTACAGCCAGCAGACGGGGTGAATTCTGAGCCCGCCGGGCAGGGCAGGTCTGCGTGTTCTCCGGACAGCTGTGGTGCTGCTCACTCAGGCTCTGCTGTCCTCCGAGTGGTTGTTTCTGCCCTTTAGCTGGGGCTTCACAGCCCCGGATGGCTGAGTTCTGGATCGGTTCCGGGAGGGTTCCTGCCATTGCTCCGCACGCTTTACAGCCTCATTTCCCGCCCTCCTGCGGTCTGCACATGCTGGCCATCAGCCTTCCCGCACCGCTGCCCACCTCGGCATCTCTGCACACAGTGCCTCCCGCCTGCCACTGCCCGTCCACACCCCGCGCTGTGGCCGGGTGCCCTTGAAGTTAACAGGAGTCTGTCTTTTCCTTAATTACTAAGGTGTGTGGGAAATGTGGGCTCCTCACCCTTCGGGCTGAGGAATGCTCCCCAGGAGAATTTCAGACCAGGCCACCGGTGGCCAGGAGACCTGGGTTGATGCATTGGTGTTTATGTGCATTGCAACAGTTGAGCTGGGCATAAAATTCAGGTTTCAAAGTTCTTGGACATCTTGAGGCCAAGCCATCATAATTTCCTGGCTTTCTAAAGTCTTCCATCAGCCAGGCACCTAAAAACTCGCACTTGGGAGGCTGAGGCAGGAGGATAGCTGCCCACTGAAGGCCAGCCTGGGCTACATAGGGAGATCCCATCTCAAAATACGAAAAAAAGAAGTCTCCCATCAACCTGGCCCCACTCCTCTTCTCTGGGTACCCCAGAGCCCCTCTTTGCTGCTGGCATTACAGACATTCCTTGTTTAACGACCGACCTGTTAATGACTGTGCAGACTTTGACCCTGTTATTTTGGGTACAGCTGTGCACGCCTTGTTTAAGGCCTTGGTGTCTTTTTGGTAGTGACCCAGCTTATACAGCACTGTGACATTTGCTGACTGCGCTGCACAACACATTCCTGAGGCTCTTGTTTCTGTCACACGTCACAGTTCCACGTGGAAGAATTGTGCAAACATAAGCAGAATCACCAGGCTGCAGTTTCTTTTTTCTAAACATTGTGAGGGACACACTGCAGGCACCGATTCCTAACAGCCAAGTCGCAGGACCGAACTCGGCTGTCAAGCAGGCGGCACCTGCCCTGTGTTAGACTCCAAGGGTTTTGTTTCACTTTGCCCTTGGAGCTGAGATCCTGCTGGCCGCTGCCCATCAGTGGCGTCTCCGCTGGACTAACGAGGTGGACGCTAACACTTCCCTGTCCGTATCTCTCAGCCTTTCTCTGTGCTCTCCCTGTGGAGTCTTGAGCCTGAGCCCCGAGCCCGAGCTGGCAGCACTAGCTCCTGGCTGCTCCACCCACCCACGGGTAACCCCATTCGCACTCCGGCATCCTGCTCCTGTGTCACAAGACCCTCAGTCATCCCTGGCCCTCTGCTTCCTTAGAAGGCTCAGTGCAGGGTCCACCGATTTGGCTTCCACTACTGTGGGCACCCTGTGTCTGTGCAGGGTGGCCGGGAACCTTCCTGGCACCTTCCTTCCTTTGCCCTGCAGGATCCTGTGCCCCTGGGCACCCACCATCTTGGCTGCTGTTGGAGTAGGACAACAGCCCAGAGCCCAGGGGCACCTCCTCGTGGTGGCAGGTGGAGGCAGGGTCCCTAGGGTCCGCACTCTCCAGCAGGCACCCCGCCATCCCAAAACACGCCTACACACTGCACTCCAATAGCTCCATGGCCTCCGGGCCTGGCTGTTCTCACCCCTGTGATGCTGGGCCCCAGCACCCGCCTGCCACCCTCCTCCAGGCCATGCTCCATGCCTACGGGCTCCAGCACCAGCCACCTTCTGGGTCTGGGGTGTCTCAGCTGACTGTGCTCTGCGGATCCACCTGCCTGCACCAGGGCAGCCTCCACTTCACCCTGTATGGCCCCGGAGACCAGGAGAGGCCAGTGCCACCACAGCACCTGCTTCGGTCTCCCTGGTTGGGGGCATATTCCTGTCCCAGAGCCCCTACGCCTGCTGGCTGGGGAAAACCCCACAGAGTCCATGTGAACAGCACAGACACGGCCACAAGGAAGCTGCCTGCTCCTTTAACTGTTGGCATCACACCGACCCTGAGCCCCCCATGAGACCTGGGTCCACCTGAGTCCAGCTTCTGCCGAAGGGCCGTTTCCAGCTGCCTGGGCTGCTTCAGCACTGCCCATAAATACATTTAGATAAATATGGCCGGGCTCGCTTCCAGCTGGACAGGCAGCCAGCTGCAGCAGTCCAGGCCTAGCACCAGGAGGACCTGCCCCACCCCACCCCACCAGGGTCCCGGTCCAGTGCTGGGCAGGATGGGGCTTCCTCAGCACAGCCGATGGCACCCAGGCTACTGCCCCGCTCCAGCTGGCAACAGGGCCCTGGCAGCCTGAGAGGCCATGCAGCCATCCACAGGGCCCATGGCTGTCCACATCGCTCCAGAGAGGGCTGGGCCAGTTCAGGTTCACGTGTGTCCTCAGTTGTCACTGCAGGCCTGGGTCCCCCTCAGGAGCTCCTGAGCTAGTGCTTGGCGGCCCTGCTGCTGAGCCTGGGTACTGTGGTGCTGGAGGCTGGTTGCGTCCCTGGGCCCAGGAGAGGAGGGTCAGCTGGTGACAACTGCCCTGTATGGCATCAAACCCTGTGGTGCCCTCCCTCACATGTCCAGCTCCATGTCGGAGGCCCAGGGCAGCAGGAAACCCAGCACTGTGGAGAATCCTCCTTTACCTAGCCCTCCCAGCAAGCCCCAAGGGCATTCGCCAACCCCTTACCTTTGCCCTGGGTTGGTGACAAGCTCTCAGACACCTGGGGGCCCCCACCTGCAGGGGAACACAGCAATGCGTATTGGGAGCAAGTCCCGACCCCACTCAGGCCCGCAAGGATTCTCCCCTCATGTCACTCCTATGCCCTCCCCCAAATGAGTTCCCAGCTAGGAGGCGGGGCTTTGGGGCTGGACGGGGTGGGGCTCAGGCCTCTGAACACCCCCCCCCCCCAGGCCCCACTGGCCCAGTCTCAGAGTGCTCGCAATAGCGGCTTCCTCCCTGCCCTAGCATGCGCTACCACACCTGACCACTGGGTGCCGCTGTGGGCACATTCTCTGGCCAGCCCGCTGGGCGGCTTGCCCAGGTCCCGCCCGGCTCTGCCTGCTCTTAACGGTTTGCAAGCAGGTGTGTCTTGGAGGGACTCCAACGCACACACAGGCAGCACCCAGCTCACACGAGCTGGCAACCCGGCTGGACCTCTGCGCTGCTCCTCTGTCCTGTTCCATTCCACCCGGCCAGGGATCTGACCCAAGGAAACCCCAGGGACTGCACTGGCCGGAGCGGGGTGGGCAGCTGGGGCTCCACTGAAGTTGGAGGGCTTGTTCCACAGCACCCCGGGGCTCGGAGCCACCACCTGGCTCTGGCAGACACGGGCACATCTGGAGCACATCCTCTAGCACACACACTGCACACTCACGTGAACCGGCTAGCAGGCACACATGCAGGTAGGCACAGGGCCATCGTCTGTGTGCCCTTGCTTCGGTGGCACCAGGGCCCCCGCCAAACAGTGAAGCTGCCATGAGGTTCACATCCCGCCAGGGAGGTGTGCAGATGCTGGGTACTGGGCAGGGAGGGCTGGGCTCGCTCTGGCTGGCCTGGGTGTTGGGGTGATGGATGGGCCCTCAGGGGACTCTGTGTCTTCCTGCCCCTCCATGAGAGACCCGACTCACCTGCCCGGCACGTGGGCCCCATGTAGCCGTCCACACAGTGGCACTGCCCACTGACAGGGTCACAGTCAGCCCCACCCTCACAGTCACAGCGCAGGGCACAGCCGGGCCCGAAGTGGCTCCCTCTGCAGGCTGCAGGATGGGAGATGGGGGTGAGACCAGGGCACCACCCTGCCTGCCCGGGTCCAAGGCAGAGACGGGGAGAGTCAGGAACAGCCCCCATGTGGGCATCCAGGGAGCTGAGTGCAGCTTCAACGCCAGGAGCCCCTGTTAGAGGAGCAGCAGCCCTGGCCCGCATCCCAAGTGGCTGCTGGAGGCTGCCCGTGCCTGCTGGACAGAAGGCCTGGGGTCCTCAGCTGCTACCCCCGACGCTTGACGGGCCTGGGAGCCACAGGGTGCAGCCCTCTGAAGGCTGGAGGCCCGGTGCTTGCAACGTCCCGTGCATGGCAGCAGAGTGGTAACCTCTGTTCTCTCATCTGGGGCATCTCTGTAACCACAGCCCTAGCCCCCAAAGGGCCCCTGGACCCCATGGAGCACAGGCCAGGACACAGAGGACACGGAGACAGTGTCCAGCATGGGGGGACACAAACCCACACAGCCGACATCTGTCCCCACTGGGGAGCACCCTCCCTGTGGGATGTGACACTCACTCAGCTCACACGTGGCTCCCGAACGCCCCGGCGGGCAGAGGCAGAGGCCACTGATGGGGTCGCAGGGCACCCCGTCACCACAGTCACAGCGCTGGCGGCAGCCCTCGCCGAAGGAGCCCGGCTCACACCCTGGTGGGGAGTGGGCTCAGTGTCCCCTCCTGTCCTGCACCAGGCCGCAGGGGCCCGCAGGGACAGTGTGGAGCACTCACCCTCCTCGCAGAGCTGGCCCTGGAAGCCGGTGGGGCACAGGCACTGGCCGCTCACGGGGTCGCAGGGGGCGCCCTGTTGGCACTCACAGGCCTGCTTGCAGCCCATGCCGTGGAAGCCGGGGGGACAGGCTGGTGGGGGGACCCTGGTCAGAGCGTCCAAGGGCAGCACGCAGCGGGACCCTCTAGTTTCCCCAGGACGAGCACAGGATGGTAACTGGGAGGTCGGGAGAAGCCCCTTGTGCCCCCCCCCTTGTACCCCGTCACAGCTCCAGCATCCTGTGGGGCCCCCAGAAGAGGAGGGAACACCCTATTATGCGACAGCCAGGCTCTCCTGGTTTGCTGTGTGACCCCACATTCGGGGCTCTGGTCATCCCTCCTTGAGGAACCTCCCTGAGGCAGCGCCAGGAAAGTGACCTTGGCTGTGGTGAAGTCGGGGCCCGCGGGGGACAGAGCATAGCTCTCAACTCACAGTGCTCACAGGCCGGGCCGTAGAAGCCAGGGCCACAGCGGCAGGTGCCTGTTGTGGGCTCGCAGGTGCCATTGTTGTGACAGGAGCAGGCCAGGCGGCAGGCGGCCCCGTAGTGCCCCTGCGGACAGGCTGGGGTGCACAGGGAAGGGTGGACCCTTGGCACTGCGTAGACCCAGGCCCCCATCCTGTCCAGCACACAAGGATGCTGTGGTCACTCACCCTGCTCGCAGTGTGGCCCCATCCAGCCCAAGCCGCAGGAGCAGCTGCCGGTGGCGGCGTGGCACAGGCCTCCGTTCCTGCAGGTGCACTGGCGCTCACAACCTGAGCCAAACCAGCCCGGGGCACAGCCTATGGGTGGAAGGCGGGCGATGCTCAGGGCTGTGGCCAGGGCTGGGCACCCTCGGGGTGCCCCACAAACACAGATTCCATCCAGCAGATGCTGCCTGAGTATCCCAGAGGCCCTGGCAACAACCCGGCCATGGAGAGGGCTCAGGAGCTGCCTGGGGCTGGTGGCGCCCTGCACAGCCAGGGCACATGTCTGGCCTGAGAAGCAGTGTGAGCCGCTGTGGATCTGGATGTGGCTCTTGGTGGTCCTGCCGTGACCTGACGCCCCCACCTGAGGGGCCACTGTCCTCCCTAGAAATGGTACCAAGCTAAGCCACACTTGACCGTGGCTGCAGCTATGTAGGCCCTCAGGGGCCCTGGCATGCACTTGGGGTGAAGGTGCCAGTCCTCAGAGGATGGTGGGGCAGAGAGTGAGGTGCTGGGCCATGGGCTGCTGACACAGCCTGGGGACCAGACGGTCACTGTGGCCCAAGCCATAACCCCTGCTCCTGCGCCCCCTGGTTTCCCTGCACAGCCTGTGCCCCTGCCCCTCCGCCTGACTCCATCCTCAGACAGAAGACGCCACCTCCCCTGGGTACCCTGGGACAGGGCCCTGGGCAAACGTGGGGTGGGCAGCAGGGACCAATCTCTCTGCCCTGCAGGACGGTGCAATTCACCACCCTGGAGCCGCCTCTTTGTCCAGTGTCCTCTGGGGAACCCACGGTGGTCGCAGTGTGAAGATGCCACCTGGGAACAGCTGAAGGACGTCAGTCAGGTGCCCCGCCTGTCCCTGGAAGCCACTCACCATGCTCGCAGTGGACACCGGTCCTCCCGGGGGGGCAGGCGCAAGTGCCAGTCACAGAGTCACAGGTCGCGCCCTGTCCACACCTGCACAGGTGGGCACAGTCGGGGCCGAAGCGGCCCTGTGGACAGGCTGTGGGGAGGGGACAGGATGGGACAGGGCAGGGGCAGGGGACCTTGTCTGCCCCAGCAGGGGGAGCTCCCAACTCCCGTCTCCCTGCACTCTGTGTTGATCCCCTGCACCCACCCATGCCCTGTAGGCCCTGACAGGGGAGCCCCCAGGCACAGGACAAAGGTTCCAGGTGGACCCATCTAGGGACAAGGTAGGCACAACACAGGGACACAATCAGGCTGACACCCTGGAGCATGTCCTCTCTGGAGCCAGGCCCAACAAGGGGCGACAGAGGGCCAGGAAGCGGGGAGCAGGGCAGAAAGAGGAGTCACTCACAGAGGCTGCAGTCAGCCCCGAGGAAGCCTGCAGGACAGTGGCAGGCCCCTGTGACCCCGTCGCAGGAGCCCCCATTTAGGCACCCACACAGCTGCTCACAGCCTGGCCCGTAGCGCCCAGAGGGGCATCCTGTGGGAAGAGGGCCACTCTGCCAACAGTGGGGCCAGAGACTGTCCCCAGCACCCCTTACACCAGTGGGTTTGCAGGGGCCTGGGAGGGAAGACCATTCCCAGGGCCAGGGCGGCACTCACGCTGCTGGCAGCTGGGGCCGTGGTAGCCGGCGACACACGTGCAGGCTCCTGTGGCTGGGTGACAGACCCAGTTGTGGCCTGGACACCGGCACAGCTGCCCACAGCTCTCTCCGAAGGTGCCAGGAGGACAGGCTAGAATGGGCAGGGTGGTCAGAGCTGGCCGGCCTCAGGGACAGGCAGCCCACCCCGAGCCTCCCTGGCGGGCCTCACACCTACCCTGCTCACAGCCAGGCCCCTTGAGGCCACTCGGACACCGGCATTCCCCGGTGACATGGTGACACGGGTTCCCTGGCGGGCAGCGGCAGCGCTGGGCACAAGCGTCTCCAAACCAGCCACGCTGGCAGGCTGTGGGGACAAGAACCACAGCCATGCATGAAGGTGCCGGGGGCGTGGGTTGGGATGCCCCCTGGGAGAGCACTCAGGACCCAGGGACAGAGCGGCCCAAGCCCTGCGTGAGCAGGATCTGCCCCTCCAGCCTGGGTAGCTGTCCTGGGCTGGCCCTCGGGGCTGCTCTCACCCTCCTCACACTGTGAGCCCCTCCATCCTGGGGGACAGAGGCAGGCACCGGTGACGTGGTGGCATGTGGCTCCCTGCCGGCAGGTGCAGTGCTCTTCACAGCGAGGCCCAAACGTGCCCGGGGCACAAGCTGCCAGAGGGACAAGATGGAGAGGAGGGCTGCACCCTAGGGCCCCAGGCCCTGACCATGGCACAGGGGCGGGGGTGGGGGTCTGTGCCTGACTGCCTGGACCGCCTCGAGTGGGGCTGGGGTCCCAGGGAAGGGGAGGCAGCAGGAGGCTTGGGGACTGGGGCTGGGGACACTGTCCACCCTGACCTGACGTCCCTGGTCTGGACTCTGAACGGGCTTGGGGCCGGCTGGTGGGTGAGGACCTCAGGCCCTCCAAGTCCACCTCCCTGACACACTGCTGGCCGCTCTGCCCCAGGCAGAGAGAAAGCAGTGCAGACCCTCCTGGGGACCCCACCTCCTGCCTGACAGGGAGGATGGCCCGGGCCCCTCACTCACGGCTCTGGCACATGTCTCCAGTCCAGCCAGCTGGGCACAGGCAGTGGCCTGTGTGCCGGTCACAGAGGCCCCCGTGGAGGCACCTACAGCTGAGCAGGCAGCCCGCCCCATAGTGTCCCGGGCGGCACTCTGCAGACACAAGGTGGGGGTGAGCACCGGCCTCTCGGGGCAGGGACCCTCGGGGACCCGTCCACCCTGGCTGCCAGCGCTCACCATCCTCACAGGCCAGCCCAGTCCAGCCCTCCGGGCAGGTGCAGCGGCCGGTGACAGGGTCGCAGCTCCCTCCGTTCCGGCACAGGCAGGAGTGCTGACAGTCCTGGCCATACTGGCCGGCGGGGCAGGCTGGGCGGGGAGATAGTAGCCTGCAACATCCTGCCACCAGCGCCCCAGGAAGCCTACAGCTCAGCACTCCGTGGAGCCCAACACCAGCTCCTTGGGCTGCTCTGTGGGGACTGACCCGGCCCACCCTGGACCTGCCAACCACGAAGGCCACAGGCCTCGGTCCCAGGCTCCGCACCCTGCCCCGGGCACCAGCACCTCCTGCAGTCTGCATTCTTTTTTTTTTTTTTTTTTTTTTATCAGTACTGGGGATCAAACTCAGGACTGCCTGCTTGCAAGGCAGGCGCTTATGCCGCTGAGCTAAATCCTCAGCCCCACCTCCTGCATTCTGCGGCACTCATGTTCCCTCAGGCGACTGTGCAGGGGCCAGGTAAAAGGCGGGCCTACCCTGCAGACAGGCTGGCCCCATCCAGCCTGGTGCACAGTGGCACTGCCCGTGGACAGGGTCGCAGGAGGCCCCGTTGGAGCAGGTACAGGCCTGGCTGCAGTTGAGGCCGTAGGTGAGGGCTGGGCAGGCTGAAAGGGAGGCGTGGTCAGAGGCTGAAGCAGGAGGGCTCCAGAAGGAGCGGCAGCAGGTGGTGTCTGGCAGCTGGGACCCACTCTCTCCTCCCTCTGGCCTGGGCCACCCAGGACAGGCCTCAGGTGTGTGTCATGGAGATCTCGGCCCTCACGCACTCTGAGCACAGCGGGGGCCCTGGCGGCCAGCTGGGCAGACGCAGGAGCCGGTCACAGTGTCACAGGTGGCCCCAGCAGAGCAGTCACAGGCACTGTGGCAATCCACGCCAAAGAAGCCGGCCGGGCAGGCTGCAGGGTGGGGTGAGGTGTGGCAGGGAGCAGGACCCGGCTGGGGGACCCGCCTGCATCTTGGCCCTGACCCACCCTTGGCCCTTGGCCACTTACTGCGCTCACAGAAGGTGCCCCTCCAGCCGGGCGGGCAGGTACAGGCCCCGCTGATGTGGTCACAGGCTGCCCCATGCTCGCACCGGCACCGCTGCCCACAGCTTGGCCCAAAGTAGCCCTGGGGACACTCTGAGACCCAAGGTCCGGGCCCCATCAGCCAGGGGCTGGAGTGTGACCAGGGAGCAGGGCCCAGCTCACAAAGAGCCCCTCCTTGCCCACAGACCCCGGCTGCAGGGCCTCAGAGCCCCAGATGTCACCTTTAGGAACTGGGATTGCCCTGGACCCTCAACCCTCCCTTGGGGGACACACACAGTCCAAGGGCCACCTCCTCCCCACCCAGGGCCCAGTTTGGTGGGACAGGCCCTGCCCCTCAGCTGCTTCCCTGGGTGGGCCCTGGGCATGCTCGAGGGAGCACAAGAAGGCAGGTGTGTGTTGTGTAACGGGTTACATGTAAACACCACCAAGACAGGTACCCGCACGGCCCATACCCTGAGGGAGTGTGGGACTCACCCTGCTCACACTGAGGGCCCATGTAGCCAGCCTCGCACAGGCACCGCCCGCTGGCGGCATCACAGCTCCCGCGGCCAGCGCTACAGTTGCAGGGGTGGCTGCAGTCGGGCCCCCAGTGCCCGCTGTCACAGGCTGCAACAGAGCCAGGCGGTGCTGTGGAGCCCAGGCGGCAGTGCAGGGGCAACTCGGGCGAGGCCAGGAGGGCCCTGTACCTCTCTGGCAGCTGAGGCCGGTCCACCCAGGGGCACAGCTGCAGTGTCCAGTGGCTGGGTGGCAGTGCCCATCATTGGCACAAGAGCACCTCATCTGGCAGCCAGGCCCAAACCAGCCTGCTGGGCAAGCTGCGGGGGTGGAGAGGGTGAATGTGGCAGCCCAGCACGGCCCACTGGCCCCGAGCCACAGGCGAGGCCAGATCTCGGCTGCACTCACCGTCCTGGCAGCGGCTGCCAATGAAGCCAGGAAGGCACAGGCAGGCTCCCGTCTCGGGCTCGCAGCGGCCACCGTGTTCACATGGACGGCAGATCTCCTGGCAGCCCAGCCCCCAGTGGCCCTCGGGACAGTCTAGCGCCCCAAGCCAGTCAGTCTTCCATGCTGGCTGGGCGGGCGTACCCATCCACGATCACACATCTGGCACAGTGCCAAGCCCCCTTGTGCCACACCTGGGGGGCCTGAGATTCCCATCATGCTGCCCAGGGTCCCCGTGGGGCTGCGGGACCCACAGGAGAGAAGCCCCAGCCCCAGGAATGGCTCCAAGAGGACCCCATGCAGGAAGTGGGGTGCCCAGGAGGTGTCCAGCAGGATGTTCCTCCTGTGCCCGGCTCTGGTCAGGCATGAGTTCTCAAAGCTGTTACAGAAAGGCCTGGAATGTGCAGGGCCAGGGCCAGGGGCCCCCAAATGTGGCCCAGGCTTTAGCACCCAAACAGCCCCAGGCAGCCCCACCTGGAGCCCTGTGGCCAAAGGGGAGGGCTCGTGAGAGGTCCTGACGCCACTCACCTTCCCCGCAGTCCTCCCCTGTCTTCCCTGGTGGGCACAGGCACTGCCCTGTGACCCAGTGGCAGGGGGCTCCCCCACAGGAGCAGGACCCTGAGCAGTTCACACCAAATGTCCCCGCTGGGCACTCTGCAAGGAAGCAGGAGGGGCCTCAGCTGCCCCTCCTCCAACTCGTGGGGCCCCGCCCTGCCCGGGAACCTCCCCCCGGGATCCTGGCAGTCACACTCCAGGCCCAGGCACTGCTCCAGCTCCAGAAGGAACCACCCAGGGACCTGGGCAGGCCACCAGGACATCGGAGGGCGGGGAGACAGCTGTGAGAGGCAGAGCGAGGTGCAAGGGCCATCCAGTCCAGCACCCTGGAGAGCTCCCTGCATCCCTGGGCCCCATCTGGTCTTCCACAAGGACCTCGTGGGTTAGGCCTGTGTCCCTCAAGCAGGGGGCACAGGTCCAGGTCCATTATGCTGCCCATCAACAGGAGCCCTCCAGGGCTCTGCCATAAGGGCTGGGAAAGGGTCTGCATCCAGCCTACGCCTGGGAGCTGCGCCCTTTGCAGGCAGAGCGTGGACTCCAGGCCTTGGAGACCACCTTTCCAGCAGCTCCCTGACACTGGGGGAGCAGCATCCCAAGTCCTTGGGTCCTGGGCATGACTGGCCTGGCACCCAGGTCCCCAGTAGGGCCTCAGAAGGTGTCTGGGCTGAGCAGCCCACGGGGCCGTGACAGAGCCTGCTTCACGCTGTCTGTGCCCAATTCACCCTCAGGACTCAACTGGCTTCTGCTCCAGGACCACAGAGCCTGAGGCTGGGGCAGGGCAGCCAGGAAGAAGGAGCCCACCTAGCCTGCATGGCACAGCCCCTGTGGCCCTGCCTGCTGCTGTGACAAAGTGAGCCCAGCACAGGGCTGAGCTCCAGGCTCTCACAGGGGATACCACATGGGTGCCCTCATGTGCAGCTTGTAGGCCTGCACACATAACACCTGCACGCACACACGTACGCACACTCACAAGAACGCACACACGACATCTGGGCATCGGCACAGCCTGGAGCAGGAAAGGAGCCTCTGTGCAGGAATGAGGCAGTCCACCGGCCTCAGGCTCCCCCCAGATAATTGGGGCCAGCACCCAGACCTAACACCAAGCGGGAGCCCTCTATCTCTGTGGAAGTGTCTGTCATTTCCTATGGCCACTAAACTAAAGAGGAAAGAATAAACGTGCAGGGGGCGGGATGGTGGTGAGGAAGGGCCCCTCCTCCTCAGACGGCAGAGAGGGGACACTGGGCGCTGCTGACCATGGCCTGACAGCACAGGATGGGCATCCCCCCGGGCCAGGAGACAATACTGTGAGCAAGGCAAGCTAAGGCAGCTGGCCGGAGGGCACTTGGCGCTCCCTCTGCCCAGCTGGGCGGTCCAGGGGCCTCTCCCCCAACCCCCTCCCCCTGCTGAGACCGGTGGGGGAAGCAAGCACAGCTGCTTGCCCCTCGCCAGCCCTGGAGACAGTGCTCTCACTGCAGGCCCATTCTTTCGAGCAACGGTGTAGGTGGCAGCAGCTGTGCCCAGGTGGCCACCACAGCTGCCCGGCACACACGCCCAGCACCCCTTCCTCCTGCAGGGGTGCATGTGCAGCCTGCTGTCCCCTCTCTGGGCTGCGAGGCTGAGGGGGAGGCGTAAGGGTTTCCACCCCACAGCTCACACAGCCCGCAGAGACAGGCCCACTGTGTGGGTTGTCAGGGCTGCTGCCAGCACAGGTTGAGGGCCCAGGCCTCTTCCTCCAGGCAGGTGGCAGCCACAGCATCCCCACTGTCCTTCCTGGCCCTCTGGGTGTGGGTCACCAAGGAAGCCAGGACTGCTGGGGACACCCGAGGACTGATATCATGGGTCCGAGTTCCAGGCGGCTGGCTCCTCTGTACCTGGACCCTATCTCGGGCCGATGGCTGCCAGCCATGTGACACTCATGGGACCCACCTGAGCATGGGATGCCTGGGGCCAGCCCCTCACCTTGGCCACAGTCCTGTCCGTGATAGCCAGGGGGACACTGCTGCCAACACTCGCCGCTCGCAGGGTCACAGGCCACACCCGGCGGACAGGTGCACGCTTGCCGGCACCCAGGCCCAAAGAAGCCCGGCTCACACTCTGCAGGGTGACAAGCAGGTTGAGGGCCAGCTGGGCACCGCAGCCCCGCCCCGCCCCCACATGGGCACGCACCTGCCTGGCACCGCTCGCCCCGAAAGCCGGCCTTGCAGAGGCAGCTGCCGTCCCTCCGGTCGCAGGACTGGGTGTGGGGCTGCTCACAGCGGCACTCCTCCGAGCAGCCCGGCCCGAAGGCCCAGGGCGGGCAGGCTGTGCCCCAGAGCCATGAGTGATGGCCCCCACAAGCACCCCTCCTCCCCATGAGCCGGTGCTGCAGTGATGCCCCCTGCACCTGTGCCACTTTTGGGCACACTCTGGGTGTCACCCCCAGCGGCTGACGGCTGTGCTCCCGGGAACCTGCCCTGCCTCACACTGCCTCCCAGTGAGGAAGCCCCGGTGTCCTCCCCCACGGCCCCTTTCACCAGCAGAAGCAGCCTTCTTTATCCACCTCTTCCTGCCCGTCCTCTCTATGTGACTGGCCCCTGAGGATGGGCGACTCGCCCAGGGGCGCAGGGCCAGCGCCCTGCCAATGCTGTGAGCCCAGAGCCTGCTCCCTGCTCCACCCTGCTGCCCACCCTCCTTCTGGGTGCTGGGGACACTGGATGCCCCAGAGGCCTACTCCATCGCTGCAGGGAGGATGTGGCTTGGGCTCACGGGCCAGGGCTGGTGGCTGAACCCCAGGCCCAACTGCAGGGGTGCAGTGCAGGCTGCGTTCCTGCTAGCATGGCTGGGAAACCTCTCGAGGTCAGCTTGGACGCTGCAGGGCTGCAGGACTCACCCAGGTGGCAGAAGCGGCCGTAGAGCCCCGGGTCACAGAGGCAGGCCCCGTAGAGGCGGTGACAGCGCCCCCGGTTGGCACAGTGGCACTTCTTGCGACAATGTTTGCCATAGAAACCCTTGGGGCAACCTGGGAGCAGGGCTCAGTGAGATGGATCAGCTCCCACAGGCTGCCCCTAGGGGGCCATCCGAGCCCCTGGATGAGGCCGAAGGCCAAAATGGCCACAGGGTCCCTGGCATACACTGTGGAGGTGCAGAGCTCTTGTCCTGGGCACCCCAGCACCTGATCCCCACTGGGGCTTCCTGGCATCTGTCCCAAGTGGTCACCACGTTCCATTTTCCCACATCAAAGCAGAAAGGCCACAGGGCCCAGGTGGCTGAGCCTCGAGCTGTCCTCCCCCAAAGCATCCCTACCTTGCCCCACAGCCCTGGTCTGCTCTCGAGGCTGTAGCAGAAACCCCAAAAGCTATGCCCCTGTCCTAACAGATCATCCCATATGACCACGTGGATCCCGAATCATGTCAGACAAGAGGCAGGAGAGGCTCGGCCATGGGAGGCTGCAGGCAGGGGCTGAAGCAACACCACAACCGGCCAGGGATGTCCAGTGCCTCGGATGGGCCTGCTGGGGAATCTGGTGACTCCCTGAGACCCGACTAGGGGAGCCAGAGTGCCCGCAAGGACACTGTACTGCCCACTGTCCCTCATCCACATGGCCTGCCCCAGCCACAGCCTCGCACAGCACGGCGGCAGGGGAGGGGAGGCCACCGGGAGGAGGTGGGGAGCCCTCGCTGCCCTGGGGTGGTACCGTGCTGCCGGGCAGCTCACAGGGCCACCTAGGGCCTTGGAGCCAGTCCCAGCCACTCACTCCTCCAGCCAAAGGGGCTGCCCTTCACTGGTCCCCTCTCTGCCTTCTTTGGTTAAGTGCCAGAAAACACCACCAAATCGATGCTAGCCTCGCAGGCGGGTTTCTCCTGCCCCTGAGTACTGAGGACATGGGGAGGGGGAACAGGGGGCACTGCCCCCTCCCTGGGGCGGTTCCTTCTAACTGCCACACGCACCATCCTCACAGTGGGCTCCACTGACGCCCGGAGGACAGCGGCAGGCCCCGGTCACTGGGTCACAGGTTCCACCATTCTGGCAGCTGCAGGGGGAGCTGCAGTTCTTCCCAAAGAAGTCTGGAGGACAAGCTGCAGGGGTGACAGGAGCACCGGGGTCACCAGCCAGCAGGACCCACTCAGAAACAACTGCTCAGAGCAGTGAACAGTGGTAACACCCACGCCGCCACCCCGGCCATGCTCACGGCAGACATCACTCATCAACTGCCCATCCTCCCCTCTGCCTTCAAGCAGATGGTCCCAGGTGGTCAGCTGCTCCTAACAGCTGTGTCCTCAGCAGTGCGGTGGCACCCCACTTCCCAGCCTTTGCACATGTCCCTTTCTGCCTGAGATGCTTGTTTGCTGCTGGACACCTGCCTCAGACTGACCTCAGCTCACCTCCTCCCCAGCAATCCCACCAGCCATAATGGTGGCCAACACAGGTGGACAGCCAGGGGAAAGCTGTCCCTCACTGGCCAGGGGGGCCACACTTATCTGGCTGCCCACAAATACTAGGACTCAGCACCCCAACAGCGCCCCCAAGGTCCCATCCCCCTGGGGCCTCACTCTCATTGCAAATGAGCCCGGTCCAGCCTTTGGGGCAGTGGCAGCCATCCAGGCCCGGCAGGCAGGTCCCCCCATTCCTGCAGTCATCACAGGTCAAGCTGCAGTCAGGGCCGAAGGAGTTGTCCAGGCAGACTGGGGCAGAGCAGGAGGGGCCTCAGATTAGACCCCAGTGTAGGCCCTGGGGCCAGGGAAGAGGACCCGAGGGGCAATCTCAGCCCACAATGCCCCCAAGAGGGCAGGAGTGGGACATGGGAGCCGGATGCTAAGGCCAGGAAGACCCCTGCCCAGGAGCAGGGCCTGAGCTGGCCCTAAATGCATCTCCTGGTTGTGGCAGAGGCCTGGGCTGGGTCTGCCGCTCACCGTACTTCTCGGCGAGTGTGAGTTCTCCCCGCAACTCTGCCTCCTCCTCCTCGGCCCCGGAGTCCTCCTGGAAGAGCCGTGGCAGCTCATCCCGCAGCACCGCGATGTGGGGTAGGGGCCGCTCGAAGGGCAGCTGGCCGTCCAGGTCCACTGCAGGCTCCTCCAGAGCTGCGAGGGACAAAGAGGTCCCTCAGCCCTGGTTCCTGCCCTCCCAGGGACAAGGCCATGGTCCTTCTCTCCCTGGGCCAGGCAGAGGCCAGACAGCTACATGACAGTCTATCTGGGGGACACCTGTGTGACAGCGCTCTACTCTCCACCTGCTGCCCATACCCCACAGCACGGCAGGACACTTACAGGTGCAGCCCCTGCGGTCCTCATCCAGCCGGTAGCCGGCCTCACAGGAACACTGGAAGGAGCCAGCCAGATTAGTGCAGCGGTGCTCACAGCCGCTGCGGCCAGAGGCGCACTCGTCCACGTCTGCAGGCAAACAGGGCTGCAGGGTCAGGGCAAGGACCCCCTCCCTGGCTCTCTGGTGGGCAGAGCGTAGGGGCCAGCAGCAACTACACCACCCCCAGCCACATCGGTCTCCCACCCACCTGCCCCCCACCCCCAAGCACAGTGACGGCGGTCAGCTGTGTGGCCAGGAGGTGGGCCCAGCCCCGAGCGTGGCAGGCGAGAAGGCCAGAGGGGAGGGCAGACCTGCATGCAGTGGGCATCCGGGGCCCAGCAGCAGCAGCACAGGGACCAGGCTGGGGCCAGGTACCACAGGACAGCGGGGCTCCCCCATGTCCTTCCTAGGGGCCCCAGCTGCTCTCCAGGGGCAGACGCTCACCCTCACAGCCACAGCCGTCAGCGCTAAGCCGGTAGCCGGCGTAGCAGCCACACTCGTACCCGCCGGGGGTGTTGGTGCACACCTGCTGGCAGCACGGGGCGTCAGCACAGTCGTCCACGTCTGTGGGGCACACGGCAGGGGCCCTCGGTGCCTGGCCCCATGATGCCCCCTACAGCCCACAGCCATGCAGGTGCAGCACACATGCCCACACTCAGACACACACACAGGCACAGGGTCACACACACTATACACTGTGCACACAGCCACACCCCGCACTGTACACACATCCTAACACGATCATATACTTGCTCAGTCACACACAGGGGCTTGTCACAGCCCAGGGGCACAGATGGGGCCAAGGGGATAGGTGGCTCCTGAGTAGCTACACTGCCTCTCACCAGGATCCCCCAGCCCAGGCCAGCCCTCCTCCCCCAGGCACTCCTGAGGTCGTGCCCTGGCCGCCCAGGTAGGATGGGACACCTAGGGCGCGGCACAGAAGCCCAGGCTCGCACCAACACAGGTCCTCTGGTCCTGGTCCAGCTCATAGCCACGGGGACAGGTGCACAGGGGACCCCCGCTGCTGTGCCTGCAGCCATGGGAACAGCCACCGTTGCCCACCTCACAGCTGTTCACGATCTCCATCTCAATGCCTGGGAGAGACGGGGCATCTGAGATGGACGGCAGGGTCCACAACCCCCCGGGGGACCCAGAAGCCCGGCCAGGGAAGCTGTGCAGTCCCCGGGAGCCCGTCACTCACTGCGGCCACCCACTCACGGTAGCACTGCCGGCCGTCAGCACCCAGCTCATAGCCCGCACGGCACACACACTTGAAGGATCCCTGCGTGTTGAGGCAGCCGTGGGCACACCGTGCCAGGCCTGGGGCGCACTCGTCCACATCTGGAGGCAGAGACAGTCAGAGTCAGGATCAGGGGGCAAGAGGAGACCACAGGAGAAAGCATGTGGGGATGACGCCCATGGCTGCGTAGCAGGGCTCAGTCAGTCCTGACTCAGCTGTACCCCACCCAGGAGACCATCGGGATGAAAGGGATCCTTATGGCCCCTCAGGCCAAGCCCTCAGGGTGCCGGGCTTGCCTCTCCCACTGCAATGACACCCTGCCGCCTTGTGGCTGAAAACTCAGCCTCCTCCCCCCCACAACCCTGCAGCCACCCCAGCATCCTCAGGACACGGGGCTGGAGGAAGCAGTGACCAGGGATCCAACATGAAGCAGCATTTAGCAAACGGCTGAGAGGCTGGGCAGGGCCACGCCTTCCTCCCGCCCTGTCTCCTGCTCCCTGGCAAGCAGGCTACAGGGGATGCTTGCAAAATAAGAGGGCCCGGATGTAGCTCAGCAGCACACCGCTTGCACAGCAAGCACGAGTTGTGAGTCCAGTCCCGGGTAGCAAAGAATAAATACAATATAATACAAGCCTGAGCTGTCCTCCACCCCCACTGAGAAGAATCTTGGCTGAAGACAGCATCTGTGTGTGACCCCCATCCCACCCACCATGGACCCAGCATCAATGGCTGGGGAGCGGGTGGTCTGCGTCCCACAGATGCAGGGTGGAGGAGGGGTGGCTTCCCACCTTCACAGGCCTTGCGGTCCGCAGCCAGCTGGAAGCCCGCGTGGCAGCCACACTGGGCCAGGCCCTGGAGCTCCTGGCAGGTGTGCATGCAGCCGCCATTCCCCTCTGCACACGGGCTTCTGCCTGCGGCCCCGTCCCAGGCACAGAGGCAAAGGCAGAGATCAGGACGGGCAGCGACGGCAGGTGGGCCCAACTCCAAACACCTGCCCTGGTGTCCCATGAGGCCCTGCCCCGAGCTACTTCCTCCCCTGCCCAGCCTGGGCAGGGTCTCCTCTCCATATAGGGGACACTCTGGGGATACTCATGGAGAGCCACAGCCTGAGGACAGAATCTGGCTTCCCGAGGACCGCCCACCCCGGGTATGGGGAGCCTGCACCCAACTGTCCATGGCTTCCAGGGACTCCACAGGATGGGGAGGAAGGCCTCGCCTGGACCACAGCATCAGCAGGAAGGTAGCTATGACCCCAGATCTATGACCTCCTCAGCCCTGTGACCCCCACCATGTAATCCCCACCTGTGACCATCCACCTCTGTGATCCATGCCATCCTGACCCATGACTGACTTCGGCCCCCCACACCCACATTTGCGCCCGCCCCGTCAGTCTGAGGGAGATAGAGGAAGGTTTCCCAGCCCGTCCCACCCACACCCACACCCAGGGTCTGGTCCTACAGAGTCCCTCCTCACTGCAGGCAGTAGCCCTGGAGGCCCTGACCAATGGCTGATGGGGCCCAAGGCAGCTGGGAACTTCTGTGGAACCCTGCACTTCCTGACCTCAGCTGTGCAACCCCAGAGCAGAGCCCCCCGCCCAGATTCCAGCCAAGGACCCCAGGCTCTGTCTTGAGCGGTGGCACTCACGGACACAGCGCCTGCCATCCTCCTGGAGCTGGAACCCGGGGTGGCACTGGCAGCGGTGCCGCGTGGTCGTGAGCTGTAGACACTGGTGTTGGCAGCCACCATTGCCCAAGGCACAGGAGTTGACAGCTGGGGACACAGAAAGTAGCTGGGTCAGCTGCCTCCCTGCCTTCCGCCTCTGTCCCCAAGCAGGGACCTCCTGGGTCCCACCACAGAATGGTGGCCTTGCTCTGAAGCCCCTGGGCCTGGGCCCACAGAGGGCAGGACACGGAGACCTTGGGGCCACCTCGATGGAAGTTCAGTACTCCCAGGTTGCAATGCAAAGTACAGGTGCCCCTGAGAAGCACGAGAGAGTGGGTTTGGCACCTGAGTGCCCAGAGTATGCCCTGCCAGAGGTGGCCAAGGCCTGTGCCACCATGCTGGTCCTCAGACCAGGGCAGAAGGAGATGGTCGCTGTGGCCTGCAGATCTGGCCATCAGCTCCCCAGGGACCAGGGCAGCTCACCTACACCCCAGGCTGCCATGCCTTCCACCTGACCAGTGTCCATGCCTTCTGGCAGCTGTGGGCACAATGCCAGCCAGGCCTTGAGCCAAAGCTGGCTCCCTGCCCATGTGCTCACACCTGGCTGGCAAGTTGTGCAGACAGGCTGGCCCCGTGGGCACCCGTGTCTACCCCACAGATGGGCCTGCCCTCAGCTGGCCCAGGGAGGAGGAGAGGTCCTGGAGAGGCCAGGCCAGGCGCCAGAACTCGGCACAGATTTGGTTACGATCAAGTCTCCGGTCATGTAGACGTGGCTAGGGAGGGAGTTGGCCCCAACAGCAGAGGGGAAGCCACAAAAATGCACTGCCATCCTGCCCAGGGAGCTGAGGTCGTAGTCCCTGGGCCTGTTCCCCAGGCAAACCTGAGCTCAGTTACCTAAGCCCTGCAGCTTTGGGGACCCAACTTCGCCCCACACGTTGCCATCCCTGGGACGGCACTGGCTCCAGCCTGACTCTGGGGGAGGGGTGTGCAGTCCCAGCATGAAGCATGGGGTGCCCATGAGAGCAGCAGGTGCTCTGGGGCCAAGGCCGGGGACTGGGGGTGCAGTGCTTGAGCTTCCCAGGGCTCAGTAAGGCTCCCCCAGAGCGCAGTGCCCGGGCCATCGTCTCCCCACAGGTCCATCATCGGGCAGCACAAGCGAGGGTCCCCATCCCAGGGTAGGGCCAGCCATAGGGGAGGTGATGATCGCAGCATCCTGGATGCCCACACTGCATATGCGGTGGACAAGACTGACCTTGGATCTGGACTCCCAAGCCAGACAGGAGCTGTGCGGCCCCAGCCCAGCCCACCGAGCAGGCTCTGTTCAGACACACACATGCACACACACACATGTGTGCACACACTCACACGCAGCCAGAGGCTCCAGCTCGCAGCCTGAGACAACCCTGCATTCCTGGGGGCTCTGTTTATTCGTGCTCACCACACCAACTGCATCCCTGCTTGGGACAAGTAATAGGAACCAGAAGCCCTTTCTGGCAGGGCCCGGCAGGCAGAGGGGCACAGAGCCCAGGCAGGGGCAGGAGAGCAGCCGGGCAGGCGTTGGGGCTGCAAGGAAAGGGGCTGTGCCTTGGTGTCCCAAGATGGGCTGGAAGGAGCCCACCGGGGCAGGCGGCAGGGAGCCATGTGGCCTGGTGTCGTCTTCTGCTCCAGAGCAGGGACACCCAGATGCTCCCAAGCTGCGCATCCTGAGCAGATTCCCGGAAAGCTGAACAAAGCAGATTCTCACCAGCGCGAGCCACGCAGCTCCGGGAAGGCCTGGCCTCCAGGGAACTGTGTGGGGCTGGGCTGATGTCACAGAGACCAGCTGTGGGACATTTGTCCTGGGACCCAGCCTGACCACAGCCCAAGGTTCTGCTGATGGGGACAAAGCATCCACCAGAAGGGAGGAACCCGGAGGCCAGCGTGGAGACAGCAGGCCATTTTCTGTGTCACTTCTAGTGTCTTCTTCAAAGAAAACCCACACGTGAGTCTGCTGGCTGCTGTGTGCAATGCTGCAGGGGCTGGGCTCCCTGGCTCGAGGTTTCCAGCCCGATGAAGTGCTTTCTCTGCAGGATTTAGCTTAGGTCTCTGTCTACCTCTGGGTCGGAATGAAGTGTCTATGGTTTGATGCCACTCAGTGTTAGGACCTGAATGCCCGTGTCCCCCAAAAGCCATATGCTGCAGCTATAACCCCCCAACAGACCCCACTTGGAGACAAGGCCTTCACGGGGACAGCAAGGGGTGAGGAGGTCCTCTCCAGAACCCAGGCTGGCCACACCCTGGTCTGGTTCATGCAGCCTTCTCAGTGGTGCTCGTTATAGCAGCCCGAGCTGACTTGTGCACCCGAGGCCCAGCCTGCAGATGCCGGGAGCCTGCGGGTTCCAAGAGCAGTGGGAAACTCCATTTGCGACCCGAGAGGCACACATTCTGCGCCCCTCACCCTGCATCCCCGGAGGTGTGGTGCTCCTGGCAGAGGGTGCTGGGTGGGTACATGGAGGCTGGGGCCCAGGCACGGACTTGGGCTACACGAGTGATGGCACTGGTGGTGATGGACAAGGGCTGTCCATCTGGCCCAGCTGCACAGTAGGAAGCAGCTGTGGCAGGAAGGCCCAGCTCCCTCTGCTGGACCTCCGACATGACCTCTGACGTGACTGTGCCCATGCTATCCTGAGGTTTCACCCAGTGTCTGGGCTCTGAGTATCCCCACCCTGGCAGTCAGTGGGCGCCACAGTGCTTCTGTCCAGGAACCTGACCCTGGACAGCAGGGCAGCCCCTGGCTCCCTACTGCCCCTGCCTCGGGCACCCAGGGTGGCCTGTGACTGTAGGATCCGGCCCTCTGTCCTAATCCTGGCCAGGCTGAGTGCCAGGGAAAAGCAGGCCCTGCAGCACAGCCTGGGTGGCCAGGGCATCAAGCACTGAGGGAAATGCCCACCGCACTCCCTCTCTGGACAGCTGTGCTGGCCACCGTTGTCCAGTGTTGCCCTTCCTGGGGGACTGCCCGGGCCAGGCTGTGGTTCAGACCAGCAGGCCAAAGCAACAGGTGGGTACCCAGGGAACTATGCTAAAGGTGCTATTCAGCCTTTGGGGTGCTCCAGACACCTGAAAACCAGATAGGGCACCCAGGGGATAGGGCTCACACCACCCCACCCTGGCACCTGCCTACACTGAACTTCCACTCCAAACCGGCCCTGTGTGGAGGCCCTGCCCCACCTTCCCCTCCTCTGTCACATGCACGCTGCCAGTCTAGTCCACCAGACCTCACACACAGTTGTGTCTGAGGGGCCTGTGACACTTCCAAGAGTGACAGTGTGGCCATCCATGAGCCCAGGGTCCCCCCTCACCACTGGCATAAACCCCATGCCCTCCTACCCAGCTTGACTACCATGGGCTCCATGGGCCACTGCACTCAGCCCAGGGGTCCACGTCCAGGACAGAGGAGGGGGCTTGACCGTCTCTTCCTGCCTCACCCAGGACCCGACCCCAGCCGAGTGTCCGCCAGTTCCCCAAGGCTGAGCAGGCTGCATCAGTAACAGTCGCTGTGCTAGCTCTGGGGGAACAAGGACGCTGGCAGAGGCCCCACGGCCTTGCCAGGATGAGTTCCGCAGATGAGACGGGCAGCCTGCGCACTTCAGATGCCTGTGGCTTGGGCCGCAGCCCCACGATGCTGCCAGCTGCAGACTCCAGGAACGCAGGAGCCTCCTCACCGAGGGGCAGAGGGTACAGGCAAAGGGCCTGTGCGGCCTCCCTGCCCAAAGAGTTGACCAGGCCTGGGGAGGGAGAGGTCGGCCAGAACCACGCACTCATGGGGCAGATCGCAGTGCAAATGGGACCAGGCTGGCTGCCTCCAGCCTGCGCCCCGGGCCCATCTGACCCTGGGTGGGGATGCAGCTAGGGACATGCTGACGGCAGAATCTGCCTGGGCACCCTTCCCGGGGTGGCAAATGCGAGACTGAGGGGACAAACAGCCACGGCTGCCAGGCCCAGCAGTGAGTGCCACCCAGGGCCCCCAGGCCCAACCCAGGGGACACAGGAAGCAGCACGTGTGGGCCAGAGCCCCAGGATCACACAGGCCAGCTCCAGGCACTGGGGGGGCAGTCAGCTGGAGGACCCTCCCTCACAGCTGGGGAGCCCCCTACTGCCCCCAGGGGCAGCTGCGCTGTGCTTGGCAAGATGTCACAGAAAACCAAGAGTGACACCCAGAGACCACGGCCACACCGCGGGCAGCCCCTCTCCACACAGTGGAGGAAGCAGCAGCTCCAAAGCCCGGGCCCCTCCCTCCAATCCAGGGATAGGGGACTCCAGGGGGACACTCCGGCCACACAGCGACCCAGGATGCTGGAATGGGGGTGGCAGTCAGGGCAGAAGGACAAGGCCCTCGCCAAGCCCAGGCCAGTGGGAAAGTTCCTCTTGTGAATTCCACGTTTAAGAATGGAAACGGAACCCTTTCTGAGCTTTATTCCCCAGATCGCTCAGAAGGAGGCACGCGGGGAGCCTGCGGTTTCCTGTGCTCTCCTTTCCTGCCTGAGAGGTGACTCCAAGAGTGTTTCAAGGCCCCCCACTACTGTTTCAACATCCCCTCAAGTTACTTCCTTTGGGACCTCCCGAACCCCTCTGGCCAGCCCCCAAGAGCTCCTGCCCTGCTAAAAACCCAGGCCCGTTTTTCCAGTACCTTCTCCATCCCTAGCCTCCAAAATCCTCATTCCAAGCTGTTGGGGGACATCAGGGCACAAGCTTGGCTGCACCCCAGTCTGCCAGCAAGGCCCCGGGGGAGCAGGCCCTGCCAGGAGCCCAGTGAGCAAGCGGCTGGGAAGGGGCCCCGCAGCAGCTGAGCGCCAGCTGTGTGTCTGCCTGCAGCTGGCAGCGAGGCAGGGGCACAGCCTAACAGTCCCTCACACATCCGCTGCGGCCCTCACACCTGTCCCCAGGCCAAAGGCGTCTCTGAGACCCAGGTGGAGCAGCATGGAGTGCTGGGGAGTAAGAAGGGAGGCTGTAGGGTGACCCTCCCCACCGAGGCCCTCGAGTCCAGTGGCCCAGCATGGCCTGCTGAGCCCAGGAGCTGTGAAGGAGCCCCCACCCTGGTACCCCCAGGCCAGCACAGGGACAGCTCAGTCACCGCACCTGGCCCGCATCTCGGGTCCTCTACAGCCAGGGGTGGATCCAGTGGCAACAAGCAACTCGGGCAGAGTGGGGCACCCCCAAACTCCTGCAGAAGCCCCAGGGAGTCCTGGGGAGGGGCTTGGGGGCTGCCAGTGGGCTCCTGTTCCCAGGCCGCCCACAGCTTCCCTAGCTGGAGTAGGCCGAAGCTGTGGAGCCCCAGTCACCACGGAATGCCTGTCAGAAAGAGGGGACTGCCACCCCTGGTGAAGCCAGTGTGTGTGTCCACTGGTGTCCCTGAGCAGGGACACAGACAGGACTGTGCTAGGCGCTCAGCGGAGCACAGCCACTGTTTCATAAAGCTCACACACAAATCCCTGAGAGTGGCAGCTGACAGAGAGGGACACAGAGGTTGCTGCTTTTGCCCAGCCACGCCCCGTGAGTCCCGGCTGGGTCTGGCGGGAGAGCCAGGAAGTGGACACCAGCAACCAAGAAGGCCATGGAGGGCACCAATCCAAGGGGCCTAGAGCTCGCAGCACCGGGGAGACAGCCAGGCTGCAAGACCACACCCAGGAGCCCCAGTACCCGACCCTGCAATGACCCTTAAAGAAGCAGGTGCCACCAATCAAGACTTTTGGGGCCCCCGATGTACAGAACTGCAGAACATCTGTGCGAGGGCAGGGCATCAGGGCAAGCCTGGGGGTGCTCCCTGGGCTCCCAAAGCCCCCATCACTGGTCAGCCCAGCCCTCTGCATCAGTCAGCTGTCCCTCCCGGCTCTTGTCCCCCTGGAGGCATTTCAGTGAGCATCACCACAGTGCATATGGGGGAGAGGGAGTGCCCCAGCTCTGGGGAGAGTGAGGGGCTGGCAGGAGAGGGAGCAGCCTGGGGGAGGAGGAGCCATGCCCCCAAAAACTGCTTCTTGCAGTGGCTGAGGTGGCCAGGGTTCCCCAGGCTGAGAACCTCCGAAGCCCGGGCAGGCGCCACCTGGGCTGCGCCCGACGCCGCAGTCCTGACTGCGTGGACATTCCTCACGACAGCCCTCATCTGCTTCTGCTTCCCGAGGCAGGCCAGACACTGGGGGTGGGTGGGGCGGGCTGCTGGCCATGGGAGGAGGCCATGCAGAACTGCTGGGGCCCACGCTGCCATGCTGGGGTGTACAGGAAGGCAACCACTCAGTCCCCCAGATAACGACTCCACCTGCCTCTCAGAGATGGAGGCAGGATCTGTCCCACCCCCAGGGCATTCATATCACCAAGCCCCCACTCTCCTAGTGGGGGCCCCCAGCCCATGGAGCCCATCCCCATGGCAGAGGAACTGAGTCCTTCTCCATGACCACTCCCTGCAGGACGCAGTCCACACTGCGGGCTCCTGGGGCAGCTCAGCTCCGAAGGCCGAGAACAGCCACCCATCATCCACCTCTCTGCCCAGCGGCCTCTGCTGCTGCCCAGGGTGCCCAGGTCTCCCTGAGTCTCAGCAGCAGCACAACCCCACTGGCCCCTGCTGACCCACTGCAGCCAGCTACCCAGCAAGAGTGCAGGTGGCCCAGGGTGCAGGGACCTTGAGACAACCCTTCTCTCTGCAGCTGCCTCACCCCTCAGGAAGGACCCTTAACCGTTGAGGCTGCTGAGTTCATGGCCCATGCCAGCCTTAGGGCCACAGCGCAGGGCCCTGGCACACCCAGGAGGGGCCCAGGGACACTCACCCAGGCAGGTCCTGCCATCCGAGTGGAGCCGGAAGCCGGGCTTGCACGCGCAGAAGTAGGAGCCTGGCGTGTTCACGCACCGGTGCTGGCAGCCGCCGTTGTGTGCAAGGCACTCATCCACATCTGTGAAGTGGACACAGGGTCACAGCTGGGCCAGGTCATGAGTGCACAGACATATGACCTTCTTCTCGGAGCCAAAGTGGACAGAGGCCCTTCCCGGGGCTGGTGTGCTCAATGGGGAGGGATCTGGCCTCGCCTGGCACCTTGGGCTGAGTGTGAGGCACGCACCAGCCGGGGCCCAAATCCACACAGAGCTCCCAGGGCAGCACCAGCCCCTCCACCGGGACCCCCAGTCCCAGAAAGCACAGCTGGCCCAAGCTGGGGCAGAGCCCAGGGGCTGTGGGCAGCACCCTGGGCTCCCTCCATGCCCGTTCACCTGGAGACAGCACCTCGCCGACAGAACAAGGATGGGGACGAGGTCACCCTGGGAATGAGTCCCTAAGTCCAGGGATGGACAGAGATACGGAGAGAAGGCCACAAGAAGGAGCAGAAACAGAGCCACGTACCCAGAGGACAGGTGGGAGCCACCAGGATGAAGAGGCAGGAAGAAATCTGCCCAGGCCTGACTTCAGGCTCTGGCCTTCGTGATAAGAAGAGACTTGTGCTTTTAGTCCCCCTGGCTCTTGGGGCTCTGTGGCTGCAGCCCCAGGACACTCATGCAGGTGTAGGGGCTAAGCACCCCCGTTGCTGGGCTCCCCATGCAGGGCCAGGCTGGCAGTGCAGACCCCAACCCCTGGGGACTCAGTCACCATGGGCCCTTTCCTGACCCACACAGCGTCCTGCACCGCTGGGTGAGCCCAAGGTGATGTGCAGAAGAATCACAGGAAGGGACTGGGGTACAGGGAACAGGACGACAGCTGGGGAGGGAGCGGCAGGTGCACTTGACTTCCCACAAGGTGCTGGATTGCAGGGTCTCAGATGTCCACAGATATCCCAGCAGACCCAGGCCAAGGGGAGCAGGCGCAGCTCCCGGCTGGGGCTCCTGGCAGACCCGAGCACCCCCGCTCTCCCCCCACCCTAGCATGGTGGCTGAGCTCTGGGAAGATGCCACCTGCAAGAGACAGGAAAGGAGCTGGAGGCTTGGGAAAGACCCCTCTCCAGGGCTGGAGGCCAGGGGTTTGCATGCTAGGCCCCAGGCCACCTTGGCAGGACACAGCGGGACACGCAGGGTGGGGAGGACTCAGGGTGCCGGAGAGCCCAGGCAGAAGCGGAGCAGATGACACAGCACTGAAGGTGGAGCCACAGGCTTCCTCGGGTGCCTATGCATGGCTTGTGGGGGGTCCCCGCCAGTCAGGTGCCCACCACAGTGGCTGCCCATCCCTGGCACTGCCCGCCAGGGAGAATTCCAGAATCCAGGAGCACCTAGGCCTCGCAGCACGCAGAGGCTTTGAAGTACCAGCTGAGCGTGCTCGGCAGAGGGGCCAAGGATGACATGGACACGATGCCCAGCAGATGCCCAGAGATGGCGGAGTGGAAGACGCCACCGTGTGGGCAAGGGCAGAAACAGGGCCGCCTTGGAGCACCAGAGGAGGCCAGGTGACAATGCCACCGCCACCCCTGCCAACCAGAGCCTTGGCGGAGAAGAACAAGAGCCGACAGGACGGGGAGCGGGAGCAGACTCGGAGCTCATACGCCACTCCGAGCGCCTGGGGCCGGGCCGGGGCAGCGCACAGTCTGGATGTAACGCTCCCCAGGGACAGCGGGGACAGGGACAGCAACACTAGGTTCAAGGTGCAGCGGTTTCCTCTCCAGTCTTGGTGTGCTGGGGAACACGTGATCTCAAGGGCAGGTCCCCGGGGATGACCAGCTCCCAGGGCGGCAGGCAGCTGAGATCTCTGACTCTGCTCAGCCATGCAGGGTGTCCCTGCGCTCCACTGTGACAGCCAGAGCCCTCAGCCACCTTCGAGGCCCCCCGAAAGCCCACCCCAGCGCACTTCTGAAGGATGCAGAAAGCAAGCCCTCCTTTGTCCCCGCCTGTGTTGGGGGGACCCGCTGGACAGACCAGGCCTCTGTGTATAGGGACGGGTGCTCCCACGCACACCTGCAGGAAGTGCCTGGCTACCTCAGGGGACACAGAATGAGGGCAGGCCCGTCCCTGCCTGGGGCCATGTCCACCTAGGGGCGCCCAAGCCCTGAAGCTGCTGCATGAAGGAGGGTGAGGCGGGTGACACCGGGATGCAGCTTCATACAAAGGGTTAATGGGCCCAACAGGACCCCAGGGAGGGTCTGGGGGCCACAGGGACCTAGCCCCTGGGGAGACAGAGGGTACCACCCACTTGAAGGGGCTCAAGAAAAAGCCCCATCTCAGATCCCTGAAAGGCAAGGACACAGCCAGGGCATGCAGGGGGTGCTTATGAAGAGCCAGGTGTTCGGCACAGTCAGGTTATCAGAGGAGACGCTGAGCCTCACTCTCGAGCTCCAGTGGGGCGGCCAAGGTGACCTGGGCCCTGGCGGCTGGGTTCTCCCCAACCCTCGCCAGGCTGAAGAAGACGGCTGACTGCAGCATTACCTCAGAAGACCTAAGGTAGTGGTCAGTTGAGTCCGGGAGGCTCGTGCCACCCCAAAGGTCAGTCAGCCCAGCTCCCAATCCCCCAGCCGTGAGGCCACTGTGCCCTCTTCAGGTTCTACCCCTGGCCCCTCTAGAGACTGGGCACCCTGCCCCCAGGCCTGTGCCCCAGGATGGAGCCGTGCTCCTTGCACCCATGGAGTAACGAGTCCTGCTAAGTCCTGTGGAGGTTCCAACACCAGGATCCCAACAAGCAGGGCCCCTTAGACCCTGCACTGCAGCAGGAAGAGCCTCCTGCAGGGATGTGGGATCCCTAGCAGTGTGGGTAGTTTGCCCAGGGAGGCCAAAAGGAGCACAGAAGCCACCCTGTGCCCAAGCTGACTGTCAGACACGAACCACTCACCGCATAGACAACAGCCAGGCCCAGGCAACAGCACCTCCCCTGTGCCAGCCAGGAGCAGCCCAGGGAGGGGCCGCAGCCTGGGGAGGTGATAGAGCCAGGCCAGGACAGCACAGGGATGTCCTGTGGTCCTGTCCTGGCTCGGGACAGGATCAGCACACACACTGGCTCAGGGTGGCACTGCCCTGTCAACCCCGGCTGGTTCTCCCAGAAGCCAGGTAAGACTGGCAGGTGTTTACCAAACTGGGGCTGAGGTTGCCACCGTGAGCCCACAATGATGCCACTGGGAGTCCACTGGCTCCTGGGCCAGCAGTGCACACATCCTGGGCACAGGCAGCCCTGGGAGGCTGCCAGCTGCCGTCTCAGCGGAAGCTGCCCAGAGCCCCTTCCAAGGCTTCACCACCCATCTGGTGGAAATGCAGGGCCCCCCAGAAGGCCCTGGCCGCAAGCTTGCTCCGAACACCACCAAGTTAGAGTCCAGCTCTGCCCACACACCCCCACTCCAAAGCCCCCAGGCCCCAGCCACACTGGCAGAGCTAGGGGTGCACAGCGCTTAGCAATTGGCACCACTCATAGCGACGCGCCCACTGGCCTAGACTGAGCTTCGGAGCAGGAGGCTGCAGGGGGTACAGGGGGTGGTGGTGTGGGTAACACAGGGCCAGCAGGGGAGCAGGCAATACCCGCTCAGAACCCGGGCACCCTTGGGAATGACCGAGGCTGGTCTGGGAGACAGGAGCCCCCCATTCCTTTGGGCGGTGTGGGTGAGTCATTGAGAATGCACACTACACCCCCTTCTGGCATTCCTGGGTGCCCAGCTCTGCTGAGCCACGTGGAAGGAGACAGAGTGGCCCCAGACAGGCTGGACCCCATTTCCCACACTGCCCAGGGCCCCAAGCTGAGACCCTGCAGGGCACACCTGAGGCTTGCGAAGGGCAGACAGAAGGCACCTGCCACACAGCCCCCCCACCCACACACACGTTCCCGGAGAGGCCCAGCTCCAGCAGCATCCCCTTCCTGGCCCCAAAGCGGTGGAGACCCCAGCCACACCCCAGGCAAAGCAAAGGACGTTTTCCTTCCCTTTGACCAAGTGTCCACAGCCCTGCGGCCCGAGGGGTCAGGGATTCCTGCGTCCCAGAGAATAGGGCCGCCTGCCAGACACTGCCTGTCCTCCTCTCCAGCCTCCGCCTGTCAGCTGCCTGGCACAAACTTTGAAAAGTGGAAACAAAGGACAGGCAGCTGGCACCCTGGTTCCACCCGCCCTGCCCCAGCACCCGGCGCCCACCTGGCCTCTGGTCCGCGGTGCTCACAGGGTAGCCGGCCTGGCCCAGGTGGCAAGGGTAGCAGCTCCTCCAGAGGTAGCGGTAATGCGTGCCCGCGACGCGCGCCAGGCCCCCCAGGAGGGCCAGGCACCAGATCGTCGCCAGCCCGCCGCGGCCCCCGGACGCCTCCATGAGGGGCGCTGAGCACGGGTGTTCAGGCGGGGCTCTGTGCCTGGCTCGGGCTGGGCGGTCAGGGTCTGGGCTCCAGGCTCCCTCCGGGTGCAAGCCCGGCCCGGCACCGCCCGGCCTCTCAGGCAGCCTCTCTGAGTCGGGCGCTGCCCCGCGCCTTTCTGTTCTCAGCTTTCCCTCCGCCCCCTGCAGGTAAAGGCCAAACCCCGGCGCGCCCGAGGAGCCGCCCCGCCCCCAGCCCCGCCCCGCGCCCCAGGGGTCCGCGCCGCCCCGAATTCCTGCACGCGCGCGTGCAGGACCCACGCAGACAGCCCCACGGGCACTAACTTGCCGACTGGGCGCAGGCAGAGCGCAAACCCCTACACAGGCACGAGGGGCGCGCACACGCACAGACTGAGCCCCGCGCTGTGCCGGAGAGAAAGCTGAGATGAAGCCGGTCTGCACGGCGGGCAGGAGGCCCTGCAGAGGAGGCCTGGTGGAGCGAGGCCCAGAGACGCCCCTGCGCGTCTGGGCCCCCGACCTGCTCTGGCCCTGGCCCACTGCACCAGAGCGGGAGAGGGGAGCCCCGCCTCCTACAGCACGGGAAGGAAGGAAGCACTAGGGAGCTGGACGACTAAACCAGGAGGGCGCCCCTCTGCACAGGTGTGGGGGTGCACAGCCCCAGACCCCACTGCAGGAGTCCGGGTTGGCAGCAGCGCCTAAGGGTGGC